AATAAAAATCGTTGTTTTATAAACAAAAGTTGCTGTTTGCTACTTTATACAGAAGAAACAGCCTCCGTAATCTGGTCATCTTGGATCCACTTGGGGACTGGCTGAGGGCGTAGCAATTTGTCAATTATGCGTTTTTGGCCAGCTGGGTGAAATTAGTTTCAGTCGAAATCCGTAAAAATTCTGAAACGTTCGAATCAATCGACTCAAATCAGTCGTAAAACCGCAATCAAAATTGAAAATTATTATTTATACCTAAATAATGAGGTATATTGTGCTTGACCTGTGTCATTAGATGTGTAGAATTTATTTCTAGGTTTTTTTCTACTAAGTACCTACATAATATGTAAAATTTCCCACTACACAAAATCTAGTCAAATTACATGCCAAATACCTGGTAAAATCTATATTGAACCTCAGGTTCGAGGAAAGTACTCTACAATACTCAGAATTTATGTTTTAATGTTTCCAATCGGTTTATTAATAGATATGTACTATCTTAGTATTGCACGTATCCTTATATGACTTTACCTGTGCTTAAGTGTTTTATAAAATTATCATATTTTCCCGATATGTTATGCAACAATTATTTAATTATTGTTATTAAATAATTAAATGTTACATAAACGTATTCTGTAAACAAGTCATTAGATTCTACTAAACACATACCACGGACATTGTTATAGATGTATTACGTAGTAATTAATTATTTTTACTCCCTGTCTCTCGTTGATCAAGTGAGAAGAAGAGTAGGTTAGTTTCAATCTCTAACCACGGTAATCATGGTACGGTAGTGGTGGGGACTTGAATAAACACATCATGATAGGGTTTTTCAATTCAAGTGTAGTGGTTCGTGTCAATCTACCAAGCAAACAAACTTTTAAGCTTTAGGAAACGAGAAGAGATTTATTTTTAACAACATTTTAACGTTTTTCTATAGAGAAACTGTTGACTTTTCCATGGTTACAATGATATACATATAGTAGGTATGTTTATAAAACCGAGAGCTGGGCAGTTTTTGCGGCGCACCACCGCTATGTGGAACCAGCTGTCCACTGAAGTGTTTGCAAATCGAATAAGGGTCTAGAAAAGAGGCTACCAATGGGGACCCGTAACAGTTTTATGTTATAAATGCAATTTTATAGTCCTTGAGAAACTAAAACATAAAGTCCAAAAAATTTTGTTCTACGACCAAAACTGACAAAGTTATGGGCAAAATACCGAACAAGGTTTACTGACCGCGCGAATGCAAGCGATGACGTCACAAGATCTCAACGCTTGCCGCCGAACCACAGCGCGCTCCGCGCTGGTTATTCTGTTCGCGATACTCGTCCAACACGGAGCGTAACGTCACCGGTTTATACCCAATCGATTAATAAGTGATTTGATCTGTTTAATATTAGAAGGTTGTTATTATAATATAACAAATGAGTGGTAGAAATAAGGTAAGAAGATATCGGTTTTGAGCAAGCGCAATCCGATAATCTACCTAAAGTTGATACCTTCATGGTATTTGATTATCTTAGTAATCATTTAAACTACACAATAATGTTTAATGTTTTTATTTACTTTTCAGATATACTTTTAAATAAACAGTCCTGCAAATTGACAATACCACAGGCTATTGCCACCATATCATCCAATAGTTGAATATAAGTAATGTTGACAGTTGCATGAGGTCTAACCATTTGAAAGTCTCTTAATCTTCCAATGCTTCTTTCAACATGTACCCTCAACGCAGCAATCTTCTTTGTTTGCAATACTTCCTCTTTTTTGGGTTTTGAGCTTGAACTCACACTGGTCTTAAAAGCTTACACTGTTTTTGTTCTAATAAATGAGCTATATTTTTGAATCCTCTGTCCGACAAAACCAAACTCCCAGGTGTGAGTTCATCTAGAAACCCACAGTCTTCAAAGATCGTGGTATCTGGGGTCCGCCCTCCATACCCCTCGGAAATAAAATTAATCAATCCATCAGGTGTAATGAAAATCAGAAATTTAATGGTGTTGCAATTTTTGTATTGCGACCAAGTTAATGCCTGGTGTGTGGCATTACTTGGTTTTTGAATTTGCACCTCGAAACAATCAATTATTGAGGTCACATTTACTATAACATATGATAATAGTTGGTATATGGAGCTACTTACATCAAAATGATCCTCGCAACAATATCTTACAGTGTGGCACGAAAGCGGAACTTTGTCATGAGTCATCCCTCTTCATGACAGTACACCATTTTTTGCGCACTTTCAGGGTCCCTTGGCACATTAAAAAACAGTTTTTCATGTGTACTAGTTGAAGTATTAGTACATTTCGGTACTATACAGTACTTATAATGCGGCATATTTTCACATAAAAACCACAAAACCACAAAACGACCCGCGCAGATCGAGTAAACTTTAATAAATGAATGGCGGACCGCGGAGAGCGAGAGCGCGGGCGGTAGGGATCACGTGACGTCACATGAGCATTTCGGCCGCCCCGCGGTTGGCTTGTACAAAATGTGTAATATCTTCGCAACCAATTTACCGATTTCAATGATTTAAAAAGTATTGTACCTAATCGAGTAAAAGGAACACCATTATATAGATAATATATGCATTTTCCGACTTGATACGGGGACCCATTGTTACAGCCGGCAACGCACTTGCGATCCTTCTGGGAATGTGAGTGTGCTCTGTTATATAAAAAAACAGTTATTCTCAAACGTTGTACTTTTTTACTTGTGTAATTAAAGTTTATTAGTCATAGTCTTTATAAATGTTGTCTTATTCTGAGTGAAGCTTTTAGTTTAACATAATTTTACGATTTAAATGCGATATCATTCCTCTTATTATTAGGTATTTTTCGCTTTGGAAGCAAAAATTCATATACTGTGTAAACTCTTTATAACATGTTTCGTTATAAGGAAAACTCTCTTTAACGAAAAAATTACTAAAATTTGTTGGTTTAACCCAAACCCCATACATAAACACACTCTTTATAATGCAACAGCCATTCTCTATTACGAAGAAATATTTTCATATTTAGACATCAATAACATACTTAAATTTAATTGTTTTTATAATCAGCTTACAAAACTAAACTTTTGAGGTGCCGAAATTTCTAAGAAAGACACCTGAGGTTATAAACAGCCGTCTCGCCTTTGTTATTGTTAATTGCCTTAACACTAACTAGTCACCTATCTTATATCTATATACATTATTGTAATTGGTTAAATTTGTTTTTTTTTCTTTCTCTACATATATAAAAATGCTCGGTTCCTTGAAATTCGTTATAAAGAGTTTACACTGTATAATAAAAAAACTTCTAAGGAATGTAATCCGGTTTGCCTACTGCAATATACAAAAAGATAGTTTAATTACTCGTTAAAGTGCTGACATATGTACACATTTTAAAAAAGATAAATAAAAACCAATTTATGGCATTGCTTCCAAGAATCTTGGTATTTTTCCATATTTTTGCATATTAATGAGATGACCGCTGGATCTTTTTGAACTCTTTTTTTTGTAAATAAAAAACATATCGTAAACAACATAAAAATAAGGCAAATAACTTTTCTAAGTATCTTGTTTGTCTCGAAGCCATATTAAAAGCTTAATAGTTTATATGTAAATGAGTGACTCACTGCCATATAAATGAATCACAGAACCGACTTTTAAAAGAAAGAAAGAAAGATGTACAGCTTGCTAGTCAGTGGACTGTGAAATGTGTGTTTAAAATTTATATGTATTGAATGTCAGGAGTATCTGAATAGTATATGTAATGTATCATGTATGTATGAGCAAGCTGCACTAGATGACTAAATATATGAGAGGGTGAGATGTAAGAACCTAACTTGCCAGTTCTTCTCTTCCGTTCTACGCCCTAGATTTGAGAACTGGCAGTAAATGTAAAATTAGAAGCGTTTTATATTTCTTTTTTGACGTACATTACATTGTGTTACCTATATGAATAAATGATTTTTGACTTTTGACTTTTAACAACCCTACGGATCCCTAAGCCCTACATATATAAAAACGTACGGTTTGTCTGCACCAAGAGACCTAACAGACGGAGCCCTACGGGTAGGATCAAAGGTTCGAGGTGGTGGGATTATCTCAAAGCTACCGAGCAGGCTCACCACGATAATTAAGGGCTTGGACTAGTCTTCGCCACTTTGAGAGAAATCGAGAAATGAATAAGACAGATCAATATTTAAATCTCACTTATTATTCAAAAACAATGGCTTAAATACTAATTACACCTATTCACACATACATGATATTATTCTAGTTAGCTGTTGGTGAATCGCGCATCTTCAGCTGTTAAGATTTAAGCCGTGTCAGCAGTTGGTCAATTTTCAAATGATATCTGAACAAATTTTAGTAAGTTATCATTTTTTTTTATAGAACAGAGGGCAAATGGGCAGGAGGCTCACGTGATGTTAAGTGATACCGTCGCCCATGTACACTCATAATTTTTTCATATTGAAAAACCAAGTAGTGTATGAACTGTGGGTCTTTTGTATTAGTAATAATAGTTTAATGTCATCAATTATAAAACACAAGGCCATTACGACATAGCGCTTAAGAAATAATTGTTTTATAAGATAATTACTAGTTTGTATTGTATTACTGATTTCTATTTTAATGATAATAATCTAACCAATATTTGCATTATATGTAAGTAATGTTTGGACGCGTTCCGTTTTATTGTGATGGGTCAAAAGGGAAACAGGGGTGTTGTGTCTATGGTTGTAATAGTTGACCAATCACGACCAAACGAAACGGAAGAACGCTACTGTACCTCCTAACCTAACCTAAACTTCCCTAAGCATCAATACGTCCCATTTTGTGAGCCATGACCTATTTACATGCAGCTACACTTCTGAGTCTGTTTCACTTCGTGTGAATTTTGTGAAACATATGAGCTTTTAATTTTTATGTAGACATCACATGTATATCTTGAATTCTCTAAACATACGAATCTTGTTTTTTGTAGGTACCGGTTTAAAATGTCAAAATGGTGCGTTTTGGGTACACTTCACTGCTATTATTTATATGTGTGACGCACACTACTTGTCAATATTATGGTAAGTCTACCGTAATGGTATTTTAAAATAATAATTGGGGCTTTTAGTATAGAGGCTATTTTATCTCTGCCTTTTAATAAATTTAAGAAATGTATTAAAGAAAAGGCTTACTATAAAGTTAAAGATTATCTAGTTGATAAAAGGGCCTGGGATTAGTGCTAGACAGGCTACTTCTAATTAATTTGCGATATTTGTTTTAAAATAAGTGTTGTTTGATGATTTGCTATTTTAAAAGAGTTTTTTACGCCGGCTTTTTCTCTCGGCCTACAACCTCTGTCTTCTTTGCCAATGAGTAGGGATGCCTACAGGTTAAAATTTAATGACGTGGAATAAGTGATACCTGTATCTTATGTTCCATAATAAACATATTTTTTTTTTTTAACAATACATATTTAGAACTTTGAAAAAAGGAAATGGTTTGAAAGACACTCAAGGCTGATTGTTTGACGTATCCACTAGAGAGGAGAGAACTATCAACTAAACGAGCAACTAGCAACAAATTTATAAGAACAACCAGAAAAGCGTTCAACATTTTACTTATTTCTTTCAGATATTTTTTCCGGCCTCCAGCCGTTCCTTCAAACGTCCAGGCCATATTATGACGTCACACAAAAGACCAGAAAAGCGACAAGCAAAGTCAGACTAAATCATGCCACAGAGTCAACCAGACACACTTCAGTACCCGTTCAATCTAGTCATAGTAGCGTGAAACGGACACAAAAGCCGAAAAATTCAAAAGATGTTTCCAAAAACGATCAAGTACATTTCATAAACGATGGCTATAGGTAAGTGGAAATTAAAAAAAATTGTGTTTTCATTCTCTCTGTTTCATTCATTATTTTTATCTAAAGGCAAAAGGTCAAAAATCCCAATGGCTATATTATTTCATATATTTAAATAAAATACGAGTCGGAGAAATTACGAAAGGTAGGTATATTGTAAATAGTTTCTGTGTGTAATTCACGGCGCGGCCTTAAACAAGTGTTTAAATCTGTTACAGTAATAGGTACACGACACAAAATCCATTTGCGAATCGACCCGGTGTCAAACCGGCCGTGGCTAATGGGCCGCCTATAACCAACAAGCCGCCGTCGACCGCGGCCTATGAGAGCCCTGAGCTAATACTGGGCCCTGATGTAACCTATATGAGTAGCACTGAGAGGAGAAGACATCTCGATTTAGCTGAAAAAAGTAAGTTGCAGTTACTTGCAGTTTTAAGGATGAGAGTGTGTCGTCATGTCTTCATTCCTACAAACAATACTTGTTTCATCTAGAATCATATTTTTTGCCTTTTTTGCATTTTTGAAGTGAAAACTTCTTTAGCGGCGTTGTACACTTTTTTTGGAATGGGTAAAAATTGTCAAACTCGCGTCAGGACACGTGACCTGATCGAAAATTCGTAAGACGGATGGAGAGTAGACAGCTGGCGCGGCGTATTTAATGTAAAATATAAATTGTCATGTTTGTGTACGATAGCGCAATAAATAAATATTGTATTCTACCACATAAATGATAGTACTTTTATACTGATAAATAATTAAAGCAATTCGTGCAAAATTATTCCCTAACCATTCCAAAATATCAAAAATGCACAACGTTAATATTCAAGTTTTCACTTCTGACGGCACTCCCGGAGTGCAACCCGTCGTTATTTGCCTTAAAGGACAAACAAAAAAGCTCTCGCCTCTTGGTATTGTTGGACAGCTTCCTGTTTCTCTGCTCCTTGATTTAAAAAAAAGGTTAAATATTAATGGTGTTGGCCAAATGAATCAACAAATAATATAAAATTTCAGTGTGCGACAAATACAAGTCCCTAGACGTGAAGCAAGTTCAAGCGATACCCCTCGTACCGTCACCACGCCCTATTAAAGTCAACGTGTCGTCGTGCCTACCCTCCAAGGTGCCTCTGGTGGTGGGAGGAGTCATCGTCAATATCAAGGACTTTCCACATATGACCCTGCTTGGATGGCCAAAGATAAACGTAAGATTGTCTGTTTTTTCTTGTTTTTTTTTTAATACAGAACTGGACAGAACTTGACCACAATTCCACTTAATGCTTAGTGAGATGCAGCCTATTGGAGGGCACGTTTGTCTAGGGGATACCTATTTAACCGCCGCTTAAATGCCGCTTAAATGAACCCATATTAAACTGTCTAGAGAAGATGGAAGGGGGCAAGGCGTTCCACTCCTTTGCTGTTTGCACAAGAAGCGACGATCCATATCGTGCAATGCAACACCTAGGGATGTCGACAACGAAGTGGTGGAACTTCAGGTTCTAGATGAGCGTTATTTGAGTAGTTCTATGGAACATTCTCCGGAGTGCATCTATAGAAGAATGAAAGGCAGGCAACTGAACGGCGATCGTCGTCTAATTCGCTTAGCCGGCCTCTCAATAGCATCCAACGCTCCCATACGACATTTGGCAGCACCGGTCCTCCGACAGGGTAACGCCAAGAAACTCGAGACGGTCAGCCATTTCCAAAAAAACACAACGGAAGTTTGGACTGAATCCAAAAGATCTCTTTTTGTCTCTTCTTTATTTGCCTCTTAACCATACAGTGGCAGTTATTTGTTTTATATTACAACAACTAACTTAAATATTCAAATGTATATGTATATTTTTTATATAATGTAATCTATGTGTATGTAACTTTGAACTACCCAATACTTAAATGATTAAACTAAAAGGTAACCAATAAATGTTTTTTTTAAATATATCACAGCATCAGTTTCACTAGTCATCACGCAATGAAACTAAATGCTTGATTAACTGGACTAACTCTAATTACAGTCTGCTGGGTATTCGTGGAAGTGCGGGGGCAGCCTGCTTAGCGACAGATACGTCCTGACGGCGGCGCACTGCGCTTATCAGGACAAAGATAACAATGTTCAAACGTTAGTACTTCCTCTGGTTATTCGCTTTTGTTTATGATACTCTAGTTTAAAAAAACTAAATTCAAAGATTGCGACAGAAGTGAGCAGAGCTTTTACACCAAAGAACTTCGCACACTTATGATGTAACCATGGTTTCCAGCGGTCCACCACATGCCGTCCAGCTTGGCTCTTCATATCTCAATGACCCAGGAGCATTAGTAGTCAAAGTGTTAGCGGCCATTCGACACCCGAACTACAAACTTCCCAAATCCTACTACGACATCGCACTCATCAAAATGGCTAAAGCCGTTTCGTAAGTAAAAAAAATTAAACAAAAACATAAACAGAACCTTTTTTTGGTGTTTTATATGTGATATCAACGATCATAAATTACGATTCTCTTTAGATTTTTGTTTCTATAAATTTTACTATAGGATAAAAACAAATTAATTACGCAATACCAACTTTTTGCCAGACAGACTTATCACTTTTATCTTTAATTCCTTCCTGTTTAGGCATTTATACATCTATAAACGCAATGCAACTGTTGTAAACCTTTTCAGTTTCGTACCGATACTGATTTTAAAGCTCCTGCTAGATTTATAGAGCAACTCTTGCTCTTAATTTCTTCATTAAATTATTTAACCGTAATTGGAAAATCATTTTACTGTCGTCTCTCATTTTATTTATGTTTCAAGGGCATAAGATGATTAGTGTTTATGTCACCTCACTTGCCTTGCTTTATATTAATCTCTTTTTACGAGAAGAAGCATACATCTAGAGAGGTATCCGCTACTTTGCCAGCAAAGCCAATCTAGCACACTAATTTGATTTGTTTTATGTTTCAGGTTTTCTGAAGTTATCAGACCAGCTTGTCTGGGAACACCTCCATCCCCCGGAGAACCTATTATTGCTTCTGGATGGGGCAAGACTGAATTTGGTAAGTTTATTGACTTTTGTAACATTCCTTATAGAACGCTCTAGGCAATTACATGATATTGACTTAACTTCACCAGATTTTTAAAAAAAAAATTTTATTGTACCATGGCTACGACTTCTATTAATAACATCAGTGTGTTATAACGCACACAGTTATTATTTCGGTTTGCAAGCTATTACTACGCTCACCTACATAATTGCTATAATTTATAATAAATAAGTCTGCAGTAGATGCAGAAGTGTTATTTCGTTGTGTGTTAGTTCATAACAATTTAATATTTTCCAGGCGGTGACCAATCCCTGGAACTCCGGAGTGTATCGATACCCGTGTGGGACATCCCCCAATGTCGGGAGGTGTTGGGGACCTCTAGAAAGATACCCGAAGGCCCCTCGAGGGACACGCAGATATGTGCCGGTGAATTGGATGGGGGCAAGGATACTTGTCAGGTTAATTTATATATTATTATTACTTTTCAAGTTTAAAAAGTTAAAACTTTTTTAAACACTATTTTAGATGATAATAATATTATTGGTATAAAATATTTATTTCAGACATAACCTTATAAACTCTTTTTCAAAAAAACCTTAGTCTAAAGAATTCTGGAAATTTTTATAAATTATTGATATTTTTAAAACCGATGTACACGGTCAAACAGTAAGAAGTGGCCGACCATAAAGACAAGAAGATTTTTTGACTTTTTTAATTAAATAAATATAATGGACAGGAAAATACGCAGAAGTCACACTCGATTTTATATAATTAAACTTTAAAGTTTTTGTAACAGTTGAATTTAAGTTACAAGATACTTGTTACATTCAATAGTTATGACTCTGCTTGGATTAAAAACCTGGAAAATCACTTTCATTTTCCAGACGCTTTGTGATATTTGGTGACAGTTTATTATGCTAAGTTGTAACTGAAATTCTTGAACTTGCGCTTTACGACATTAGTTTAACTCACGTTTAATCAACAAGTTTTTTGCACTTGCAAACTATCATATTTATTGAAGCTCCATTTTAATCACCCAAATATGTTTTTTAGGGCGACTCAGGTGGTCCAGCACAAATTCAAGATGGCTGCGTTTGGAGGGTAGTAGCCGTCACCTCACTGGGGCGATCCTGCGGTGCGCCTCGCACTCCAGCCCTATACGCAATCGCAAATCCAGTATTCATCTCAGCTGTGGTATTCAGCGATCAAACAAATAAACGAACTGTTGTTAATTCACAAAATGCAAATCAAAATAATCTTGGCTCAACACGCGTTACTAATAAAAACGATAATAAACGAAGAGAAACATCCGAAACTGGTAATTCAAGAACTCAAAATGATGGGAAGTTGTATTATGACGGTGATCAAAGTGTCGACAGTTATAATTCGAGGACAGAAAGTATTAACCATAATAGGAGAAATGATAACCAAAATACAGATACATCTAACTATAATCAAAACACTCATAACGTTGATTCAGTCGGTGATTATAATCAAAATTCCAGACACACATATGAACCCACCACTGTTAAATATATAAATTATGACAGTTATGACACAATACATAAGAAAAATCAACAAAATTACTATCAGACAGACAAAAATTTAAACCAACAAAATCAACAAAGTTATCCCCAAGAATCTTCGAATCAAAACAATAATGATTATCAGAATGATGATTCTAATACATATTCAAGAAATAATTACAATGATGGGAACAATAATAATTATAGGAATAATAATAATAATAGAAATAGTAATAATGATAGAAATAGTAATAATGATAGAAATAGTAATAATGATAGAAATAGTAATAATGATAGAAATAGTAATAATGATAGAAATCGTAATAATGACAGAAATAGTAATAATGATAGAAATAGTAATAATGATAGAAATAGTAATAATGACAGAAATAGTAATAATGATAGAAATAGTAATTATGACAGAAATAGAAACAATGATAGAAATAGTAATTATGACTGGAATAATAATAATGATAGGAACGATTATAATATTAGAAATAATTATAGTAACAGGGGTAATCAGTATGATATCCAAAACCATGGTCAAGTTTGGTGGACGTGATTCTGTGCACTCATAAATAACTAGGTATTTGTATGTCATAAAATGTAAAGTTATGTACAACAGCAAAGTATTTGTATTATGTAAGTCTCGGCTTCAAAATTAATTGTGTAATACATATTTCATTACATTGTTATGACATAAAATTGTCAAAAGAATGTAATGAAATATGTATTACCCAATTAATAAATGAATAAAATTTACTATTATAACAGTTTTTACAATCACAATTTCTGTGTTTTGACTTTGTTTTTATTGGCGTGAGCTATGTATCACCTGCAAGTGAACGTTTTTGTGAAAGATATTTTTTATACTAAAATTAAAATAAATACTTTATGTATTAATCTATTTATTTCTAACTTTCCAATTTAACAAATTTTTCGTATGTTTTATATAAATTGTGCCAAAATTTTATTCTATCATGAAGCAATGTATCGTCCATCCTCATTATAGTATCTATAATGAGATACTTTCTTTGCTTAGTGGTCGGCACCCATGTTACTGGCAGTAGATTTGATATTTTGGGCGTTGGGTCTCTGAAAAATAAAAATATATTTACTATATTTTCAGCCCGAAGGCCGAGGCTAAGGTCGAAAACTTGTATAAGTATATGTATAACCTCATCGTGTTTGTGTAGTTCGGTCGCAACAGACACATATTATACTGTTTTTTAGAAGTATCGGCAGTAACTTTACGGAACAAAATATGAAAGCTATTTTTTACCCGTAAGCATATTAAGCCTTATTTAACTAAATATACAAAATTTTTTGCTTTGCTGTGCAGTGAAAACGTTTGACAGAGACCGAGGTACACTCGAAACGAATATAAAGGCGATAGTTTAACCGAGGTATTGGTGTGCTTAAACTCGTTATACAGTAATTTTACTTACTCGGAATTTGAATCCTAGACCTAATGTTCCATAGTCGAAGATACTGATGACTAGTCCATTGCGGTAGTCATAAAAATATAAATATACTATAGATTTGGCGTGAATACAATAAATACGCAGTTTAATTAAATAATAATATCTGTAAAATTAACCTTCACACTTACTTACCCATACTTAGCAAAATCGGTCCACATTTTTACCATTCTGTCAACCAAAAGTTGATCGCTATCACTCGTCTTGTCCAAACATGTCATTTTAAATAAATATCCAAGATCGTCTCCATGCGTTGTTGCTTCAACAGATATGTTTCTCATCACCTTCATTAGATTTCTGTTTCCAGAGTAAGAAAAAATGTATTGATATATCTGTAAAATTGAATATATAATATAAATATATATATGATATATCTGTTAAACATTATTTTTGTTCCGAAAACGATTTATGGATATCAAAAGTAAAATGTCATCTTACTGATAAGAATTTTAAAATGATTTATCGTACCTTTTTGACTCCACTACCCAAGTATTTATTAATCGTCCGATCCGTTGGATAGTTGAAATATAAATCGCTAAAGAACTTCAAAACATTTTCATATTCCACTTGACCCTCTTTTTCATGTATGTCGTAGTATTTTTTTATTCTCTCAACAATATTATCGTTGGGCTCAAAACCAAAATTCAAATTAATTTTAACCACATCTTTACTATCGATAGCATTATACGGTAAGCAAATTTCTTTAGCATATTCCCTCTTAGTGTTCCCAATTAAAACAGTTTTATTACCTAAATCTAGCTTCATATTGAGTGGATGTTCGTTTAAAAAGCCTTTGACTCCTGCGAAACGTTTTTCTATACACGGTCTGAAAATCATCGCTTTCGTTGCAGTAGCGACCGCTTGGACATCGACTTTGGTCAGAAACTTTATAGCGTCATTTAATGTAGTTGTTTCATAGCCTAATGTCTTGGCTATTTTGATGGGTTTGTTTCTATCTGCCTTGCCGATGCCTCCTGGTACAAATGCTGACCCGCTTTGTAAGATAAATTGGTTGAATAAATCAGGATTGACATAGACATGAAACTCAGTGCTCATGGCGCCGGAGCTATGTCCCAAAATTGTAATTCTATTAGAATCGCCACCGAAATTCTCTATATTTTTCTTTATCCACTGCAAAGCTAATGTCTGGTCCTTCAGACCCTGGTTACCGGGTATTTCGGGCGTATCCAAACAAAGGAAACCGTAGACACCAGATCTATAGTTAAATGTTACTACGATAACATTGTTTTGTACGAAAAACTCTGGTATGTACACAACATAACTTCCGATTCGACCGGCATGGCCAAATCTGTATTGGCCGCCATAGATGAACACAATCACGGGAAGGCTCTTCCCATTACGAGGCGCATATATATGTAAATTCAGACATTGGAGTGTACCCACGGGTACTTTTAGTGCCTCTTCCACATGCGGACATAGCTTGGTGTTGTCGCTGGCATCGAAAATTCCGTTCCAACTCGGATAGGACGAGGAAGTCTGTAAAGAAACAAGTTTATAAATAATTTCCTTGTAAATTTTATTTATTTATTTAAATATTATTTAAATCGTAAACTTTTAATCAATATTTTTACGAATGAAAGTAAATTAAATACATAAACCTAGGTAAAATATTTTCTGTTTCGTAATATTTTATATAAATTTAAAGTTTAAATTCTCTATTGTGATAAGAGATTTCCTTGAGAGCAAAGTCTATCTGTGATAAAGCATATTTCAGATACAGATTTACATTTATACAAGTGATGAAGAGATTAAGAACCCATTTGGTACCAATGCGATACTAAAGACATTTAGATATCGTATGTCTACTTTACACTAAAACCCTTGAAATGTAGGTTTTGCACGTGAACAACTTACTGAGAAAGGGTTATCCTCTCTTACTGTTGCATAAGGTATGCCCAAGTACATGTCATACCCTTCTTCTGATCTCAAACCCCGAATCCATCCGTTTTTGGTGAGCACAATTGGTCGGGACCATTCATGGTAAATAATCTAAAAAAAATCTTTTACATAGTTGAGTTTTTAACGAAAATGTCTGATAAATAAATAGATTACCTGTGCATAATACCCAATTAGCGTAATAATTATTAAATTCCACAGAGTATTAGACATGATTTCATGGTGTAGTGTACATTTCTGACATAATAATGAAACATTTTATTGCAATTTCGTGTCATGCGATCCATGTTAAGTAGGTTAAAATATATAATAAATATATAAACAAATACATAAATAACAGCGTTTGAAATTCATTCTTCAGCACTCTTTATACATTCTAATATAATTCCCGAAATTTAAAATTATCAGGAACGTACACGCCAGGCATTGTTATACACGCCATATATAGTAGATTTAGTTTGCACTGGAAAGATTGAAAATTACAGGTAACGTTCAACGTTTATTTATTTTTAAACAATAGAGTTTGTTATATGCCCAATAACACTTGCTAGGAGACCAGCAAGCTTTAAACTTAGAAATCCACTTGACAAAGAGGGCTAATAACCTAATATTTAAAGAAATAAATGCAATTTGAGCCCTGAAGCGTTTTTACAACATTTTCATAAAAAATACTTGAGTTTTTATATTTGGGGAAAAAAAGTTAATTTTAACGATGGCAAGTATAAATAGGTTTTCGTACAAAGTTTTATTGTGAATATACTAAATATTGAATAATAATAAACTTATTTGGAATCATCACGTGTTATTCAACATAAAACTATTTTTCATTCAACATAATTATTTCAAAATTCATATTTTATAGTTTCATAAATATAAAAACTCAATGCAATTTGATTTGTTCTTTTAGTAGTTTTTATTACTTCGTTTTTATGTTATACTATTTTTTGGCAAGGAAATGCCTAAATAATGTTGCTTTTTATTGTTTTTGGTAAGTTAGAGTTAAACTATAGAATTAACATATAAATACATTATATTAATCTGCTAAAATATCAAATCTGTGAGTAGTGTTGGCCTAGTGGCTTGAGTGTGTTGAGGTCGTAGAATCGAACCCCGGCTATGTACCAATGTTTCTGTCTATGTGCGCATTTCAGACTCGCTGGTTCGGTGAAAGAAAAAATCGCGAAGACACCGACATGCCTTAGACCTAAAAAGGCGACAGCGTGTGTCAGCCACAGAAGGCTGACCACCTACTTGCTTATAACATAAAAAATAACACGAAACAAACACAGAAATCTAAGGCTTTAGATCAAAGCTTGTAGCCCCACCGGTTGATTTGTCTGTGGGTAAAAACATTTTAACCGACTTAAAAAAACACCGGTTCACTTACATTGAGCGTAAATAAAACACCCAGAAATTTTCAGTCGAATGTAAATATTTTAAAAAGCGCTTTAATTCGTTTAAATACGGAAACAAACATTGGCACTTCGGCACACTTAACTAAAAATATCTATCTATCAATCTATATAACAAGGAAATAATATCTAAGATATTAGAAATTATCTTCAATTTTAAGTTCTATGAAATAAGACAAGCCCGAAAAAATCGAGAAAAAATGTCAAAACGTCTATTGTTTGGAGCTTATGTCTCTTTTTACAACTATAAAGTGTGCGACGCATTGCCAACGCTACACTTGTGGAAGTTAGAACTAGTCGCATGACGCCAAGTAGCATCCAGCATCAGCGATTTTAATATATTTCTTTTCAGTTACCACCATTCTTAGTGTAAGTTCAACGGATTTCCTGCCGAAGTCAAACAATGACGATCTTATCAACTTTATCGATCTCCTAAATAACCGTGACGATGATGATTACATTGGAAAATCTAAGTACTTACAAAGTAGGTATTTTGTTTCCACCACCGAGTTGATAATAGCTCAGTTTTAGCTCGGTCAGTTAAATATCTTCGTTCGTTTTCTAAGGATGGCTCAGAAGAAATAGATAAATGACTTCAACTATAAAATCAAAATAGGTACAGATTTATAGCCTTAAATTCTACCGTTACTCGTCGCACAATTAACAGTTTTCACTCATCTTTATTAAAAACTTCACATAAGTGAAAATATTTTTTAAGCAACTCTAGTAAAATGATGAAAATACACAGATAACAAGTGTTCAATTAATTTAAACACTGAAAATCACCATTGTTTCTAAAAACGGTCTAATATACGCCTAGAACCCAGGTCTACCATTGAACTTACCAGTGAATTTAATAATCGAAGCGCTTAAATGACACACGTTTTAGCTTTAACAGATACAGAATTGAAAAGAAATGATGAACAGGATAAACTGACTGAAATGATGCGTTTATTACAAATGAACTATGACGCGAGAGAAGATAAGAATTACGATAACAGGGAAAGGCTTCATTTTATAAGAAATCCAGAAATTATCGACGATTATCGGAGTCACATGAGAAAACGGTGGGTTTGAGTTTGTTCTACTATTTTTCTACTACTTGTACCTCAGTGAATCAATGTCTAGAACGTAACGTCTGTAGACCTGTACGGTGTGTAACTGTGCAATAAATACTGTACTTTGCTACACGCACTAACTTATTATAAACAAAAAAATATACAAATTAGGTGACCTACCAGTCCTTATTGAATTTTATAACTTTATTATTTTGTTTCAGATCGTCTCCTGAATTACTTTATGATGGTGATTTTGATGAGGACACTTTGAAACAGCTACTCCTCAGTTTGAGGCGAAATGCCGTGTTTCGTTTAAAAAAAGGTGAAATTTTGTAAAATGTAAATATGAATTATTTAATTTTAATCAAAGCCTGGAGCTATCATATACAAATTAATTTTATTCCCTAGAAAGTAGACCATTTGAAGATTTTTTGGCGCAGTGTGCGTGTTACATTATTTTGTATATTTTTTAGATACATCATTAAGAAATGCTCCAGCTTTACGATTGGGAAGCAATATTGGCGATCCATTAGACCCAATAAAACCTGTGAAAATCCGCGATGACATTACGAAAAAGTACGATTGGGGTAATAGTTTGGAGAGACAAAAGAGAGTCAAGCCTAAATTGCGGAAGGCAGAAGAAAGATACAAGCTCAGAGGCGGTTTTGGTAGGACATCCATTCCCATCGCCGGGAAGAGAGGAGTTTTTGAAGATATTTATAATTAAACTAACATAAAAGGCACTTTATTATACCTACCCCTTTGTCTTAATACAGCTAATATAAAGTGAATCCCTAATTTATACCCTGACACTTAAAAAATCCCGTGTAAGATTCCATGTGATCTTATCAGTACATTCCACTCATAAAAGTTGTTCAAGACTTTGTACCATGACAAAACTAGCGATTCAGATAGAGTAACATATTTTGTTGAACTATGACGTAATATCAAGATCTATTTGGTGAAACTCATTCTTAGGTGTATGAGCAAGAACTTTTTTTGGGTAGCCTTGACTCTTTACTGGTAGATGGAGTAATAAGGGTTCCATACTGCGCTTGCGTATTGCAATAGGGCTGCACTAGGGATTTATATACAAAAAGAAGAAAAAACTATACTTTTTATCTGTATGTTAAACTTTACTACTCTTTGTAAACTCACTCAAGAAAGAAACTGTTTAAGTAATTCGTCCTCCTGTCATACAGTACTCGGCTTCGCAGTTAAGCTGTGTTCCGAATCGAACATTTCAATCGGCCTAAGTTCAAACCTATAACGGGATATTGAAAAAAATTCTTTTTAATTTTTTAATTTTTGTTTTATAAATTTATATGAAATATCTTATTTATTTCTAACAGATAGTATATAAAGGGAAAAATAATTCTGTAAGGAATTATACCGCCGCCGCCGCTCCCAGCTCAACGAATGGTAATTATTTTCGGACAGTTAACATACATATGTTTACTGCTACACCGAAACCGGAATCTGGTGTACAACCCTTTCTATATTCCAACTCATAATGGAAAAGGAGATGGATTTTTTTGGCACAGAATGAAGGAGGAGATGGCTGCCAAAAAGCATAACCAAGCTGTCACTAGAACTGTCAAAATATTAACGAAAAATTGTCTCTCTTTGGAAGAAAACAAAAGCCTGAAGACTGAAGTTCTCGACAAATTAATCGATGGAACAGGAAGGGAAAATATCTTCTTTGGTATAAAAGAGGAACACATGGAGTCTCCAATCGAAGTCATAAAAAAGTACTTGAAGAAAACATAATCTTCATCTTAACTCGAATGAAATAAATAAAGCTTATCGACTAGAGAAAGGCAACAAACCCGTCCTATCCTTGTAATGTTTACAACAAACTGGAGAAGAAACGAAGTACTTAGGAACAAAAAGAAATTAGATTCTGATATCTATATTAAGGAGGACCTTACAAGGAAACCTTGGAAAAGAGGAAACAACTTCTGCCTCAACTAAAGGAGGAACGACAATGGGAAAAATTTGTTACTTTTTCAAGGATAAAATAGTTGTGAAAGAACCGAAAAGGACAAAAGATAAGAGAAAAAAGACTCCACTAACTCCCCACAAATCCCCAACTTACACACTACTGCGGGCCCAAAGAAGATTAATAAAACTTGCATCTAGACTACGTACACGTGGTAGATCACTTCACTACCTTCACCATCAACATCAAAAAACCTCACAACGCCGAAAACAACAAAACCCCCCACATAGAAACACACTACCAAAGAAACATTGAAGCAATCACCCCAAACGGTTGGTCACCTGGAGCGCCTTACCCTCCAAATACTACTCCCACTCCCACACCTAAAACGAATACTTGTCAACTGAGAAACAATTTTATACCAAACAAATATATATAGCCACATTCAACACATTATCCCTAAAGTCTGAAGAAAGCCTTAAAGAACTTCTATATTCTATCAAAAATATTAAGTGGGACATTATAGGCCTGAGCGAAGTAAGAAGGATTGGCGAATCAATTCAGAATACGATGAAGTCATATTATATTATAAAGGTGAAACTCCAGGAAGACATGGAGTAGGTTTCCTGATCAAGAAAGAACTCAAAAACTCTATAGTGGAAATAATCGGCATATCAGAAAGGATCGCTATATTGAATGTTAGAATCCCTCCAGGCAGAGAAACATGGTCTATAGTGCAAATATATTCACCAACTGAGCAATCAACATTCAGAGATCACCTTTTCTACTCATCCCTTAACACCCCCTCCCCCAAACTGCATTATAATGGGCGATTTCAATCACTGTTGGAACCCCAAGAAACGGTGAAGATGTCTACTAGGTCCTTACATACTGGAAAACGAACACGAAACGGCAAAAGATGATGGAAATGGCATTTGAAAATAATATGAAAATAATGAATAGTGTATTCAAAAAAGAGCTTCCAGAAGATGGACATGGATATCACCAGATGGTCGATACAAAATGAAATAGACTACTTTTTAAAACAACCCAAATCAATCGACACTGTGCACCATCTCTACCCTTAACTTCAACAGTAACCATAGAATGCTTAGAGCGTGTTTAAACGCATCATTTAGTTTGAAGTTATGTCGACCCTTCAAAATTAAAACATCCACAATTCACAACACTATATTGCCAACATAAAAGAAAACCTCAAGTCCGTCAGGTATCATCGCCAGCACCTACTCGAATCCTTCACGAGATACTACGCAAGATCGAAACCCTCTACCAACCAGGACTGCCCATTCACTAACAAAAACCTCATAGAAAAAGATCAAAATTATTAAAATGACTTACAAACAAAATCTTCAAACAAATAGGAAACACAAAGAAATTAAGAGCCAAATGAGAAGAGACAGAGAACGTCTTAGACGTGACACTTTTGAAAAACATATCATCAAACGGGTGGCATAAAAAAGGCTCTTAACTCTTATCTGACAATACAAAGTGGATACCTAATATGAAAGACCAATTTTGCAAGACAAGGACTATCAGATCGGATATTTTATCAATAGCCACAAATTCTATGAGAACCTTTACTCCACAATATCATACTTACAATATAGACTTAACTACAACGATAATGTTCCTCATATAATAGAAGCAGAAATAAACAAAGCAATGAATCCCAGAAGAAGGATAAAGCTTCCGGCCCTGACGGGATTAATAATGATATGCTTCAAGTCTCAAAAAAGAGATATCACCACTACTAAAATACATCTTTAACGATATACTGAGCACTGAACAAATTCCTTACAGTGACCACATCACATCATCCTCCTCCACAAAAAAGGTGACAGGAGTACATGAACAATTATAGGCCGATAAGCTTAATGTCAAACATCTATAAAGTCTTTGCAAAGTAATTTTGCGGCGAATAACCAGAAATCTGGACGAAAATCAACCTATAGAGCAGGCTGGTTTCAGGCGATTTCAACATTAACCATATACTTACGGTAAACAAATATTTGAGAAAACCAAAAATTCAATGTGCCGTTCTATTGTTGCTTCATAGACTACAACAAGGCATTCGACTCATAGAGCACGAAAATATCTGGCACTGCCTCAAAATCAAGGAGTCGACCCAAAGTACATCAGAATTTAAAAATTATACACGAATAGTACCCTAAATAAAACTAGAAAAAGTAGGAAAAGAAATCAAAATAAATAGAGGTGTACGTCAAGGAGACCCCCTATCACCTAAATTATTCACAGCTGTACTAAAGACATCTTCAGAGAATTAAAATGGGATGGGTACGGACTAAACATAAACGGGGAACAACTAACACACCTACGATTCGCCATGACATCATACTATTTGCTACAAACAAAAGCATCTACGAATTATGATTACAGACCTGGAGAGGAAAAGCCCAAGGTAGGGCTAACAATAACACCTCAAAAACTAAAGCCATGACGAATGCATCGAAGATATTATTATAGTAAATGGAGAGTCAATTGATTATGTGAAAGAGTACACATACCTGGGCCAACAGATCTCAACCACTGGTATAATGTCGAAGGAAATTGATACAAGAATTGGGAAAGCTGGAAATGTTACTGGGGGCTTACGAAATCTGAAAAACACAGAAATAAAAATAAATGTCAAATCAAAGCTGTATAACACTTGCATACTTCCGGTATTAACATACGGCTGCCAAACTTGGGCACTCACTAAAATGCAAACCAGGCATTGAAGACTCCAGACGGCATGGAAGAACATGCTAAATATCGGAAGTCCGACAGATCTTAAAATCATACGAAACCACACGAAGATTGAAGAGTCACAACGAGGATACGAAGATTGAAATGGAAATGGGCTGGTCACGTAATAAGAGGTATAGAAAAGTGGAACAAAAAGATCATATATTGGTACCCAAGAAATAATAAAAGAAAAGAGGTAGACAGTTTCGAAGATGGGAAGACGAAATAAAATCCGTAACTGGGAAAATTTGGACCAGGAAAGCTCAGAACAGAGCAGAGTGGAGAGAAATGGAGGAGGCCTTTGCCAAAGTTGGGCAAACAGATGGGTTGTCGGTGTCACCGACTCACTAGTGTTAAGTTTAAGTTTAAAATTATGTTATTATTTTCTATCTGATTAAAGGCTTTATTATTATTATTATTATTAGGGATTTATATATATTTATATGTTCCCACCTTTAAATTGCTTATAGACACGACATTTACTCTAGCATACCAAGAGCAGAATTTACCAATTGGTCTATATGAGGATCAAGGGTCTATTTACGGTCAAAGTCACCTAGATCTTTGATGGTAGCAACTGATCTCAGTTATTGGTTTCTTAGGCAAAATTTAATCGTTATTATATTTTTATTTCTGGTAAAATCAAAGCTTGACGCTTTAATAAAAATGTTGTCTTCCTGGATGCAGACGGCATTTTATGAAGAAACTACTTGTGATTCAAATATTCAGCACTAAGTAAATATCATGTCACAGGCACTGAAAATTTGCAAAATGTTTTTTAAATACGCGTAATATTTACACGCTTTATATTGCTTAAATAATGCGAATTAATATTTTAAATGAAGCATATGACGTTGTATTTATTTAAAATTAATTGTGATTCACCTGTCTAAATATTGAACTAAGAAAAGCCAGGGCGCGTTGCTTGTTTTTATCCATTTAAATGTATACATTTAAAATTTTAAAATTTAATGAAGTTAACAGAATTTATGTAGAATATTGACGTATTTTTATATTCGATATATTTTACGACGAAAATAACCTTGTATAATGTATTTAATATTTGTATATGGCATAATTTTATTGTCGAGTAAGTACCTTTATTTTTATAAATGCAACTGAGTTACTGAAAGGAGTTTTAGTAGTACTACAAAGAGGAAACATTAGTTTAATTGTATGTTTGTAACGAATAAACTCAAAACGAACTGGACCGATTTAAAATATTCTTTCAGCCTCCAGTACCGCATTGGTATAGTTCACCATGCCCGACTGTAGAAATCTACAGACATAAGATTTAACTAAGAACCTTAGGATTTAATTCCCGAGTGGGGCCTGAAAATTGCGTTAAATTCCCAATTCCAATCCCGTTCCGAGCGGCATGATCCCTTGGCATTGCCTAGAGATGTCGGGTCCCTCTGCATCTTCTACCGCATTTATCAAGGAGAGCGTTTCAGAGGAATGGTTCGGATTAATACCTAATATAAGAGTTTCATAATCGGACGTCGAGACGAATACGAAATTCTACCCTTATCACCCATATTACTGTTTAAAGGCAATTTTTGCCGCGCAAACGCGCCGCGTTTGTATCACTTAACATCAGGTGAGCTTCCAGTTCTATAAAAAAATGTTTTTCCCAACTTCTTTTCTTTTTGCATTTCTCTAAAGGGGGATTGACCCAAATGATTTTACATTCTTACTAATCAATCAATGAAACAGGCGCAGTAACAGCCCTGCGATTCTGTAACTCACTTTTCGAACTCACACAGCGGTTTTTGCGTCGGCGGTCGCTCTCAAATCAGTCGTGAAGCAGTCATTTTATGATTTGGCATTCTGATAAACAATAAACAACAAGCTCCCACCTTTTCCCAAAAATAACTAATATCAAACATAAAAAATGAATGCGTACAAAGTAGGTACACATGCCAGAAGTGAAACTTCTTTGGCAAAGTAATTTTCAAGTGTTGTTCATATTTATACAAATCTAAAACTTTAGATTTCCGAGCCTTAGAGAGAGGGATAGAGGAAGATAAGTATTAATTTTATTAGTAATTTAATTGTCATTAAGATATTAAAAGTGTCGAAAATTAATACAAATTATAAATTTAATTTGTTTAATTTATATCTTTGATAATAAAAACACGTGTAACATTTTAATTTACAATTCGTCATTTGAGATTTCAATAAATTATTTTGCATAAAATATAAAATACTAATATTTCATAAATTCTCTTTACAAAATTTTAGTTTGAAAAATATACTTTCTATAAGGTAATTCTCCCTTCTCAATCGCTCTCTCGCTTTTCTTCGACAAAAACGTGCACATCTTCGTGACGTTCCGTAAAATTTTACCCTCATGCGCCTAAAGAAGTTTCACTACAATCTATTTTCTCGTTTGAGAGATTAATAAATGGATTATTTAATCTCAGTTATTCAAATGGATTGTAAAAGTAGAAAATACGACGTGGAGTTGGAAGCCAGAAAATTATATGGACAAGACTTAAAATCAGTTCTTGAAAGATTTAGACGAACTCCAGAGTACATTGAGATACTAAATGATGAGGTATGAATAAAAAGCGTTCTTCGCCCAGATTTTTATGTTAGTTTTGCTTGGCCATACAAAGTCGCTTACATTTTTAGTTTTTGTGTTCACTATCTCACCAGTGGGGCTACAACCTTTTAGGTCTAGGCCTGAAATTTTTGTATCTGCCTCATGCTCATTTCCATTTTCTTTTAATTTGAAATAAAAATTTCCAAGCATACGCGGAAGAATTTTAATTCCTTGTAGTTTTACTAGCGCTCTAAATCCTAATGGAGATTAACTTGACACTTTTTCTTCCACTTATGCTCCAAATCGCTAGAAAAATCAGCGGAAGTCAGTAATCCTCCTTCTTCTTCCGTATTTTATAAGTCGGTTAAAAATTTCAATTAAAAAAATAAGTACATTTAAAAAAGTACTAAAATCCAAAATAGGAATGTATTAATATATTATCGTTAAAGTTAAAGGTTTATATTATAATTACATTAGATCTTAAAGTTCATGAACAATCTAGTGAGGAAATTTATACACAATTTCCGTTTTACTAATACATTTTCATAATATTGAGCCTTGAAAAGCGAAACAGTTTATTTCCATGGAACCGAATAGAATACTTTGAATAACTTACGAGATTTTTAAATAACAATATTAACTAAATAACTAAACACGCATTTACGTGTAAAGTAAGGATTATATTTTGTATTTCAATTTCTTTTTTAATTTTTAAGTGAATATGTATTTTTATGTTCCAGAAAGAAAAACTTCAAATGGTAGTTGACATGAACTTTGATTCCAATAAGTTGTATTATTCTACAATCCTGGAGCAAAAAGTTAAGGAAATTATTACTGAAAATAGCACTAATCCAAGTAACTTAAGACATAAGACCACACCAGGAGTATCTTATACGTAAGTACCTCGTCTCGACCGTTCTATGCTGTGGAGACGAGAACTTGCCGAATTTAATTATGTATAATATATGTATTTGTGTAATTAACTCTAAGCATGTTTGCGGTTACACTTAAGAATCGTAACATGTGCTAAACACGGTAGTCTCACTGACTAATATGAAACTGATGTAAATATGTGTCTCTACACAAGCCAAATGTTTTCATCGCATTATGAAATAATTAATCAAATATTTCAGTAAATACATAGGCCCTCACAGAAAGCCAATAGTTCGGCAACACACTCACAACATGAGTGGAGTGGAGAGATTGGAGCAATATTGGCGGCTTTACCCAGATCTGTCTTTGGACATGCGAAATCGAATGGCCGACTTGGGCTTTGAATATTGTGGGTAAGAAGCAATTTACATGCTAGTCTTGATATCTGGATTACCAAAACGTTTAATTGATTTCATAATCGTAGTTTAATGAACGTACAGTAGGAGTATTTTACGGTGATTTGTGTGAGGGTACTGTAATAAATATTATTGGTGGCTACAACAACTCATTCAATGGATTCTGAGAAATATTATTTCAATATGTACCTTCTTTAATATCTTCAAGAAAAAAATATCGACTCTTGCAGTAATTTTTTTTTTCTCTTTTATTATTCCTCGTTTTATATACTTTGTACTACTTATATACTTTCGGGAAAACGTTATATCTATGCTAGATAGAACTTTTTTCAATACTTTTTAATTTCAGTATATATGTTATTGTATTTTACGTTCATGTGTAGGTAGCACCCAATCTAAAGCTAAAAAAGATCCTATACTGGTGATATTCTAAGCATTACATTTACATGACATTGTACAGTTTAAGCAGATAAATGAATAATATATCTTTAGAAAGTTTGTTGTGCTGGTTCCGAAGCCGAATACCAAAGAACGGAATCCGTATATCATAGCGGCGTTATTATTTTATAAATTTGTTGTTCATAGGTATGCCATACATGGACTAATCACTTCAGTGTTGCCATCTGAAAATTCAATGTCTACCATGCAAGCTCTAGACTCTGGAAGCAAATATCAATCTACTCATTACTCTCATAAGGTGAGGTCAGCTTCTACAACTACATTTCTGATTGAGGTCCTATGAACATTTTTTTTAATATAACAGTTGACCAATACATACTACGAAAGACCCATTAGGCAGCTACCGCAGGCCATGGACACATGGATACGTTGCCGGCCTTTTAAGAAGGAGTATGCTTTTCTTTTAAACGGTACCTAATCGTATCTTTCAGAGAAGACCTCCACAGTTCGCTACTTTTAATAATAGCTCTCGTCATAGGATAGATACCTTTTTTTATGGAAATATTAAGAAGCGCTTCGTGGGCGTTACTTGAACCTAACGGAACCATGAACATGCATTGGTTAGAATAGGACACAGTGGCGTAACAATACCATCTGGGGCCCGTGACAAATTCTTTTGATGGGACCCTATCAGTAAAAATCGTCACGTTGTACAAGTTTAATTTTAATAAACTTCGAGATTTTCAGCGTACTCAATTACACGTTGTATATCTCCCACTAATGGCCATAGCACTCCTCTCTTAGGCGAGAGGGAATGGTCTGTACTCCCACGCTAACTCAATGCGTATTGGAGACTTCACATTCATCCATAGAATAATAATAATAATATCTCTTGGGTCGGGGCCCGTGCCATTTTGCCAGCCCTGCCACCCTATTGTCACGCCACTGGTGTAGAAACTAACGGAACTAATGTGAACGGAAATCGTCACGAAAACGTGACTGAACCTATCGTAAAGTTTGTGTTCTGGCAAACTAAGAATATGGGTTTGAATTCAATATTCTCACGAGTTTGACTAATTGTTCTCCTTTTATATCAATGAACTCGTCCTTTATTCTTAGATAACACCAACAAACGGAGATACCGAAGACAAAGGACAAGGGTTCCCAGACGACACATATAGAAACTTCAAAAGCAAAGCCTAATTTGAATAATTTAAACGATTATTTTATGATGACTTTTTTCCCTTTCAATGAATTAAAATTCTATCGAACCTACTAATAATAATAAAAAAAATTGTTTTTCCCACCGTGATGTTTAGTTTTCTGTCTTATAATTTATTGGAAATAATATTTTGAATTATAATCAGATGATTTCGATTTTATGGCAAATTAACGATCCCAAGAATAAATTAAAAAATTCATGGTTTCCTGCCATCTGTCTGATAGTAAAGTCAACGTTGTATTGTCTTTTATTGACATAACTTGTAGACATAGAAAAACACTTTTTTACCGGATTTGAAGATATGTTTTATTATAAATTTACAATTATTTTACATAATTTTAAATTTAACCGACGTTTCGCGTGCTTTACAGCGTGCGTGGTCACGGTGACTGAAGACAAAAGGTGTTGAATGTCAAAAAGTATCACAGCTGTAGAAAAAGTTGTGTTATCTGTATTTATTACCCCGGAGTTGGTATCGAGTATCGACTAAAAGCTTGGCAGAAGTTTTGGCAGAAAAACCCCTTCATCTTTAAGTCGATCGAAAGCGAAACGTCGGTTAAATTTAAAATTATATAAAATAATTGTAAATTTATAATAAAACATATCTTCAAATCCGTTAAAAAAGTGTTTTTCAAAGTCAACGTTATTAGTCCGGGCCCTAGAGGTAATTGAGTATGCAAAATGTGAATTAAGAAAAGTCAAGGAATAATAATGTGGATCTTGCCGGTCCATTTTTTGTTCCATTTTTTTTTACCCCCTTTTCTCTTATGCGTAAAAGGAATGCATTGAGTACATGATATAAAATCATTTTAATGATTATTTCTATAATATTTGTATAGTTAAATAATATATTTTTTAATTAATAAATAAATAAAAGTTATAAATGAAAAAGAAGCGAATTCAAGCATAAATATACTTAAAGTAGGTTAAAATTTACTCATTTTTATTTTGACATTTGTTATTGATGCAGTTACATAATGAAATAAAAACAAATTAAGATTTTTTTGCAATTACAAGACATTTTGCGGCAATTTGCAGTACATTTACATGGTAGAATTATTGACTCTGGTAAGGACGGCTAACCAAAATGAACAATAATCAATGGGTGGTTCCTGATTGTGTTTGATGAGAATTTTAACATCTTAATGTTTGTAGTACAGCCCTTAATAAATGCAAAAATAAAGCATCTGAAGTGCATACTAGGCATGCCTTTTAAGTTCTGTCGTTTTCATATTTCCCGGAAATTTTGAATTTGGAACTGTTCTATATTCGAATGTTTAAATTTTGAATCTCAAAACAGTCGAAAGTATGAGGATTAATGCTATTGTTTAGTCACAGCGTCGATTGAAATCTGTCAAGTTACGTTCGAAAATGAATCTTGCTAAGGAAAATGTTCGTGCAATAATTTTCTACAACTTTAGAAGAGGCCTGACATGGCTTCAGTGTTTTGAAGAGCTTCTGTATTCAATGATTAAGCCCCATGTCTGCGGACTGTCGAACGCTGGTAATTAGAATTCCAACGACATACTAGTGTGAAGTAGTGCGAAGGACGCCCAAAATCCGCCTTCACTGCAGATAACATCATTGCTGTGAGACAACTAATTCTCGAAGAACGTCATGTGACATATCGAGAGATAGATGCTGTATTAGGCATCTCAGGGACATTCATAAGATCTTGCATGAAGCACTTGGTGTGAGAAAGCTAGTTTGCCGTTGGATACCGCATCTGCTTTCCGACAATCACAAGGCAGCCCGCGTCAGATGGAGTAAGAAAACTCTGCAAAGGTTCAACCGAGGAGAGTCAAATCACGTCTACGACGTCATCAGTGGTGACTAATATTGGATCTATACCTACGATCCTGATTCCATCATCCTGCACCACGACAACGCAATCTCACACAGCGCTCGTCAAACGATTCAGTATTTGAAGCAGGAAAGAGTAGAAATTCTTGACCATCCTCCATATAGTCCTTACCTAAGCTCTAACGATTTCTTTACATTTCCTAAAATAAAAAAATTTCTTCATGGTCAAAGATTCCATTCCGGTGAAGAAGCACTCGAAGCTTTCAAGTCAGCCATTTTGAACACCCCCACTTTAGAGTGGAATAAATGTTATAGTAACTAGTTTGAGCGAATGGAAAAGTGAATTAAGCTACGTGTTGACAACAAAAAAAACAATAAAAAGTACTATAGCGTTCTAGTTGTGTTTCTTTCTTCAAACGACAAAACTTAATAGGCATGCCTCGTGTCACTCTCATCAAATTGAAATTGAAACCTATATTTTGAGATATTAGTATAAATCTGAGTTCATCAGCAGATCATTTTTTAAATGGCATCCTATAAAAATATTTTTTTGTGTGAGAACCGTCAAACCATAGATCGAGACACCCAATACTTGCTAAGTATTTCCAGTAATAAACTGCCAAGACAAATACATCTGTATCAGCGCTGATTATCATAATGTGTGGACGAACATTCTTGAATGAGCTTCTGAATGGTTTGATTGTAATTCAAGTAAGTAGGTACCTCACAAATTGAAGACCCTTGAAACATTTAGTTGGATCATCGAATCCTTCACAAATATATAGCTCACAGTCTTCTTTGACTTGTGTATATTTTAAAACATTAGCGCACAGAAATCGAACGAGTTGCAATTTATAAATTTATTAAGGGCTATAGCAGAAACTTTTTAATGGAAAATGTTATTTTTATTAATAATTAAGAATTTATCCGCACATTTACCATTACAACAACTATAAATTATTATAGAAATACTCATTAAAATGATTTTATATCATGTACTCAATACATTCCCTTTTAAGGCATAAGAGAAAAGAGGGTAAAAAAATGGACCGGCACGAACCACATTATTATTCCTTGACCTTTTCTTAACTCAAATCTATAGTAGGGGAGCCCACGCTGCTAAATGGGGATTTACACGAGCGTCATAGAGACCTATAGATAATAATAAGACAACTCGCGAAGCGTGTCAGATTAAGATATATACGTATATAATAATAAAAAATAAGGTTCATCTTAATGTCCTAGTCAGATAATCTCACGATTATCTGGAGGGATTTGCCTAATCTGATAATTAAAAAAAAATTATATCATTGAAACTACTAACTAACTTAATTGGTAGATAAGCTCTTGAAATAGCAAAAAGTGTATGTTGTTTAAGTAGAACTTGTATTTATCATATAATAATTTTAAAAAAATGCTTAAAAATAATAAAAGACAAAAATTAACCAGAAGAACCGGTTTACTTCGATGATATTAAAATTTTATTGATTTTTGCAAAGTAGTTTCACCACAAAATACACACTTTATGTTAATATTACTCATAGTTAATATTCTTAAACTAATATAGGCATCACTTAAACTTTATCGACGAATTTTTCTGACTTCGGCTTGTGGAAATAGTCAGATTATACAGGGTGGCCAAAAAGTCGTGGATCAAACGCAAATAGGGGATAGATAAGGTCATCAGCTGCAAAAAATTGTTCTACGGGAGGTCTCTAAGCTCAACCCCTGCAGAGTTATAATTTATTTTGCGTTTTATAAGAAAATTGTCTTTTTTTTACTAATTCTTATTAAAATTCGAAAAAATGTACATCCTGTATCTTTTTCATAATATCCACTAGATTGGTATTGATGAGTTCTTGCTTTAGACTATTTATAGTTGTTCTTTGAGTGTATGAAGATAATATTAAGTTATACGATATAATTTTTTTTCAAATCATAACATTTTGTTTACTTCGGACCCCACTGTGAAAAAAAATTACTGTACCGAAAAGTGGCCCTGTATTACAAGTTTTGGCGCATTTAATAAGGATTCTGAAAAGGTATTACACATGGCCATGAGTCGCTCTAATATCTTTCAAGGACGAAAAAACAACAGCAATGCAGATGATGATGACCTTATCTATCCCCTATTTGCGTTTGATCCACGACTTTTTGACCACCCTTGACCCTGGGCTCATATTTTGTAGAGGTACAAGGTATCCCCTGTATATTAATCTGCCACACTGTAGTAAATCCCGAAATCCCCTCTTGGGCTCCCCCCGTACTATTACTTGTAACAGATGTGTGGCCCATAATTGTAAATGTATTAAAACATTTAAAACTAATTTGTCTTATTTTAAAACGTTCTTTCATTTCATTTTCTTTTATTTATGTTTTATAGTAATTCTAGTTGTTTTTTCTACAAAACTTACAACTGACAACATTCATTTCGAAAAAAAAATTTTATTTCGAGCTAATTTTTAACTCGCATACCTAAATATTTTCATTATTTGCTCACATTTTTCGAAGGCCACAATTAACAATGAAACATCTGTGTTTGTTCATAGTGAATGCTTAGGTATCTATATCGCTAATATATTATCTATTTAATTATAGACTAGTTTTAGCCCGCGGCGAATCCCGTTAAAACATATTTCAGATTTTATTTTTTTAAATTTACCACTTTTCATTACCTTCTATGGCATAACCGTGCTGCAACTGTTAAACCGTAGGTTCGAACTTCGGCTGTGCTTAGGAGAGGTGGTCTGAATTTCTCTTTCTGTACTTTTTCTTTGACTTTTTTTTAAATACTTTTAATCCTCCTCCCCCTTCCTCCTCTCCTTCGTGTGGGGAGTTAAACATCGTAAGGAATCCGACATGCCTTAGATCCAATAAAGTTGACGGCGTGTGTAAGGCACAGAAGGCTGCTCGCCTACTTGCCAATTAGAAATAATAAGCACGAAACAAACACAGAAATCTGAGTCCTACGCCAAGAGGGAAGAGGGTTGTAGCGTCACTGATATTTTTTACTATTTCCAAAGATTTCTCAATTATGCATACAAAAATAGTTTTAAAAGCCCATTTCTACTGAATTATAAACATCCACATTATTGTTGAGATGATTCCAAAAGAGCCACTCTGCTTCGACACTCTTTAAGGATTTTTTTATTCAACGAATAGCTCTCAAATTTGTTGTTCTACAAACAAACAAGCAGTTCCAATTTTATCGTATCATAATATATTATATACAAACATTACTATGGCGTGTTTTTTTAATTTATTGCTTTTTTGGTAAATACTTGAAGCACGAGGAAAAATGATCATTTTATATAGGCCGATGTGTTCGTTTGTTCTTTTTTATGTTACAGGAGGCAAGCGGGCAGGAGGCTCACCTGATGTTAAGTGATACCGCCACCCATGGACACACGCTCTGCCAGAAGGCTGGCAAGCGCGCTGCCGGCCTTTTAAGAATTGGTACGCTCTTTTCTCCAATGGGCAGTTGGTTCCACATAGTGGTGGTGCGCGGCAGAAATTGCCTTAAGAAACGCTCCGTTGTGGAACGACGGACGTCAATGTGATACGGATGGTATTTTGTATTCTGCCTTGACGTCCGAAGATGAAACTCAGCTGCAGGTATTAGTCCGAACACTCTCCATGGTAAATGCGGTACAAGATGCAGAGAGATCCCACATCTCTAAGAAACGCCAATTCAAACGCCATTGTTGTATAGGGATAATAAGCTTAATATTTAAATAATAACCAACAACAAATACACATGTATGTTTATCTATGGTTTTATTAATTAATAATAATTATTATTATTTATTTATTTGTTCAGATAAAATAATCCATCATTATGTTAGTATAAACTTACGGACTAGTGTTAGTATATTATTATTAAAAAGCTAAACATAAAAACCCATGAAACATTCTATATTTAATCTCTCTCGATGTGGAGAGTCTTGGGCCAAGTGGAATACGATGCGGCACCTAGAACGTTTTATAATCCTCTTTAATATGCTGCTTCTCGATAGAACAGGTACAAGAGCTGGCGAGATACTCACACAGCAAAGCACAGTGAAATAGAAAAAACAGTAATTAAATACTTCTTTAAATTTTTATTATTTTTATCTTATTAAAAGAGAACTAAACATGAATAAGATAAAGGCACAGAAACTGATCATTTACTATTCCCATGGCAAATCTAAAAAAAATATTTATCTGTAATTCAATATTATCCTAGAATAAAATATTTAAGGAATTTAGTCATTCCGTATAGGCAAATTCGGCTTATTACATATTTATATAAACAAACATATTAATTATTGTTTTTTACATAAAGAAAATAGTTTTTGTAACAGTTACTAAATCAAACGATCTATTTCAACAGCAGACACGTCTTAAGCTACGCTAAACGTACACACACACACGTGTAATATGTTATTTCGAATGTAACTAACATTTTATTGTTAAAAAAGCACCTGTATCCTTGAGTGCTTGCTACGCACAACGTCATCTTCAAATTTTGTTTTGATCTAAAATATGACTTTAATAAAATTCACGTTTAACAGTGTTTTCCAACCGATTTTTTCCATGCCCCTTAATTGTTCACTTAAGAAACATAAATGATAAGTTTTAGGAAGAAATAAGGAAAACTAGGAAATTGTTAAAGAAACACAGGAAGTATTCAAAATGAAAAACCAAAATTCCAAATAATTTTATTAAACTTTCGAATAGCCCCCTTAACAATCAAATTGCCCCCTAGTGGGGCGTGGGCCCCACGTTGGCCCACGAAACAGTGATCTACGTTGACTCTACGTGGCGTAGCGCTTAGCTACGACATCTATTCTGATGCAAGATTACGTTGATATTTTTACCAATATATTTATGAGCAGTATTGGCCTAGAGGCTTCAGGGTGGGACTCTCATCCCTGAGGTTGTGGGTATGATCCCCGGCTATGCACATTTTACATTCGCTCGAACGGTGAAGGAAAACGTCCTGAGGAAACCGGCTTGCCTACAAAGTCGACGGCATGTGTACAGGAGGCGAATCACCTACTTGCCTATTATATTGACATGTTATCATGAAACAGATACATAAATCTGAGGCCCAGACCTCAAAAGGTTGTGGCACCACTGATTTATTTCTTATAGTTTTATGTAGGTACGATGGAAACGAAAGGGAGCAGCGTGATTGAGCACTCATACATCTGCATATCCAATGAAATGTGAATCAATCAGTATAAAATTCAATTCAATTCATTTATGTTGTATTTATAAATAATACAATAATATTTATACAAGAGATATATATATATATATATATATTTATGTTATCTTGTAATGGCCAAGATGATTTTGGTAATACCTTTACAATTTGATAAGTGTAGATGTAGAAGCCACAAAAGTAAAATTTGAATTTAAACAATTTAAATTAATTATAAACCTAAAAATTAATAACGTGGCGAACAAAGCTGATGACTTGTCTATAAAATAAATTATCAATATAACACACTGCTACCTGAGGCGAAGGCTTGAAGCACCACAAGCACCTAATTAATTATTAATTTATTTTACCGACAATAAATAAACAATATGAAGCGTGAAATATCGTCTAGGCATTTTGCATATGAATAGAATATAATTGGGATCGAGAATAATTTGTAAAGTGCAAAAATTAAAAATGAACTGAATTTATTAAACATACTTCAAAAACCAAAACGCGGTCTTTTCGATTTTAGAGATTGGTAGTCTAATTTCTGATATATCTTCGGTAAAGAATTCTAATCTAATCTAGATTTAGATTCTAAATTCTAGGTAGTATATATATAGTAGACCCTATAAATGTAATAAGTTCCTATCAAAAATAACTAAAAAAACAAAAGAGTAATACAAGCCCTTCCATTTGTTTTTTTAGGACATACGATATTAATCGGCTATGGTTATATAAACTGAAACTAACTATTACAGAGAGATATAATACACCGCTCTATTGGCTCCGTCAATGTTCAACAGGCATCGCTAGAGACGATCACATGTCGTTAATCCCTTGAAAGATGGGACGGGCTTTGGGATGCTGCTTGTGTGGATACGTTAGCCCCGTGTCACCTTCCTCGGACAAGCAGAAAAGCGGACACGCCCGCAGATCAGGCGGAAAATAATAAACGGCTTAAGTACAAGAGTCTTTCCTCCAACTTCGATTTTGTTCCCTTTGGAGAGACTCTCGGGCCGTGGGGATCAAGTGCATAGTCGTTTATTACTAAAGATTTAAGATGGCGCCTGGTAGATAGTACCGGTGACCCCAGAGCTGGTGCTTTCCTCGCTCAACGAATAAGTATCTCGATACAGCTAGGAAATGCTGCCAGCGTCACACGGTACACTGCCACAAGGACCAAACTTTTTAAATTTGTCTTAATTATCTTTTTATTATTACTGTAAGGTTAAGAAAATTGTAAATACTATATATTTGATTGTTATGTTTATGTTTATGTGTATATACAGTATAATATATATATATAACTTATGTATTTTTGTTACTATGATTGAGTGACTGATCATTTCGCAAATATTTCTTATGCGTCTTCTCCGTATATACTGCGTGTCTCTTAGGGAAACCCAATGTCCCCAGAATTGCGAAAACTGAACAAACACCCCCTAAATGATACGATATGATAAAATGATAAAATAGCAATGTTTTTTTACGGAACCACACTCAAATTCTGATTAAACAAGAGCGTTCATGAAAATTGTTTACTTTCACGAACACTTGTGTAAATAATGTTTTAATTCACTAATCAGTATAAAAGATGATATTTCTTTTGGAAAAATTAAGTTTCACTTCACAGTGACCATGGTGTCTTGTAAAGTCCTCTTGGCTTTGGCCTTGGTAAGTATAAGATTTATATCATTCGGTTATAAAACAATATTTATAAGGATTGCATTATCTTAATAAATAATTTTCATAGTTTAAATTATTGAAAAATAATATTATTATAAATCCAAATATTATATAACAAGTTTTCGTTTGTTTTTAATGTAAGAACCAAACCAATTAACCAATTTATAGAATTTTGGAGAACATTTGAACATCTTAAACAAGTACTATTTAAGAATATAATATAATAATATTTTTAGAAAATTAAATCAAATTGAAAACTTTGGTGGTACCTGTGCTTGCAATAAATAACCTTTAATGCTGGCATGGAAAGCACCAGCTCTGGGGTCACCGGTACTATCTATCAGGCGCCAATTTAAGTCTTTAACAAGTATTTTAGTTTTTAATTGTAGGATGTATCAAAAAATATTTAATCAGGGTGACAAAAACTATCACCGCATTTGATAGCCATCCCCATTTGATCCCATAGTTTATTAATTGTTTAATTAAAACCAAATAACATTATTTTATATTTCCAGGTCACCGTAGTATCAAGTACTCCAACATTCCATCACCAACACCACCACCACGATCTTCTTGGTGGGCTAAGGATTAAGAAACAAGTAAGTTCAAAACTCAACTCTTAAAAGCTTAACGTGACGAAGGATCGTCAAGCTCAATGTGTGTATGTGGCATCCTTTTGTATAACTGATAATATTATTCTCTTCCAAACCGAAAACCTTTTATTCCAATTATTTTTCACATAGCGAAATATTAGAAAATATTTTTGTTTCTAATTTTTTTTATATTAATCACCTAAAGTGGGATTTTGTTATATTAATTAATTTAAATAAATTATAAGACATTGGAAAGCTTTTGTATACGAATGGTACTAATAATAAAGTATTTTAATATTAATTATCTTTAAACAGCTTGGAATTGGTATTTCCGGAGGATTAAATCTGATCTTCAGGAAACATAGACGTGAGTAGAAACTTTATTATACGCCAACACTTTTAACCTCACACGAGTTAATTGATTCAATGTATTTTGAATACAATAAAAAAATATTTTATAATATCTCTTTTAAGAATATATACTACATCTAAGAATCATCTACAGGACATGCTAAGCCAATTCGAAAACATTATTAAATACATTCAACACTTAAGCTTCTAATGACATTTCACATTATTCCCACATTTACTTCGTTAATTCAAAAAATATTTTTTTCAGTCAACAACAGAATATGCGACCATGATACACACAAGTTATTGCTTGGATACAGTAAGTTATATTCTAACTATACATACTTATATTTGTGATAAAAACGTAACCCAAACTTAATAAAACTTCTCACTTCTAGCTGATAAGAAAATATCTCCTATTCATCTACTCTAATTAAGCTCAAAGATAGATTGAAATTCTTTTGCAAAAGTTCAAAGTAAAATAGATTAATTTATGCTGCATTTATCATAATAATATAACAAGTGAAGTTTATTTAATTATATTTTTTTTACAGAGAAACCACGTCATATCAATGACATCTATGGATTGGTGCCGAATTGTAAGTATTAATATAATTTCTGCCGATTACGCTTTAAAAAATGTTAAATAATAATTGCCGAGTTAGATTTAAACTCTCACTCAAACTTGTATTAGAATTGGTGCCGATATTTTGTTACTGTTATGAGAGTTTTATTTTAAGTAAACTGTACTTTCATTTCCTTCCAGTGATCACAGGATTGGGTGGCATCATTGATACACACGTCGATGGATGTAAGTAATAATATAATTTTAAAAAACTTGATAAAATTATTATTGATACTCAACGAAAGAGGAACAGAAAAACTTCTATAAAGACATCCAAATTGGAAAGTCTATCAGTATCAGCCTACACATTTTCATATCGTATAGTATTGCTATTTTGTAGTATGCCTTGAAACTTAATTCATACTTTGTTTTCAGATGGTTCTCTGCTCGCAAGATGTAAGTATTATGAATATTAATTACATATCAATTGGTGTCAAGTAATACAATAAATTTTACATAAGTTTGTACAAAAATTAAAGTTTTTATGAATGTAATGGAATAAAAATTCTTATACTAAAACTTTATTAACTTTCAGTGGTGATTGCATACTCAAGAATCTCCGTGTGCCTCAATAATAAGGGTTAGTTTCAAAATATCATAGTTAATTAGACATACCAAGTTTTGTCTATTAAGTTTAGCGTACGCGTATCTTTGCGCAGAAAACCAAACCACATCTATTGTATTGGCCTAGTGACTGAAGCGTAATACTGTAACACTTGAGGTCCTTCCTCAGAGTCAGAGCTGTGCACCGATGAGCTTACCAAACTGATATTTATTACCGATTTTTATCATAATATTAATAAAACCAGACAGATTATTGAGTCAGCTGAGGTCTATATTTCTTTACCTTATCTAGATTACTCCAAAGTGTAAAAATATGTTAGTTTTATCGACATTTCTATTTTCAGGAACCACACCGCCATTCTGCGGACGGGACTTCTCTCAGTTTGGAATAAAAGGATGCGGCAAGAATTCTCTCGAAATCGTTCAGCGATTCCAAGTAATCAACGCGGTTAAACTTGTCAATGCACACATCCACAAATACACTGATGGCAAAGGTGAGAATCACTGGCAATTACACAATTTTTATCCATGTTCGATACCCGGAGAATCAAAAACTATTTTATATTATATACTATTTATAACTTACATAGATAACTTATTATTGACAATTTAAGTACCATGTCTAATCTTTTAGTGGTTAGCGTACATAAAAATAACCCACTTTTAAACTTCTAAATTGATCTTTTCAGGAATCGGTTCCACAAAGGGCTTCATTTACGTGATGTTCAAGATTGGTCTGGAAATTGCACAGGGAATTGACAGTAAGTATTGGAACGAAGTTCCTTATCGCGCGTTGTGAAAGGGGGCTAGACGGAAAAAATTCTTACGAAAAGTTGTCACGACACTTTTTTGCTATTTGCTATTGTAATACACTGTTTCTCGTCCGATCACCGAAGTTAAGCAACGTCGGGCGAGGTCAGTACTTGGATGGGTGACCGCCTGGGAACACCTCGTGATGTTGGCTTTTTTTTTCGTCGTAAGATTGGTGTCGAGAAAATCTATCATACTGTTATGATACCAATTAACATATAAATTAATCGAAAGGAATGTCGTTCCATCCGGGTGTCCCTTGACACCTCTAAAGTTTTTTTTATATATTCGCCAGTCTTCGCTTTCTTTAAATTTTACTATAAAACTACACCTATGTTATTATCACATAATAAGACAATGTGCTATGTGTATGCTTCTTCGTCTATATTTCTCTTGCAACTGATTGTAAGGTGTTAATTGAAAACTATTGTTTCCATTATACTACGTAATAAACAATTTCTTCATTCTTTTGTCGTAATTTACTAATACACTAAGTATTATCACTGAAGAAATATTCATTTTACAGACAGACAAAACATCAACAAGAATTCGTTCAACTGGGTGTTCTTGCAAGGTATGATTCTTCATATTTATCACATTTAACGACTAAGGTCATGTAATTTGTTACGTTACTTAACAGTTAACACACCTTTTAATTCAGTGGTTCGATTACCAACTTTTCAGGTTGAAAAAACTATAACTGGTATTATTAACAAAACTAATGCAGTTTTCTACTATTTATTTATTTCCTATTTAACTTAATACTAATACAAAAGGAAACTTATAACTATAAAAATTTAACTAAAAACATAATATGAACAAAACAATAAAACCAAACCTTTTTATAACTTATTATAATGCAATTCTTACGAATTCAGCCAGTGTGCAACTAAATATCCGTCTCACATGCAATAATATTAAGGATGCGCAAGACACGCGTAAATGGCGCTACTCTGAGTAAAGTTGTCTCCCAAGATTAAACACGAAATGCTTAACCAATTTTATCACACAAAATGCTTAATCTTAAGATATTTTTTACAAAATGTTCTCTTGTTGCAAAGACAGCTGCTTTTGTTGTTTTTCTAATAATTATTCTTATTTCAGTTACCATATTGATCGGTGCTTTCGGAAACTCCTACAAAGCGGACTGTAAGTATATTTAATATTACCATTTTAATTTAGAAAACTACATCGCATCACCTTCCCTTTGAATGATTTTAAATTAATTTTAAAAAAATATTATATATGCCTGAACAGAAATAATTCATATATCCAGCGTATTATTTTTATAGTGGGAGCTTCAGTTTCTTTGGGAATAATCAAGACATGCCACCCAATTCTTCACAAACACGGCTATTCAGGTAAGAAGTTATCGCTGATCTATTGAAAGTTAGGAGTTACTTCTAGCTAACTAGCTAGCTACTAACCTAGAATGTGTTATAAATTATATATATATAATATAGTAAAAGGAAGAATCAATATGACTACATACTAAAAAATTTATTCATAAATTTCAACTTGTTTTCTTTTGCAGGTGTCTTGCACTTGTGGCAAGAAGTGAACCTAATAATAAAACCATGTAATGGCATCAGAGGACCATTTAATCCAATCGATAGCAATGACGGTGACGATAAAGACATTGATTTAGGTGATTGGAATGATGATAACGATGATGATGATAATGACGGCAGCTCCGGCTCTGGCAGTGGACAAGGCCAAGGACAGAGCGGCTCCAACGGTAATGGTAGCTCCGGCTCTGGCAGCGGACAAGGACAAGGACAGAGCGGCTCCAACGGCAGTACTACCTGGAGCTCTGGCAGCGGACAAGGACAAGGACAGAGCGGCTCCAACGGTAATGGTAGCTCCGGCTCTGGCAGCGGACAAGGACAAGGACAGAGCGGCTCCAACGGTAATGGTAGCTCCGGCTCTGGCAGCGGACAAGGACAAGGACAGAGCGGCTCCAACGGCAGTACTACCTGGAGCTCTGGCAGCGGACAAGGACAAGGACAGAGCGGCTCCAACGGTAATGGTAGCTCCAGCTCTGGCAGCGGACAAGGACAAGGACAGAGCGGCTCCAACGGTAATGGTAGCTCCGGCTCTGGCAGCGGACAAGGACAAGGACAGAGCGGCTCCAACGGCAGTACTACCTGGAGCTCTGGCAGCGGACAAGGACAAGGACAGAGCGGCTCCAACGGTAATGGTAGCTCCGGCTCTGGCAGCGGACAAGGACAAGGACAGAGCGGCTCCAACGGTAATGGTAGCTCCGGCTCTGGCAGCGGACAAGGACAAGGACAGAGCGGCTCCAACGGTAATGGTAGCTCCGGCTCTGGCAGCGGAAAAGGCCAAGGACAGAGCGGCTCCAACGGTAATGGTAGCTCCGGCTCTGGCAGCGGACAAGGACAAGGACAGAGCGGCTCCAACGGCAGTACTACCTGGAGCTCTGGCAGCGGACAAGGCCAAGGACAGAGCGGCTCCAACGGTAATGGTAGCTCCGGCTCTGGCAGCGGACAAGGACAAGGACAGAGCGGCTCCAACGGCAGTACTACCTGGAGCTCTGGCAGCGGACAAGGACAAGGACAGAGCAGCTCCAACGGCAGTAGTACCTGGAGCTCTGGCAGCGGTCAAGGACAAGGACAGAGCAGCTCCAACGGCAGTAGTACCTGGAGCTCTGGCAGCGGACAAGGACAAGGACAGAGCAGCTCCAACGGCAGTAGTACCTGGAGCTCTGGCAGCGGACAAGGACAAGGACAGAGCGGCTCCAACGGTAATGGTAGCTCCGGCTCTGGCAGTGGACAAGGCCAAGGACAGAGCGGCTCCAACGGCAGTACTACCTGGAGCTCTGGCAGTGGACAAGGCCAAGGACAGAGCGGCTCCAACGGTAATGGTAGCTCCGGCTCTGGCAGCGGACAAGGACAAGGACAGAGCGGCTCCAACGGCAGTACTACCTGGAGCTCTGGCAGCGGACAAGGCCAAGGACAGAGCGGCTCCAACGGTAATGGTAGCTCCGGCTCTGGCAGCGGAAAAGGACAAGGACAGAGCGGCTCCAACGGTAATGGTAGCTCCGGCTCTGGCAGCGGAAAAGGACAAGGACAGAGCGGCTCCAACGGTAATGGTAGCTCCGGCTCTGGCAGCGGACAAGGACAAGGACAGAGCGGCTCCAACGGTAATGGTAGCTCCGGCTCTGGCAGCGGACAAGGACAAGGACAGAGCGGTTCCAACGGTAATGGTAGCTCCGGCTCTGGCAGCGGACAAGGACAAGGACAGAGCGGCTCCAACGGTAATGGTAGCTCCGGCTCTGGCAGCGGACAAGGACAAGGACAGAGCGGCTCCAACGGTAATGGTAGCTCCGGCTCTGGCAGCGGAAAAGGCCAAGGACAGAGCGGCTCCAACGGTAATGGTAGCTCCGGCTCTGGCAGCGGACAAGGACAAGGACAGAGCGGCTCCAACGGCAGTACTACCTGGAGCTCTGGCAGCGGACAAGGCCAAGGACAGAGCGGCTCCAACGGTAATGGTAGCTCCGGCTCTGGCAGCGGACAAGGACAAGGACAGAGCGGCTCCAACGGCAGTACTACCTGGAGCTCTGGCAGCGGACAAGGACAAGGACAGAGCAGCTCCAACGGCAGTAGTACCTGGAGCTCTGGCAGCGGTCAAGGACAAGGACAGAGCAGCTCCAACGGCAGTAGTACCTGGAGCTCTGGCAGCGGACAAGGACAAGGACAGAGCAGCTCCAACGGCAGTAGTACCTGGAGCTCTGGCAGCGGACAAGGACAAGGACAGAGCGGCTCCAACGGTAATGGTAGCTCCGGCTCTGGCAGTGGACAAGGCCAAGGACAGAGCGGCTCCAACGGCAGTACTACCTGGAGCTCTGGCAGTGGACAAGGCCAAGGACAGAGCGGCTCCAACGGTAATGGTAGCTCCGGCTCTGGCAGCGGACAAGGACAAGGACAGAGCGGCTCCAACGGCAGTACTACCTGGAGCTCTGGCAGCGGACAAGGCCAAGGACAGAGCGGCTCCAACGGTAATGGTAGCTCCGGCTCTGGCAGCGGAAAAGGACAAGGACAGAGCGGCTCCAATGGTAATGGTAGCTCCGGCTCTGGCAGCGGAAAAGGACAAGGACAGAGCGGCTCCAACGGTAATGGTAGCTCCGGCTCTGGCAGCGGACAAGGACAAGGACAGAGCGGCTCCAACGGTAATGGTAGCTCCGGCTCTGGCAGCGGACAAGGACAAGGACAGAGCGGCTCCAACGGCAGTACTACCTGGAGTTCTGGCAGCGGACAAGGCCAAGGACAGAGCGGCTCCAACGGTAATGGTAGCTCCGGCTCTGGCAGCGGACAAGGACAAGGACAGAGCGGCTCCAACGGTAATGGTAGCTCCGGCTCTGGCAGCGGACAAGGACAAGGACAGAGCGGCTCCAACGGTAATGGTAGCTCCGGCTCTGGCAGCGGAAAAGGACAAGGACAGAGCGGCTCCAACGGTAATGGTAGCTCCGGCTCTGGCAGCGGAAAAGGCCAAGGACAGAGCGGCTCCAACGGTAATGGTAGCTCCGGCTCTGGCAGCGGACAAGGACAAGGACAGAGCGGCTCCAACGGCAGTACTACCTGGAGCTCTGGCAGCGGACAAGGCCAAGGACAGAGCGGCTCCAACGGTAATGGTAGCTCCGGCTCTGGCAGCGGAAAAGGACAAGGACAGAGCGGCTCCAACGGCAGTACTACCTGGAGCTCTGGCAGCGGACAAGGCCAAGGACAGAGCGGCTCCAACGGTAATGGTAGCTCCGGCTCTGGCAGCGGACAAGGACAAGGACAGAGCGGCTCCAACGGCAGTACTACCTGGAGCTCTGGCAGCGGACAAGGCCAAGGACAGAGCGGCTCCAACGGTAATGGTAGCTCCGGCTCTGGCAGCGGACAAGGACAAGGACAGAGCGGCTCCAACGGCAGTACTACCTGGAGCTCTGGCAGCGAACGGACAGAGCGGCCCAACGGAATGGTAGCTCCGGCTCTGGCCCAAGGACAGAGCGGCTCTAACGGTAATGGTAGCTCCGGCTCTGGCAGCGGAAAAGGACAAGGACAGAGCGGCTCCAACGGTAATGGTAGCTCCGGCTCTGGCAGCGGACAAGGACAAGGACAGAGCGGCTCCAACGGCAGCGGCAGTACTACCTGGAGCTCTGGCGGCGGACAAGGCCAAGGACAGAGCGGCTCTAACGGTAATGGTAGCTCCGGCTCTGGCAGCGGAAAAGGACAAGGACAGAGCGGCTCCAACGGTAATGGTAGCTCAGGCTCTGGCAGCGGACAAGGACAAGGACAGAGCGGCTCCAACGGCAGTACTACCTGGAGCTCTGGCAGCGGACAAGGACAAGGACAGAGCGGCTCCAACGGTAATGGTAGCTCCGGCTCTGGCAGCGGACAAGGCCTAGGACAGAGCGGCTCCAACGGTAATGGTAGCTCCGGCTCTGGCAGCGGACAAGGACAAGGACAGAGCGGCTCCAACGGTAATGGTAGCTCCGGCTCTGGCAGCGGACAAGGACAAGGACAGAGCGGCTCCAACGGCAGTACTACCTGGAGCTCTGGCAGCGGACAAGGCCAAGGACAGAGCGGCTCTAACGGTAATGGTAGCTCCGGCTCTGGCAGCGGAAAAGGACAAGGACAGAGCGGCTCCAACGGTAATGGTAGCTCCGGCTCTGGCAGCGGACAAGGACAAGGACAGAGCGGCTCCAACGGCAGTACTACCTGGAGCTCTGGCAGCGGACAAGGACAAGGACAGAGCGGCTCCAACGGTAATGGTAGCTCCGGCTCTGGCAGCGGACAAGGCCTAGGACAGAGCGGCTCCAACGGTAATGGTAGCTCCGGCTCTGGCAGCGGACAAGGACAAGGACAGAGCGGCTCCAACGGCAGTACTACCTGGAGCTCTGGCAGCGGACAAGGACAAGGACAGAGCGGCTCTAACGGTAATGGTAGCTCCGGCTCTGGCAGCGGACAAGGACAAGGACAGAGCGGCTCCAACGGTAATGGTAGCTCCGGCTCTGGCAGCGGACAAGGACAAGGACAGAGCGGCTCCAACGGTAATGGTAGCTCCGGCTCTGGCAGCGGACAAGGACAAGGACAGAGCGGCTCCAACGGCAGTACTACCTGGAGCTCTGGCAGCGGACAAGGCCAAGGACAGAGCGGCTCCAACGGTAATGGTAGCTCCGGCTCTGGCAGCGGAAAAGGACAAGGACAGAGCGGCTCCAACGGTAATGGTAGCTCCGGCTCTGGCAGCGGACAAGGACAAGGACAGAGCGGCTCCAACGGCAGTACTACCTGGAGCTCTGGCAGCGGACAAGGCCAAGGACAGAGCGGCTCTAACGGTAATGGTAGCTCCGGCTCTGGCAGCGGAAAAGGACAAGGACAGAGCGGCTCTAACGGTAATGGTAGCTCCGGCTCTGGCAGCGGAAAAGGACAAGGACAGAGCGGCTCTAACGGTAATGGTAGCTCCGGCTCTGGCAGCGGACAAGGACAAGGACAGAGCGGCTCCAACGGCAGTACTACCTGGAGCTCTGGCAGCGGACAAGGCCAAGGACAGAGCGGCTCCAACGGTAATGGTAGCTCCGGCTCTGGCAGCGGACAAGGACAAGGACAGAGCGGCTCCAACGGTAATGGTAGCTCCGGCTCTGGCAGCGGACAAGGACAAGGACAGAGCGGCTCCAACGGCAGTAGTACCTGGAGTTCTGGCAGCGGACAAGGACAAGGACAAGGACAAGGACAGAGCGGCTCCAACGGTAATGGTAGCTCCGGCTCTGGCAGCGGACAAGGACAAGGACAGAGCGGCTCCAACGGTAATGGTAGCTCCGGCTCTGGCAGCGGACAAGGACAAGGACAGAGCGGCTCCAACGGCAGTAGTACCTGGAGCTCTGGCAGCGGACAAGGACAAGGACAGAGCGGCTCCAACGGTAATGGTAGCTCCGGCTCTGGTAGCGGACAAGGACAAGGACAGAGCGGCTCCAACGGCAGTAGTACCTGGAGCTCTGGCAGCGGACAAGGACAAGGACAGAGCGGCTCCAACGGTAATGGTAGCTCCGGCTCTGGCAGCGGACAAGGACAAGGACAGAGCGGCTCCAACAAAAGTGGTAGCTGGGGCTCTGGCAAATATGGCCAATGTATTAATGTGGTTGCTGTTCCGTCTTTCAATGGTTATCGATCAAACCCATTCTCAAGCAACTATCAAAACGATGTTTCCTGGGTTTTTATCCCAGAGTCTGAGTTCAATGGAAATAATTACAGAAACAGTGCAAGAATTTATTAATTAGGTACCTAATTTATTATTTTCTGACAATAATTGTACTGGACATTATAATGGATTTGCATTTAATATATAAGTATGAGCATTTATATTTGACTTTTTTTTATAATCCTGAACATCCTTGTTTTTAATTAACTGACTAAAAATACATACCTACATTGAACCCCTTAGGCCGTTTCTCCACTGCTCCGGTCCGGCAAACGTTAATTACCGATCGGATTTAGAAACTCACAACAGTACTTACGTACTTCTCCACTACTCTGGCGTCTGGTTTTTAACGATCCGATAACTTGCTAGATCGGAACGCGGTGTTTTATCGGTCCAAGTATCCAAGAGGTTATAAATTATTATTCACATGTTTATATATATTTTCTTTAATTTGAAAGAATCTGGATAACCTGGACCAAACCAAATTATGTTGCTATTTATTTATATTTTTATACCATAGTATTAGTGAACTATTTATTAAGTTGATTATAATATTTTAAGATAGACAATATAGAGTAAGATCCCAGAGCGTTCTGACATAACTTATTTTCACATGGATGAAACCTTCACTAATTAGTAACGTCTAGTATACTTTAAATACCTGCCTACTTGTGGAGCTTGCCCTGTGACACCTGGGCATGTACCAGGTGAGAAAGGTAACTAAAAATATGAGTTATCTAACTTAAATTTGTATGGCTGAATTTTATATATATTTTGTAGAATATTATTCTAAACTAGAATTATAAAGTGTCAGACACTTTTCATGGACCAGAGCTTTTGTCAGACGCTTTAAAGCTCGACAAAAAATTAATGAACTTTACTTATTTTTTCATGTCTGACTTTTAAATATTTTATTCAAGTAACTACTACAAAGTTATATTTCATCAGTCAGACAAATTCGAGTGACCAAACATCCCCTAAACACAAAGTTATTCAGCCGGGAGTGCGAGCGAAAGAGCACTATGCGCATGCATTGCAGAGCGAGTGAGACGTTCACAACAACTCGGTTCCTCTTCTTAAACTCACCAACTGCTCCACTTTAAGGCCGATTTACATTATCTTAGTGTTTAGGAGAGTGCTTTAGTACAACTTGAAAGGCAAGTTCTTTAGCGTAGCATTTACTAAAGCAAGTAGCGTTTACATGTTTCAACTAAAGTACTATCCTAAAGCACTCTCCTAAACACTAATGATAATGTAAATCGGCCTTTACAGTGTATACGTGGTGTACTCGATGTTGATGCTGCCCGACTTCAGCTATTTATAAATAATTACAGCGTAAATAGTATTAACGAAGAATTCAATCGAAAAAATTTGAAAAATTTTGATGCAAGCAGTTTACCACCATGTAAAACTGAATTATTTCAAAAATTTCTCCGAGCGAATTACATTGCTAGTATATGGAATAATGCAAATGAAAAACTACCAACCATTTTAACTCCTGAACACAATGGGTGGAGGCTAGAAGAAAACCAATATCACTTTCATTGGTTTGATGGTGACCAATTACCCGGAGACATTAGTGAATTCCTTAAAAATTCAGGTACTATACTTTGACTTAAGTTTTAAATTTATTGTATTTATATTTTTATGTTTTTTAATTCTTTAAACTGTTTTTTGCAGAAGACGCTGCCAGCAACGACAACATCACTGATGACGACGAGGATGACTTGAATGGACAATATCATGATTGGATGAACGATGAAAATTCCAATGACTGTGTCGATAATTGGGATGATTAAAAGATAAACAAATATTTGCTGTAATTAATCATAGTTATATATTTTTTGGTAAAATAATTTTTTCTTAAATTTTTTCTAACTGGTATCTTTTTTACAATAAAATAAACTCCTTATAAAACAAAATGGCTCCTCATATATTCACTATCCCAAATACATGCAATAAATAAATTCACTTTAATATTTATTAATTCACAACTTAATATTGAAGCTCATCCCTGATTAGAAAAAGAGATTTGAAAAGATTCGAAATGGCTCAAAGAGATTAAAAAAGATTCAACTTGACAAATATATAGATATACATTTTGACTGGGTTGAATCTTTTTAAATCTTTTTTTTTTAATAAGAGATCTTACTGAAATAAGGATGCAAAAATCTTGGATTGAAATTAATAAGTATTTTCAATACATTTCAATTTTTTACTCTGAAACGCATGCGCATAGTGCTCTCGCGCTCGCACTCCCGGCTGAATAATTTTGTGTTTAGGGGATGTTTGGTCACGCGAATTTGTCTGACTGATGAAATATAACTTTGTAGTAGTTACTTGAATAAAATATTTAAAAGTCAGACATGAAAAAATAAGTAAAGTTCATTAATTTTTTGTCGAGCTTTAAAGCGTCTGACAAAAGCTCTGGTCCATGAAAAGTGTCTGACACTTTATAATTCTAGTTTAGAATAATATTCTACAAAATATATATAAAATTCAGCCATACAAATTTAAGTTAGATAACTCATATTTTTAGTTACCTTTCTCACCTGGTACATGCCCAGGTGTCACAGGGCAAGCTCCACAAGTAGGCAGGTATTTAAAGTATACTAGACGTTACTAATTCGTGAAGGTTTCATCCATGTGAAAATAAGTTATGTCAGAACGCTCTGGGATCTTGGACTAATATAAAAAAGTAATAAACTTGCCAGGGCAATAAAGTATTCAGAATTTAGAACGTTTTATTAACAAAATAAAGTATATGGGTTTTAGTTAATATACGTAGTTGGTCCCAAAGTTCTGTCACTGGCACATTATTTTTAAATTACGAACATGATTTTATAAAAAAATTATTGCATTCTATTTTTGATTGTTTGACTATTGTTTTAAAACAAAAAACAATCACTTTCCGTAAATTTTCAAGATGGAGTGGACATTGAAAGAAAACCGAATAGCTGTTATTGCGTTGCACCGCTATGGGCACTCGGCGAGTACCATTTTCAAGTTGCTCAAAAATTTAAATATAACGCTTAGGTTTGTGTACCGTACTATTGATAGGTACAATGAAGTCTCCAGTGTTGAGGACAAGAAAAGAACTGGCCGGCCACGCTCCGCAAGGACACCAGCAGTGATCAAAGCTATCAAGGCGCGGATAGCAAGAAATCCTGTCCGAAAACAGAAGTTGATGGCTTTGCAGATGGGTGTCAGTAGGAAAACAGTAAAAAAGGTTTTAAATGAAGATCTTGGTCTACGGGCATACAAAAGAAAGAGTGGGCACCTACTTAATGCTCGTCTAAAAGCAATAAGGCTTAAGAGATCGCGGGGTTTGTTAAAGCGGTACGCGAAAATCCGACACCGTGATATCCTCTTTACGGACGAAAAATTTTTCGATATTGAAGAGAAGTACAATAAACAGAATGATAGAGTGTACGCTAGGAGTTCTGAAGAAGCTGGAAATAAAGTTCCGAGGGTGCAACATGGACATCATCCATCATCAGTAATGGTCTGGTTGGGAGTGTCCTATTACGGGCCAACTGAGGTTCATTTTGCGAAAAGGGGGTCAAAACCAGTGCAAAAGTGTATCAAGACACGGTTTTGGACCAGCTTGTCAAAGACCTGCCCAGCACGCTATTTTCGGGACATCACTTTGTGTTCCAACAGGACTCTGCGCCTGCACACAAAGCCAAGACCACTCAAACCTGGTTTGAGCGTCAAAACATCGACTTAATTAGACATGAGGATTGGCCTTCCTCCAGTCCAGACCTTAATTCTTTGGACTATAAAATTTGGCAGGTCTTAGAGAGGAAGGTCTGTGATAAACCCCATAAAAATTTGGAGTGTCTGAAGTCATCTTTAAAAAAAGCAGTCACTGAAATCGACATGAATATGGTGCGTGCTGCGATAGACGACTGGCCGCGGCGCTTAAGGGCCTGTATTAAAAATAAGGGAGGTCATTTCGAATAATTTTATGCTATTTCTATTTCTTAATTTATGTACTATTAATTGATATATCACTCATTAAAAACTGATCAGTACTTTAGTTTTTATCATTATTTCTATTTATGACAGAACTTTGGGACCGACTACGTAAGTGTTACATGATAAATATACAAGTATCGATTATTTTCGGATCGGATATAGTGGAGAAGCGCAATTTTTCCTTCCGATAATTTTCTCATGACTCATTCCGGTATCCGACGCCGGACCGGAGCAGTGGAGAAAGGGCCTTAGAAACACAACGATCACAAACTTTACATGTTTTATAAATTTAATTTTTTATTAAAATTGATCTAACCTAACATATTTTGCAAATTTCTAAGGATTTTCTAAATTGCTCACCTAAAAAATTATGAAAAATACTAATACTCATGTTAAGTTAATTAATGTATTATATATGTTCCAAAACAAGATACAATTAATTTAATTTTTTGATGAAATGTTAAACAAATATCAATTAATTAAAACAAAAGCCATTGTAAGAGACAATCTTATCAAATGAGATACCAAATATACTACATCTACCAAAAAATATAAATAGTATAAGTAGCGGCACGAAACTCTAGCGCTGACCGTTATTGCGCAGAAGTAAAAAATAAGGTACCTGAGGGGGGCTAGCGGAATGAAGAGCGTCGATTGGCTCTCCAGTCGCATTTTGTCCCCCGCGCGACAGTACACATGCGCAGCAATCCCCTCCACGTATCGGCCAGCGCTAGACTTACGTGCCGCTGGTTATACTTGAAGTAAAATTAAATTCTTAAGTATAGCTTACAACATAATGATAAGCTCACAAATAAAATGAGAAATATGCTAAAACTGAACTGAACTGAGCTGCTTTTATGAATTTAAAATAAAGTATGTACATTGTTAATAATATATGTTTTCTTAGATGTAATGTTTAACAGTGTAAGATGTCTCAATGTCTGCTATGGGAAAATAACTTAAGATACAATCCTTTGTCCCCATTCATCCTGTATCTAATATACCTATATATAAGGCTAGGCATGTGGTATTTTGGGGAATTGTCATCCATATACTTTATAATTTTATATAAGAAAAACCTTAACACTAATTTTGTGCAACTTATTATTTAATGTTTAGGACCATGGTTTCCTTTTAACTGAAATACATGCTGTTTTAAAAGTACCTTATTTGAGAATACCTCTCCACACATACACTGATACTTATTTTCAATAATTTCATTTCCCATGACGTGTTCATATATATGCATTTGCATCTTAACTAAATTGTTAAAAATTTCTCGACACAATATACAAACTCTAAAATCATTTGACAGCATCAACCCACGGAAATGGGATGTCCTAGACAATTTTTTTGTATAAGATGTGGGATAAAAATATATGTCTATATTATTATATGTTGGAAGATTGGAAAAATTTCGTTTGTGTCTCAACTGAATATGATTATTAAATAAATCCTCCTTTTTTGTTTGATATTGACATATCTCACAATGAAAATATTTACTATGGGTAAAGATGTGTTCTTTCAATGCTTTACGATCTTTACACTTAAGAAAACATATTTCGCAAGTAGCAACACTCTGTATGTTATGGTGTATATAGTGAAACCATAAATTTTTTACTGGTATTGTTCGATTGCAGCGAGCACACTCTATTTTCTTTATATCGATATGACAGTGGACTATGTGAACGGCCAACTGTTTTTTGTTGAAGAAGAAAGCCTGACATATATCGCAAATAAACAGCTCTCTTTCAACACGGACAGCATCTTCAGAGCTAAGAAGATGTTCAGATTTAATATGCTTCTTTAAGTCATCTGAACTATCAAATTTTTTCAGACATATCTGAAAATTTCAAAAAATATATTACAATTTGACCAAATACAATACTTTTAAAGCTGTAAGTGATTATTATAGATTACTTTTGTGTGTATGCTTTTGTCACTAAGACATGATAGTGTTTAGGTATTAACTTACTTCACACAATTCATCGGAGTCTTGATAAAGCAAATGTAACATTTCCTGTTTATGCTTCATGTGTTTGTGTACTTCGATTTCTGTTTCACTTGTCCATCCACCAGAATCGCACATATCACAATCGTATGTTTCACTATCTTCACTAATAGGAGACTTCTCCTTTTCGATAGGGATACGATTAGCAAGCTCACTCGTTGAATGGAACATGGTGACTTTTGAAAAGATGATTGAAATAAGTAATATTCAATTACAACGAAAATACAACAATTGTATGTGTTTGTTACTTTAGAAAACAAATTTATTTCTTTATTATCAATTAAAGTAAATTCTTAATCTCCACAAAATGCAAAATTTTGGTTTTGTCCACAGAAGCAGTGTTGACTGTTGACTGTTGAATAATGTTGATAAATGATAGATGCCTTTTTTTTAATTTTATGATCTGGTAACATAGACCATTAAGTCATAGATATATAACTTATTTGGAAAATGTTCATTACTTTGGAGTACTACACTTCACTCTAAATTTTGTCATTTAAATTTGAATTGTATTTTTTATGTTATTATAAATAGGTTTATAGGATGTTGGATCTTTTAGTAAAACGTTGAGTGGCGGCTGGCGGGAGGAAGAAACACACTTATATGCATGCCAGATACCAATAGTCAAAAGTAACACAGAAAAACATTTTCTCGAGAAAAGTAACATTATCATATTTCTAAAAGACTTTTCTTAATTTCACAAAAAGTTAAAAATATTCTAGATACAAACAGATTGAACAAAGAACACAACTTTTATTAAAGATATACATCTATCTTAAATTTACTAAGCCAAGAATCCTTCAGACCCGTCAGCCGCACGTCAATCTTTCTAAAAACAATGGAGAGGCTGGGAGACCTGGAGATAGGAAGCCTAATCTAAATTCCTACATCCAATTCAACAGCTCAGGCAAATCAACAGAATTATCACTCCACAATGTTGTGTATTGCATTGGCAACTCTGAAATTAAAGCAGTCAGCCCTTGGAGCATTTATTTTATTTTATTTTATTTTATTTTAAAAGGCACACTAACGAAACACATACAAACACTTACAGAGAACACATAACATAGAAAACAAGATACATGCATGTGCATCAATAACAAGTGTGCACAACATTTAAAGGGAAACATTACAATAAAGAAGAGAAAATAACTTAAACATTAAAAGTAAAAAAAAACTAACTAGATTTAAAAAAAAACATGCAATTTACAATTATATATATAAAAAAAAAACAATAATTTTCTACTTTGCAATAATCACTATTGGTCACGGATCAACAGTGGCTGCAGCATCTTACGCCTGAAGACATGGAGACTGTCATTAAATGGATCTGCTTCGCATGTACTCAGAGCGTCGTTTAATGTCGATAGAGATCTGTGTAGAGGAGCATTACAACCGACGTTGGTCCTCACTGCCCGAACGTAAAAAAGGATTGAAGTGTTTCTTGTGTTCCTCTTTAAGAGGAAGTTCACTTGACTTAAAACATTAGGTAAATCTACCAAGTTATTTAAAATTTTGTAAACAAATAAAATGTCGATAAGGCGGCGTCTATCGCGGAGTGAATGCAAGTGAAAGAAAGCTAGTCTTTTTTCATACTCGCATTTATAGCTAATGTTATTATTTAATCGGCATATATGTTTGGAGAAATGGCGGTTAATTCTTTCGATTCTGTCAACATGGACAGAATATTGAGGGTTCCAAATAACACTACCATATTCCAAAATTCCGTAGGACCAGAGAATTGTAAAGTATGATTTTAGGCTTCACATTTTTAAAACACTTAGTCGACCGCCTTATGAAACCTAACATTCTAGAAGCTTTATTGACTATTGCATTATAATGAGGTATGAACGATAAATTACTATCTAGTATTACTCCTAAATCCCTAATTTCATTGACCTGCAGTAGTAGTACTCCGTCGATAGTGTATTTAGAGGGAAATTCTCACAGAATGGATCAATAATATGTTAAAACAACGAGCTATACAGTTTACCGTAAATACCACTACACGTGGTATCGCCAATAGAGGTTGCCCACAAGGCGGTGTTCTATCGCCGCTATTGCGGAATCTAGTAGTTCACGAGCTCATTACAGAACTCAACGCTAGCAATCTCTACACAGTGGGGTATGCGGATGACATAATATATATCTTAGTGTCGGGGAGCTTTGAAAGCACCTTATATGATCTCATTAGAAGGGCGTTGAGAGATGGTGCAAAAAGATGGATTTTAATGGCGCTTCTAAACGGGCCATGTTTTACTGCAATTGATGGCTGCAAAACTGTGGCCCGGCAACATTGCAAACAATAGCAGCCACAATATGCAATATTGCAGTAATGTCCCGGCCATATAGCAAAACATGTTTTGTATAGCCACATATGGCCGATATTGTCCCGATGGGTTGCCGGACGATCGCTAGGCTATCGAATTCAACTGCAATATTGCACAGCCAGTTCTATTGTTGTTTCAGTCACTCTCTTTGTTATGGCACAGTGTATCCTTTTCTACGCGACATGAAGTTTGCTATGCCTATGAGTGAAGTGTGCCTGTTGCTATATTCTGTGTTTTGCGATCAGCTGCATTTTGACGTTAGGTTACTACGTAAACATGACTGCTTTTGACATTCTAGTAAAGTTCTTGAATAATTTATTATCAAGGCTTATTTCTAGACTCAAATTGTCTACAGTTTCACGCCTATTTAGGTAAGGTCGAATCCACAATCTCTTCTTTTTCTGTTTCTTTTTTAAAACAATATAAGCTGCTGCGATCAGTGTGATTTCGTCAGCCATTGTTGCCGGTTTGTGTGGCCCGTTTAGGAGTCTGCATCATGGGCCATACTATTGCAGACATATTGCAACACATGGCAACATTCTAAATTCTAAACGGGCCATGTTTTGCTGCAATTGATGGCTGCACTGTTGGCAACTAATTGCCCGGCCATTACAAAAATATTTTAATGCAGCTGATGGCCGAACAATCTATGGCTGGTGGTCTTATGTGTTGCAATATGTCTGCAATAGTATGGCCCATGATGCTGACTCCTAAACGGGCTACACAAACCGGCAACAATGGCTGACGAAATCACACTTGTCGCAGCAGCTTATATTGTTTTAAAAAAGAAACAGAAAAAGAAGAGATTGTGGATTCGACCTTACCTAAATAGGCGTGAAACTGTAGACAATTTGAGTCTAGAAATAAGCCTTGATAATAAATTATTCAAGAACTTTACTAGAATGTCAAAAGCAGTCATGTTTACGTAGTAACCTAACGTCAAAATGCAGCTGATCGCAAAACACAGAATATAGCAACAGGCACACTTCACTCATAGGCATAGCAAACTTCATGTCGCGTAGAAAAGGATACACTGTGCCATAACAAAGAGAGTGACTGAAACAACAATAGAACTGGCTGTGCAATATTGCAGTTGAATTCGATAGCCTAGCGATCGTCCGGCCACCCATCGGGGCAACATCGGCCATATGTGGCTATACAAAACATGTTTGGCTATATGGCCGGGACATTACTGCAATATTGCATAGTGTGGCTGCTATTGTTTGCAATGTTGCCGGCCACAGTGTTGCAGCCATCAATTGCAGCAAAACATGGCCCGTTTAGAAGCGCCATTAAACAAATAAAAATGAAAGGTCACTTTTTCAAACACTTTATGGCAAGAACAATTTTTATTTTACACAACAATTCGAAACATAAAAAGCAACAGTAGTTTATTATTTGACACAACAATAGCTTTACAATGATTTCTATACATAAATTATTACTAACCATATAAATAGTAAATTCAATTGACAGCTATGCTTTCTATGCAAAAATTAACATTTTTTTGGAGTTTATGGTCTAATATCTAGACCGTTAGGCCAATTAATAACTATAGAATGTAGATGTGGAAATGTTTCAAAATAACAGGCAATATTTAAACTGTACTCAGCATAAGTACCCTTACTTTAAAAAATTGCAAATATTTAAATAAGTACGTACTATTAACCTATAGTTTTGAACAACATCATAATCCCAATGTACTCTATTTACATTATTACTTACTGTATATTTTTGGTAACGTTACTACAGTATCTATAATACAATACATATATTAAACTAAAATCATTGTCAATGGCAACACCGACATGTCGTAAGATTCTAGCGACTGACATATTAATTCTACAGACGCCAATCTGAAATGCACTATATTCTATAGCAATATATATAACTTAAAAAGATCAGCGTCCAACTTTTTTTTACTCGTATATTTACTCGAGTATAAAATTAATACTTATCGAACTGTAAAGCCGGCAGCAGGCCAAGAGCCAAGCTTTGGCGAAGAAACACCTAAGGGCTCATATACACGAGCGGCACAATGCCGACGGCAGAACAACTGCACTCGTCGGCGGCAGCCGTCGTCGACTCTCTTTGTACAGGAGCCAGTTGCAAAATGAATTCCGAAGAAGAAACGCTATTATTGCTTTTACTCCGTCGGCGTCGACAAAAACGAAAAAGGAATTTTGTACATTGTTTACAGCCGCCCACGCTCTGTTTTTTATTGTTTTGTTACTGTACTCTTGTTTATAATTCCTAATACAAGCATTTTTCTTAACTGCCTCAATAAGCATTTCAACATCAATACTGTCACTGAAGATCATTTTATAAAATCGAAACGGGTGCGTACTCCTAAACTATTCGCAGTCAACTGACAAAATGGCGGGGACGCTACAAACACAAACAACTGCATGCATCGATATTGGTCGACGGCTGCTGTCGGCATCATACCGCTCGTGTAAATGCGCCCTAAGCTAAGGGAGGTTACAGACTAGCGTTTTTTTACGCGCGAATAAGCTTGTCTTTGTAGGTATAACGTGCGTTTTGGCACACGGGTAACCCGTTCGAGCGTTGACGCGCTTCTAAGCTCGTATAAGTTCGCAGTTCAGGATGGAGTGTATAAAAGTGACTGTTCTCGGTTCTCTGTCTTGACGCGCGTACTGTAGCGTGTAAGCGAGTACGTTGAAACGACCGTATATGCGCAGAAAAATGCGCTAGTCTGAAACCGTCTAAACTAGGAATTAGCAAGCCAATTCAGTGTAATGCTAGTAATTGGGTTTGACGGACGTGTCATCACGGGATATTTAAAAAAATATATTAATAATTATCTCTAATAAGAAACACTCCATCCTCAGCAAAAGATGGTGAACATTTTAAGTTGTATTATTGTAGGCGCGAGGGTGCTAGTTTATACAGGCATACACAACTAACTTAGCTCACTTCACATATTTTAGTTTTAACCGTCATAAGGTTATAACTATAATTGCAAATTGGATACAACCATTACTGTTGTTTTTTTAATGTACCAGATTATATACAAATTACAAATAAATAATATATATACCCAAATCACATTTATTTTTACCCTATTTACTATTAATATATTAGCGGACCAGTTGATTACATACTTTAGTTTAAATTTAAACGCGATTTAATCAGTATATAAACGTATACTGATAACGTAACGATACTACTATTTAAAAATTACAATATAATATCAAGTTCAAACTAAACTGATCCTTTATATAAAACTCACAGCCTCTGCAATTTTAACACTTATTTAAATAACTATGTTTTGCAATTTAACTGCTTATGTTTACAGTCAACAGTTAATCGTTATCTAAATGGTCAACTGATCTTCACCGATATTCGATATCAACTGATCGATAGAAGTACATCCCTTTGTATCGACATTCAGATTAAAAAACGAGACAGCAAAGTATGACTTCGGTAGAGCAAGACGTTTTTGACAGACGGGAGAGTCACTTAACGCAAAGACAAGACTTTGATTTTTTTATTTTCACCTTAAGCATCTAAATGTCATATTACTGATACATTTTATGAAGAGCCTTTGAGTGGCAAATTTATTATTAGTTATAGCATGTATATCTGGTTTCTATTGCGTATTAAAAATTCCGTAGAATTGTGACAGTAAACATTTTTTGACATGTCAGAGATTACAAACCTTTTTGGCCGCGCACATTTTTCAATTTCAATACGAGTCTGAACATCTGACTCTATACTTAAATTTTTTGTTAGTGAATGTTACCATTTTATTAAGTGCGGTACTCCACATTAAAAGTGGTTTGACGGCGAGTGATAGTTACGTTCCTTTTCATCACAAACAGTAAAAAACGTACAAGTAAAGATAACATTAGAATAAAATAAAGTTAATATTATATTAATTTTGTTCGTGATATTGAAATATTTATTATTTTTGTATGAAGTCACTTGAATAAGTAAATATTACCCTTTTGTAGGTAAAACATAAAAAATACGTAGCATTTCATTTTATTTACCCTCAAATGGGTTAAATTTGTGCCTTTTTCGGCGGAGAACTTTTTAAGTAGCAACACTTATGAAATGTCAGAATTCTACGGAATAAAAAATCAGTGAATAAGAATATTACTCGCCACACGTTGACAGTTGACGGTCAAAAACAATTGACAAACGCAATAGGCAATAGCCCTACATTACGTTATTTCCTATTAACCAAATAAGCAGCTTTTAGTCGCTTCCAAATTCTCCCTGCCTTTAAATTTTTCCCGATTCTCCATGTATTTATTATAACCGCCACCTAAAATACCCATTAATATTATCAAACCCACTACGGCGTTGGACTTGAACTTTTTTTGCACAATCCGCTGGGTTTTCGGTGTCGAGCGTGTATATCTAAAAATAATAAATATTGGCAAAATTAGATTCACATACATTTCACTCTTGAACACACGTTTACGGGTTTCAATAACGATTATGTACGTCACTAAAAATAAAAACGTGTGTGAGTTAAAGTTATACTTCTTTGGCGAAATAATTTTCTTCGAACACTTTAGAGGGACGTTTCCCTCTTCGAATTGCATTTTTCTTGTCCATTTTAAGGGTAACTTCCAATCGAAACGGTATAATATGTACTAATCATGATATTTTACATTAAACTATAAATATAAAATGTTTTAATTACATTGGAACGGGTTTTCTCGTATAGAAATCATTATTTTGGTTTAAACACGACTTTGAAAAACTCTACGCCATGACAGACAGTGCACCTTGTCGATAAAACAGAGCGAGCGCCAACTAGCGGCCCAGACTGTTTTACCGACGTTGGCACAGATATTCAAGGTGTCGGTTTTTTGTGACGGTGTGTGCCGCATCGTAAAAATTTACTCTCATCATTCTTTCCTAACGCGCCAAAAGAAGTATAACTTCAAAGAAAAAGATCTATGTTAATAATTTTCGATACTCACTTGTCGGCCAGCATGGCCCGCGAACGCAACCAGTCCAGCATAGTACAACACGTTGAGGTCTGCCGCGTACCCCGCGAGAGAAAAGCCAGCCAAAGATATGGATAACGCGGCCGTTAACGCCGGCTTGGTGTGTTCGCCAAACGTCAGAGCTGTTGACTTAACACCGATTCGAGAATCGTCGACTTTGTCCTGAAAATAATAAAGAAATAAATAAATAAAAATAAAATAAAAATTATAGTATTTACTATTTCCATATTATTTCAGGTGGTTGAAAACTTTTTACTAGCTTTCATACAAATTACAATACCCAAGATACCAATTTTTTTTTAACTTTTAGTAAAAAACTCACCTGATGTGCATATATTGTGTCATATAAAACAGTCCATGCCATTGCAGCTATATACAGTGGTACACAGACGGATGGTTCCAAGTGTCCTTGTAGTACTGAATAACCCAGTAATGCTCCCCAATTGAATGTGGCTCCGAGGTACACTTGAGGGTAGTTGGTGAACCTCTTTGCGAGTGGGTAGGTTATTACAAAGACTAAAATAAAGCAATGATATAGAAATATTAGAACAAGCTTTGCACAGTTTGGTTTGACTTTTTCTAACACAATAATTATCGTTATATTCTAACCAATAACAAATTATAGCCCTAAGCGTCATGAATCAAAAACTTTTAATCCACATAAATGAAATAAGTTCATTAAATGTAATTTTGTTAATTTTTTCAAGTGTCTAATTAAGTTTATAAAATATTAGTAAATTTAACTTACACATACTACTAGCTCCTAACACGACACTATAGCAGTTAAATTGTAATAAAATTCCTAGACCCAGGCTTAACTGTAAGGCAAGGAAAGCAATTGCTTGCTTCTCGCTTATTAATCCGGCCACGAGAGGGCGGTTAGCTGTCCTTTCTACCTGGAACAAAATATTACCTATATGACTAGTACATGCCCATGGTTTTAGTTCTTTAATCTTACAACTTTAAGAACTTTGGCTTTGGTGTAGCCTTAAGTACTCAAAATCTAATTGAATTGAAAAGCTAAACTAATTTAAAATAATATAACTAAATTCCAAGTGCTATTTAAACATTAATTTCAAAGCATAATGACATAAAAGTTTCACACTTTTAATGATTAATATATTACATTTTGTTGCAGAAAATTTATTTTTTTGCAAATACACTTCCACTAAAATATAAAATTTTATAAAAATTTATTAAAAAATAAACCAATTCTTTAAACAATTTACCTGTTTATCAATATCTCGATCCCATAGATCATTAATTGTACACCCAGCTCCCCTCATAAGACCTGCACCAGCTAAGAACAAACCCGCAGTGTGTAAGCTAGTGTAAAGATCTACATTACCGGGAATTGAGGCCAACGCTATTGACCATGTGCTTGGAAAGTAAAGGAGGTAGACACCTGAAAAAGTGTATTTAATAATGTATTTAGACAAACTTATGAGTTTTAGAGAGGGAAAATATTTTATTGTTCAAAAACCTGTATATAATTAACACAAACTTTTGAATAATTCTGTAAAGATATAAATTATAATTTACTTGCCAAATTTAAAATTAATATTCAATAAATTTATATTTAAACTAATTCCTGTTCTAATATAATTAAATTTTTTATGTATTAATAATAAATTATTAACTTCCTAAATCAAAACTTGAGAAGGCACAGGCTAGTTTCATTGCTCAAAAAAAATACTTCTAATAATAATAGAAATAAGACATAAATTACCTATAGGTTTATCCCATCTTGCCAATTTTATATATGGATCAACTTTGTCTCTCCAGAAAAATCTATAATCCTTCCCTTTTTTATCTTCTTTAATTTTGTTTAAGACTATCTTGGGTGCAGTTGTCTCTATAATAACTTTTTGTCTATGATGGTCACTTTGTGTTGAGTGTACTCTATAAAATACTGTTTGTCTTTGGTAACTTGTCCCACACATACACATTTTAGATAGATTTGAGAATTGTCTTAAAATATGCCTGTTCAATTGGACTAGTGGATTTCTGTTTATATTTGTACAGTGACGTAGGCTTGTGGTTAGCATTTTGTCCTAAAAAGAAATAATGAATTAGTGTATAATATACTTATATATGGACCAGGCTGCATTTAGACTGAAGTGCCAACTGCCACCCAAGGGCACTGGCCACCAGTGCCAGGACTTTGTTTTTAAAGTCCCTAAAAGAGGTGTATGTCTAAAAAGGACACAATGAAACTACTGCATTACAGTTTTTAAAACAAAAAATAAATAATTATATCAAATAAATCTAGCAAATTCGAACAGTAATTATTTTTTATTTTATTATTGTATTACATGTAAAGCATCTCTTATTAAACTCATGTTAAAATAAATTTCCAGACGGACAGATAAACACTGTGTATCTCACCAGGCACAAGGAACATATTAGGAGAGGATTTAAGAGGAAAGTTACGCAAATATTATTATTATTATGACATATTTATAACCTAAGATATTCTTATACGAACAATATACATAAAACTGATTTTTACAAGTCTAATTGTTGAGACTCACCTTGGACTTGCAGTCAAGGTCCAGAAAGAATAGGAAATTAATTACTTCTTACACTGGTTTTAATAGCAAGGTTATAAGCTTAGATAAAAAAGTTAAGGTATTAATACAGTCACGGTTCCTACATTTTCACGACCATTAATCTAATAATGGTTTTGATTAACTACTTTTTTATTACATAATCGTGTCAATGATATAATAATTATAAATATTTAATTTCTATATAGCAATAAAATTGAATGAACCGCGTTATGACATAATCACATAACATCACATGGATATTATTATTATCATAATAGCCATTGGGAGTTGAGATAGTTGACAGCTGTCAAGTGCACTAGAAGCGGCATGCTTGATAACCGTAGTCACTGACACAAACATATTCGACATTTTCACAGAATGTCAAATTACCTATCGAGTAGACCGAACAAAACTAGTCTGTGCTCAATGCTAAAAATGAAAAAATGCTATAATGAAAACCATAAAATAATAATAAATATTTATTTGCAATATATTCATATTCATTATTAATTTCAAATAAATTAAATTATTTGTGGCACTGGAATCAGGTTTAAAAATGAAGTAAATTTATTTATATATAAGCTAAGGTAAATTATTTTTTTTAAAACTTTCAACATATTATTTAAGTTTATATCCTATACTTTGTCAATAAAATGAGGGTAGGCATTTTATAGTAATCCTACAAAGTTTGACGTTCCTCTTAAAATATTTTTTTAAAACTTTTTTATTAGGTAAATATTGCAAATGCTTATATAGATTTTTTTAATAGTGCTCATGATTCAAATAAAAAATATATTGTTGTTGGATGATGGATCCCCTTTGACATTCAGGGTAAAGTCTATTCATTATTGCTATGCCAGAGATTTTTCTTTTTCAGACATGATACTAAAAAATGCCTAAAGTGAAAAAGAAATCTGCAAAATCAAGGACTCATAAGTGCCCAAAATGTGAAAAGGTATGCTAGAACTAGACAAATCATTTTAATAGGTTTTTCAAATTGAGGCTAACTTACATAAAATAAGTTTTGGCTTGGTTGGTTTAGTAAGGAAATAAAATTTAAGACAAGTGAACAGCACATAGTAGTTTCATATAAATATTTTTGGAGTTTCTTAATTAATTATTTGAATTCATAACAATTATGAATTCAAACACGCACACACATTAGTGATTGCATTTCAAGATAAATAATGTACTAATAATATAGATACCTGTTTGATTTCAGAAATTTTCGGATAGTTCAGGTCTAAACCGTCATCTTGAATTACATGTAGAGGATCGTCTTCATGGATGTACTGTATGCAAAGCTACATTTAAAACAAAGAGGTACTTAAGCAGGCACAGAAAGCGTGTTCATAGTGAGCCTGAAGAACATGAATGCAAGGATTGTGGCAAAAAGTTTCATTTTAAGAGCTCACTTAATCAGCATAGGCTGGTGCACACTGGTAAGTATTTTTTTCCATGTCATTCAATATTCAAATCATGTAAATCATAAACATACAAGATATATTACATATATTTTCTCTTACTATGTTTGTATAGAAGTATAGAATTGATTTAATAAACTGCTATGTAGTAATCATGGACTAGTTAGTATGACTATCATATTTAATGCAACTGTAAACTACCTAAACATAATGTTTTAGATGAGAGGCCGCACAAGTGCAAATGGTGCAATAAAGGGTTCAACTCCACATACAGCTTGTCTAGTCATATCCTAATACATGAGAGTAAGTAATTTTTTTTATTATTTGTTTGTCTGCTTGTGACTATACACCTCTCTGTACCTCTCCTACTCTCTGTACCTCTTCACAGTTTGTCTTATTAGGATGTGGTACCAAGTGGCAATAAAAGTCCCAAGGCCTTAAACTAAAAATTATAAAAAAATAATTTTGTATGTATTTATTTTTAATGTAACAAAATTGTAGTGATGTCGTTAAAGTCTTTGTATGAATTTTGAATAGTGACTGGCATTTCACTGGTAGATCAGCACAACATGGCGTTGTGTGACCAGTCATTTAATTCCGGAAATTGGACTGGTTTCCGTTTAATTTTTGTAATTTAATACAAATAAAGAGTAGACCGCATCTCTCTCCTTCTGGTTTCTTTTTTCTATGCCATAGTCATTTTGTATAACGATTTGATATTTTAAAAGAGTACCGAGAGTTTTTTTACGCCGGCTTTTTCTCTCGACCTACACCCTCTGTCTTCTTTGCCGATGAGTAGGGATGTCTACCGATACAAATTTAATGACGTGATACCTGTATCTTTATCTTATATTTCATAATAAACATATTTTTTAACACTTGCTAGATAGCAGTACGTAGCGCATTTTCTTAATTTTTAGTTTAAAATAAACTTTATTATAATATAACAATTCTATCTAAATATTTTAAGAGTGACTGGTCATCTAGACACTTAGCTGGCTCCACACACTGTCCCGAATTTTCCACGTAACTGTAAAAATAGGTATATCTGTAATGTCATAAGCACGTACGTACATTTATTAAAGATCAGTGCTTTAATTTTCCTAATCTACATACTAATTATAACTTAACTTCCTAATTATATAAAATTCATCTTTGAATCGACACCCATACCATACTTATCACTTAACAGCTAATATAGAGGATAGTGTACTGTTCCTGCTAACGAAAGGGCGAGTGGAGGGAGATCGAGAAGTTAATACCCTACCTACCTAAGTATATATATACCCGTAGCTATCGGAATGACGTCATCTTTGTAGCCGTAGGCTGTACATTACGTAGAAGTACCTCATTGTAATTTCCTTATACATATTAATAAATAATAGTTAAAAAAAACTAAAAAACACGCTTTTAAAGCACATCAAACTAAAAAGTGAAAAATAATTCCTAATTTAGGCTGAAAATGGTAATGAACAAAAAATACTGGTATTATTGTGAAAAAGTGTGGGGCGCTCTGTGCCATATTTTTCGTCTATCGAGCAACCAATAAATTTTTATTAGTTTTTTTAAACTATTTTTTATTTTTTAGTTAAATTTTTTTCATTTTTTTTTTCGGATTATTGCATTGTCATCGATCTTTGATAGGTGCGCAAAGTTTGAATTAAATCTGTCCGTTAAAAGTGGGTCAAAATCGATTCCGAAGGAGTCGGTTACATACATACATACACAGGTGAAGCTAATATAAAGCGTGTAAAAAGAGTGCGTCTCGCCCTTCCCAAGGAATGTTTTACCAAGTTTAGTAAAAGCCGGCTCTAGAGATAAGTTCAGTAGAATAATGAACACAAGGTATATATTTTTGTTGCTTATGTTTAGGCTTAGTGGTCCAAGACTTACCCTTGTTTACAAAAGCACCCCGGTACACTGATAGTCATACAGTTTTGTGGACGTAAAGTTATGACGTAATTGTTAACGTGGTTTTTTATATGCACAGTTTTTCTTAGGTATTTTAAAAGTTTTCCCACATCGTAAAAGCGTTTGTGTGCGTCTGAGCTGTATAATAATTTATTGAGCATTACCTAGAAAATAATTTATATATTTACTGTACATACAAGTAACTAAAAACTAAAGAGTAGAAACTCGAATAAATTATTTAAATCAAAAATGGTTGATAAAGGACGTTACGCCCACAATATGCTATGATGCAGACATATTTCTGCGTCTATATATTTGACTATTGAACCTTGTGGCTTCAGCGTGCGACTCTCGTCCCTGAGGTGGTCATTCGATCCTCGGCTGTGCACCAAAATTCTGTCTATTTAACATTCGCTTGAAGTTTGAACGGTGAACCGGCTAGGCTTATCACCCACTTGCCTATTAGATTGAGAAATGATCGTAAAACGGATACAGAAATCTGAGGCCCAGACCGAAAAAGGTTGTAGCGCCACTGATTTATTTTTAATCTACCACTATTACTATTTGAAAGTTTTGTAATTTCAAAATTCATTATTAAACAAATTAAATCTGAATAAATAGATAAAAATACATAATATTGTCTATTGTTTATGGTACTCGCTACACATTTAAGTAACTTCTTATAAACGCGTATTTTCTACATTATTTACATATAAACATGACGTTTCGTAAATGTCTCCCATAAAGTGCTTAGTTAAAATCATACCCCGGTCATCTCTTGAGTGAATTGGAATGACGAAGATACATATTTGTTTAGAATATTTGTCATAATGTTAACAAAGGTATTGTCTAAATTAAATCGTCTCGAAACACTGGAGTTATTGTAATCGGCTCTCAAAGCTGTCATATTCCTGTCCGCCATTTCGAGTAACGACGCCATCTTGTCTACAAAATTTCGAATTTCGTCAACTTTGTAATAATCTTTGGGATTATGTTGTAATCCTTTATTATTTATGTAATTTTCTTTAATATCCTTTTTTAATTGTTTCGATTTGTTTATTTTATCTATATCAAAGTCTTTGTTATAATAAATTTCCCTTTTCTGTTTATCAATTTTATAAGAATTTTTATAGTATCCATTCTGTTTGCGAAAGTTAAATTTGTGCGAATTGGATTCCTCGATTTTTGTTTGTTTACTTCTCGCTATATTGTAAACAACATCATTAATATCGCTCAACGGCTCTATACTCAAATCTTGGAACATTGTTTTCTTGTAATCCATTATTTTAAGCCTGGAATAAAATATTAATTATATCGAGTCGTATAACAACGCCACTATGTGTTAATTCATCAAAAAGGAAGGATTTGTAAGGAATTAATTCTAAAATTCCTGAGTATAATAGGATAAAATAAGCTTTAATTATAAAAAGAAGAAAAAAAGTCCAACTGTCTTAGTTCCAGTATGACTAATCTGTGTTCATGTCTCTTAAAATGTTGAGTAGTGGTATGGGCCTAATGTTTAAGATTGAGACTCTTAACTCGGAGGTCGTGCGTTCGAATTACGACAATGCACCAATGGGGTTTTCGTTATATTCGCGCAAAAAACGCCTACGTCAAAGGCAAACATCGTGAAACCTTGCCTTAAAAGTATACTAAAAAGTCTACAACATGTCAGGCATAGAAGGCTGATCACCTAGTTGTCTATAAAAATAACCAATGGTTAAATAAACGGATGGAATCAGCTGTCCATACCCACTGGATTATTGAAATACCTCTGTACAGCGTTCACAACAGTAGCACATAACACAGGACAAGCGTAACCGAACGGTGTCCATGGTGAGGCGTTGCTGTCCTCGCAAAATACTCTTGCTTCTGCAATTGAATGACAATGATGAAGTTTTGATTTGATTGATTTATATGATTTTTCCTTTTATCAGCGTTAAGTATAACACAAATGTAAAGAAATAAATAATATATCCCACTAGAATTCCTCTCATCAACACCGACTGCAAATATCTCAGTTTTGTATTGAGCAGCCCGCCATACAACGACTAATATTTTAACCTTGACTTGTTTATTCTATCGCGAAATATGGTTAAAAGGAGTTTTAAGAATGACTATTGTGCTAAATCACCTCCATCATCAGCACACCCCACATACCCTCACTGTCACACCATCACACAGTACAACGGAATTAGGTATAACTTAGTTAAATATTCAATAATTTTATTGATTTTTTCCTTTTGTTTGATCCTCTTTGTAAATATGTTGTATTTCATATTTGGCTATATCTTTAGTATAATTGTTTTTTGTTATATATAATTTATGTTAGCTGTAGGATTATTAAATAAATAAATGGATTAAACGTTCGTTAGCTATTCGTGACATAATATAATATACAGGCTGACAGATAATGTGAGGTTTTTGTAAAGAAATGAATTAAATAATCGCTTTAGATGCGAATGCGTAAATCGTGTAGTTGAACTAAGGTTTTTAGTTGAAGAGGCAAGTTCGCTGTACTTTTCAGCAATAGTTTCCAATGTCTTCTACGACGTTTGAACACTAATTTTTCTATTTACCTACAGAGTCTTTCACTAGAAATATAAAATACACACCACAAAAAAACGAACTCAAAATGTATATAACTACAATTATAGCCATTGTTCATGTGTTACTGGTTTAATGTTAGCTGTAAAAATTTATGTAAAAATAGATTGTCTGTTTGTGTCAATTTTAATTACGCTTTCAGATATATATTGTATGAATGAATTAAAATTGATAGATTTATCGCAGTGCTGAACATTTTGGTACATATTTCCCCCAACAACAACAACGCAACAAAAATGCGTTTTGTTTGCTCTAAACATACATAGTTGGCGGGGAGCGGACAAGGCTCAGTTTACAGTCTAGAGCGAGTGTTGGTGGCGCAGTGGGGTTTTTGTGGTTATGCACAGATCGCGAGTCCCACATAATCCTCCGCCCCAAACAATGGACTGCGGCTCCTTTCAAGAATCTCGTTAACTAGCGGATGAGAGTTTCTTGCCAGTTCTTTTCGTTGTACGGCCTCCATTTGGGAACTGGCAGTTAATGTAACTAAGTTTAATTAATAATAATAAATCGTTTATTTGCTAAGAAAGTGGTACATTCAGATTGATTAAATATAAAAATAGGCATGCAAATTTCATCATTATGACATTATAATAAGAACAGTTTAGTTATTTATAATTTTTAAAACTTATGATATAAATATTCCCGCAAAGTATAAATGCACTTGCCTTTAAAAATTAAAAAAAATCATATGTATTGTACATGAGTAAAAAAATATTAAAAACAAAGACTCGTTCCGAAATAGATACATGTTTAGTGTTATGCCGGCTACGTGTGAAATGAATAAACACTAGTTTGAATTTGATCTAGTTTATACACTGCGGTTATTTAGTTGTTTTTATTATAAAAAAGGAAAAGGAAAGCAGTGTACGTTACTTAAAGTGATTAAATTAAATTAGCCGGAACGAAAACATGCTATTTAGTCATTTTACTTCTCATAAAATGTAATTGTATTGATTGATACGTCAATTGCGTCATAGATTAGGCTCTAGGGTCTACTATTTTAATTTACCATAAACAACGTGGTTTGTAAATTTCAATTAATGCTTATTCTACTAAAGGAAACGATCGTGGGAAACCATCATATAAAAATAGCCTGTATTACAGTACTACATAATCAGGATTACGTTAATGTAATGTTTAACATTAGTAGAACCTCCGACGGCGTGAAAGCCTCCAAATTCTTCCACTTGTCTCTCATCTTCGCCATTTTCCAATCGCTATTCCTTTTATTCCATCTTCCCAGGTTTCTCATCAGGTGGGCGTTCTCCCTTTTTTTACCATCTATCAAAGCATCATATCTTACACTTAAAAATTCTAAGAAGACCACTAGTGGGTAGATTTTATAATCGAGTAGTATTGATAATTTTGGTCAGAAATTTTACATAATATTGTAGGTAGTTTCAAAACTTGAGGCTAAGTCAATTAGGTGGCATATTATTTTTAAGCTTCGTTTATTATTTTCGGTTTTTTTTATTTACAGATTCAAAGCCATTTAAGTGCACCTTCTGCGACTATGCGTGTCGTGATAGCTCGACATTAAGAAAACATAAAAAGAGACATATAGGCCAAGTACCTACTTATAACTGCAAGATATGTGAGAAAAAGTTAGTATATTTTTCTATAATCTGATTAATTGTACCTGTTGTAATAAATATATATACTAGTTATTATGTAATAGAAAACAACTAAGTATGTATATATGGGAAGAAGGCGAAAAAGGTGAATAGAAGAAAAAGAAACGACAGCAGGAAGCGAATCGAGAAACATAGTCATGAAAAGAGATATTTGGAAAAAGCTGGAAGAGGCCTTTACCCGTGAAGTGATTCCGATCTGATGCTGAAGTTAGATAGGATAATAAATATAGTTTAAAAAAACTATAAAACACGCTTTTAAAGCACATCAAACTAAAAAGTGAAAAATAATTCCTAATTTAGGCTGAAAATGGTAATGAACAAAAAATACTGGTTTTATTGTGAAAAAGCGTGGGTTGCTCGATAGACGAAAAATATGGCACAGTGTTAGTTTTTTTAAACTATATTTATTTTCCACTTTTTAGTCTTAGCAGCAATACGTGTTGTCTCAATTTAATCGTATTGCTTTGTGGACTTAAAAAAATTCATTGTTTTTTTCGAGATAAACCTATGAAATTATTATATTGTTGCTGATTCTTTATAAGTGTACAAAGTTTGAATTAAATCTGTCCGTTTAAAGTGGGTCAAAATCGAGTCCGAAGGAGTCGGTTACATACATACATACATACAGGTGAAGCTAATATAAAGCGTGTAAAAAGAAAAAATTACGACAAACCTAAGCTGTGTATTCGACTTTTGTGAAGATTGGAAACTAAACGGGCTTTTATTATTAAAGGAATATTTAAATGATCGTTATCCTTGGGATTGATTAGCTCCAGTTCAAACAATTTGTGTGACTCAAAACTTAGCGATTAAAAGGAGTGGCGGAGAACCTCTTGCCAGCTCTACGCCCTTGACTTGCGAACTGGTGGTAAATGTAAATTTACAATTAATTTAACTTCTTTTCTGACGTTCATAAGTGTACTTGTTTACCTATATGAATAAAGTTATTTTGAGTTTAACTTTATGGAACGAGAGACATACATGAAGACTAATTTATATAATTTATTTCAGATTCAGCCAAAAAAGACTTCTAGAATTTCACGTGGCCAAAGAACATTTAAATATTGACGTGAACGTATTACCCTGCGATAAATGCGGAAAGATGTTTAGGGATAAAGCTTCGCTGAAGTTGCATATTGTAAGTAATTTTGATAGTTTTATAGCATTGGCCTTCGTAGCATTTCGTGCCCATAGAGTATAGACTAATGAAATATAACCTCAGCGGTTTTTGAACGCACTTTGATCCTTATGTCGTACATTGCTATAGACAATAGTGGCCAAGTGCGACCCGGAAGTATAGATTAGAGATTCTCTTTCACTTTTGGCCACCAAAATTACTGTTTTATTCTTAAACGTGTGTACACAGTCTTCGTAGGATTATTTTAATATAAGGATGTGGTTAATGAACAGTTTTATTAAATTTGTAAGAGAAACAATTTCTACTTACATAATTAGCGTGTAACATTAAAACCTGTAAAAAGTTCAGCTGTGTACTATATGTTTATATAATATATATATATTTTAAAAAAAGTGCGTGCGTACAAAGTACACATGTCAGAAGTTAAACTTCTTTGGCAAACTAACTCTAAATCTAAAAAATTCCGAGACTTAGAGGGAGGGAAAAAGGAAGATATCTTAGGAATTTCATGAATGATTGTTATTAAAATATTAAGTGTCGAAAATTAATACAAATAATAAATTTAATTTTTTATATTTATTTCTTCGATTATAAAAACACGTGACATTTTAATTTATAATTCGTCATTTGTAGATACCAATAAATTATATTGCAGAAAATATAAAATACTAATATTTCATAAATTTTCTTTACGAAATTTAATTTTTTTATAAAATTTCTATAAGGTAATTCGTCCTTCTCACTCTCTCCCTTTACTTCGACAAAAACGCTGCACAACTTCGTGACATATCCATAAAAAAAATTCCCTCATGCGCCTAAAGAAGTTTAACTTCAAATCCGAATAAACTTGCTCGCCAACTCACCATTAGACAGTATGTGAGTCGTCTAAAACGTCACCATGTTCTAGAGCTAGAAGACCGGCAGTAGCTCTAGACAGAAGATGAGTAGATGCTTCCAATGGGAAGTCACTCCACATGACAGCACCACAGAAAAAATTTGCTCATAGCCTTGGGGCTGATTGCAAATAAACGCAGAAAAAAAAAAAAAAAAAGATCTTTAGTTGTATCTCTTCTGTTATCGGGGGACATGTGTAATCATCTATACGCTAGTCCCGTGGATTTGGACCTTTCTCTCGTTTTACTTAATAATTTTTGCAGCAAAAAATTCACAAACGACTCTACGCCGCGAAATGTCCCGTGTGCAGTGTTACGATAAGCTGCAAACAAAATATGGAAGCCCATCTGAGATCACACCTCGACGAACGACCGTTCTGTTGTACTTTTGAAGGCTGTGGGAAGGCTTTTAAGGACGCGGTGAGTTATTGTGATAATTACACTAAATATCCAAGTTGCCATGTTGGACTGTGAAATGTTTATTTAATTTTATTTATATATGTCTGTATATTATATGTATATGCACTATATGAGGGTAATCCCAAAACCATACAGACCTATCTAGACTGTCCTAACACATAGGCCGTAATGTGCCGGCATAATATTATATAGACATTCGACAATATTCGAATGCTTTATCTGGATTATGTTTTAGTTGCTTATACAAAGTATAAAATTGCCAGTCGAAGAGTATTTAAGGGATGAACTCAATATTTACGCTTTCTTTTTCTATCTTCTTCTAATGCCTCATAAATAGCTATCACTTCTATCGTATTCATTACGACCACACCGTATAAGCGTTGGCAGTCGACTGATAATCTGCCACTGAATATTCAGTGTGCCTGCAACGTAATATAACGGATTGACACCCGCGGAAGTTCGCCGTCGGAATTTTCGTCAAGTGTGGTGCTGGTCATAGTGAATATGTCAATATTTACGGGATGTCTGCACCAAGAGATTGAAGGCAACAGATGGAGCCCTAAAGGGTAGGATCAAAGGTTGAAGGTGGTATGTAATAAAAAATAGATAAGACAAAGATATATGTAAATAATTAAGGGCTTGAAGGAGTCTTCGCGAGTTTGAGAGGAAGCGAAAAATAAATAAGACAGTGCGATATTCAAATCTGATTTATTGTTATCAAACAACATCTTAACTACTACTTACACCTATTAACACATACATAAAATAATTCTCGTGAGCTGGTGGTGTATTGCACACCTTCAGCTATTAAAATTTGGAGCCACGTGAGCCGTGCAGCAGTTGGTCCATGTCCAATATAACTTTACGTCGATCTTCTTATTGAGTGAGTTTATTAGGAAAATGGCATTTTATGAGTCGAGGGCAAAAGTCAAAAAGCCAATAGTCACAATCATTTATTCATATAGGAATGTACACTTATGAACGTCAAAAAAGAAATGCTTCTAATTTTACATTTACAGCCAGTTCTTAAATCAAGGGCGTAAAACGGAAGCGAAGAACTGGCAATAAACTCTCCGCCACTTTTTTTGATCGCCAAGTTTTTTGTTTTACACAGCGTTTGTAAGGAGCTGCAACCATTACACCTTGTTCCACATGACATCTTAAGTGATAAATAATAATAAAATAAATTAAAAACAAAGATTTGTCCTCTATCAGCAGGAGGCATGGTGAAATACATATTTTAGTTCAAAATAACAAACATCACCGCATACACGAATTCAAGTCCGACCAGTCACCACAAGTAGCACCCGTTCAAGAGTATGACGCATGGCCAGCCATCGGCAACAGTAGATCGCTTTTAAGCCGACTTATTTTGACATTGTCTCCATCTTATATATTAGATTTATAATTAAAAAGCAATTATGTTTTGCATTTCAGAGGGCACTATATCTTCACGAATTCCTCCACTATCCGGAGCGCTATTTGAAATGTAAACTTTGTGATAAACGCTTCTCGCGTCAGTCTAGGTTGGACAGTCATAAGAAGCAGCATTTCCTCGTCAAGGAGAAATATGTTGTGTGTGACTATTGTAATGTCAGGTGAGTTTATTTAGTAGTTCATTAGTGGAGAATTTTCTAACAGTAATATTGTTAAGGGAGCGTTCAAGTATTACGTCACCCAATTTTTGAAGATTATAGACCCCCCCCCATGTAACGCGCCGTAACGTTTTTCTTTACCCAGGTATAGTAAAACATTTCGTGATCACCTAGTGACTCTTTATACCTAAAAGTTACCATTATGTGGTGTAAAGTACTGGACAGTCGGAAAATAATATTAATAACAACGCGTAATTCAATCCCCTCCCCGCATCGTTACGTTTTACAAAAGGAACCCCTCTTCCCAAACTTCCCTAAAGCGTTTTTAATTTTTTGTAAAATTCATGTAGAATAATAGCTTGTAACATATACTGTATATATAGCATTATGTATGATGTGGTGGACTTTAATAAATAAATTTGTAATACCTGAACACCCTGACCCAAAAAGTTCTTTGTCAGGCATTGCAGACACGTCCTAACGTCCTAAACGAATGGACAGATTATGATACAGATTTTTACTAGAAAGTTTACGTTACAGATGGTTCTTTGCAGCGGTAGAAATATCATATAGATAGCTATACTATATGCAGCTATAATACGAGTAGTTAGTTTTGTTCATAAAAACGTTCATGTTTCTTTTGCACTTCTTTAGCGGGAGTAGACTGTTCTCTAAAGCTACCAATATTTTTTCAGATTTTACTCAAAGAATTACCTCATAAATCACATAGCCAAACACTTATATACAAATAAGTATATATGCGATATTTGCAATAAGGAGTTTTGTACAAAGCCAAGTCTCATTGGACATATTATTGCACATAATTCAGAAACGGTAAATTCACATTTTTTTAAATTCTGTTATTTAGAGACTTTGATATAAGTAATAGATGTACACTAAATTTAGTAAAGATAATTTAGTTTAATTTTATAACACAATTAATGGTGCAAAGGTATAAAATTAATTAAGGAATTGAATTATTAGGAAGTACCGCGTTATGCAGGGGTGATTACTCTACATAGTATATGTACCTGTTTCGTGATCATTTCTAGGTGATCGGCCTTTTGTGTCTGACATACAGGTATATTGAAAATACATATAATAATTCTTTATTTTCTTCTCCCATATAACATTTGTAAAAAACAATAAAAAGAAACAATGGCGCTACGACCTCTTTAGGTCTAGGCCTCACATTTCTGTATCTGTTTCACGATCATTTGTCAATCTAATAGGCAAGTAGGTGATCAGCCTTCAGTGCCTGACACAGGCTGTCGAATGTCGGTTTCCTTCACCGTTCGAGCGAATGTTAAATGCGCACATAGAAAGAAAGTCCATTGGTGCACAGCCGGGGATCGAACCTACGACCTCAGAGATGAGAGTCGCATTAAGAAGGTATTGGGAGACTAGGTAAGAACCCGTGATAAGGATAACCAGGCTTCCATTCCACAGCAGCCATACTGAATGTTCTAATAAAATAAATTCTATATTTTTTAATCTTTTGAAATCCATTTTTTAGGATAAGCAGTGCAAACTGTGCAAGAAGTCCTTCAAAAAACATATCTACCTTAAAAGCCATTATTGGAATACACATTGTATTAAATATAAGATTACTAGAAAGTGAGTACAAATGACCTTACGGGGGATGACGCGATCTGGTTAAACTAAAATTGTTTGGACGAATCGTGGCAGTCGGACAAAAAATTATTCCTATCTATAATTACTAACGCCCGAACCCAATAATCAATACACAATATTAGATTGTTTTCAATCATACCGTGACAGTCGATCGATGTATTATCTGCATCCCAATAACCAAACCCTACGAAGATAATCCATTATTAGCGAGGGATAAAATGCTCTTTGTCGTTCATATGTATACATTTCTGAAAAATCCTCCTAATCATGAAATTTTAAATTATATAGCTTTTTATATTAAAAAATCATCAATCAAATAGATAGCAGTATAATGTTTAATTGGCTTTTAAAATATTTGCTCCACAACCCGTTTAGTATCACTAATAAACAATTTAATAATTATTCCTTAAGTTAGAGTGTTTACTCTAATCAGTTTATTTAAATATTTATTTCAGAAATGTGAAAATAAAGAGGACTCGAAAGGTTCCGGAAATAAAAACGGAAGCTGCTGAGAAATTTGTGATTAAGTCGGAACCCTTGAGTGGTATTGTATTTCATAAAATATATATATATATTTTTTTTTTGTATGCGATGTTACTATTTGTGTTTTAATACAAACTTATTTATAAAGCCCTTCGGTTTGGGAGCGTTCAAGTATTACGTCACGCATTTTTTGGAGATTATTGCCTCCCCCCCCCCATGTCAGGCGCCGTAACGTTTTTCTGTTTTTTTGTTTCGTTACCACCCAGTGACTCTTTATACCTAAAAGTTACCATTATGTGGTGTAAAGAACCTACTGGAAAGTCGAAAATAATATTAACAATAACTTGTTCTGTTCTTGAGATTAAATTTTTAATAAAACTTTTCATCCTATTATTTTAATATCTTTAGATGGTAGTTTGATCAACTTACAAATTACTTTATCGATACGAATTTTAATGCGGTATTATGTAGGTGATTTTTATAAATATTAAATTATTTAAATATTTATTTAGATACAGACGAAGAGACGGAATACTCGAAGTCAGTTTTGGCTGAAGATTTAAAGTCTTCCGGCAATCAAATGAACATCTTCTACGACATTAAAACGATGGACAGGAATAAAATACGTAATTATTATTTCTACGTTTATAAAAAATATTTAATCATAATATTTTGGAATTTGAAAACAATATATGTATATAATTATTTGAGATACAAAATTCCTTGAGTTCTTCTATAAGAATAAATGTTATTTATTAAAACCCCTATGTTTTGTATGTGTGTTGTGTGATTTTGCTGTAACAATTCGTGTGTAAAATTAAATAAAAAATTTCAGATAAAATCAACGATCCAAGGATAAATAAAGAACTAAAAGAGACAGTTAAGATAAAGATCAAACGGTTATTGCAAAAAGTGCAGACATTGAAAGAGAGGTGCGATCTGGAGAGAGCGAGAAGGAGATATAACAAGCGAATGGAGAATTTATTAAAGAGGGGTAAGTTTTTTATACCTACTTTATATATACTTATTCCTTATATTATAAATCGCTGAGGCAATTAAAGTTAATAGTAAGCATTGATCGTCTTTTTTTTTGTATGGCAACTCGAAGCAGTCTTTCAAATAAAGCCAATAAGTGAAAATAATTCTAGTTTGCAATCTCAGTAACATATCTGTATACATTTTAAATTTATAAACGATTTTAGAAGAACCACAGACTGAATTAACAGAGACCGAAGTCGGAAAAATAACTTGTGAAAGAGATGAAAATGGAAAATTAAAATTCAACGTTCATCAGTGCTATGTTTGTTTTAATGTAAGTATTTTAAAATAAGGGTTTTATAAGTTTAAAACATTAATCAAATTTCGTCAAATATATTTTCTGCACAAATCAAGTATTTATTATTTATGGTTTTATTCAGAAACTTTGCTTAATTTTATTTATGACAATATATCATTAACTATTAAGGCTTAAAGGCACTTTTAGTGATTTGTATTAAAACTAATCTCGCCTCTGTGACTTCCGCTGACAACTATATTATAATAAAATAATAGTATTTTTTATAATTTTATTGCAGCTATATAAAACCAAAGAAGAGCTGTTGGATCATTGCCAGCAACATTTCGACCTGTGCCACACTAACACGTTACGGAAGTGCCCCTGTGTGACCACGTCTCGAGTCTGACGCTCGGCCGACATCTACTGAGAAAACACAAAATTAAAACCAAACTTTACACTGGCAACATTAAAAATGATGGCTCGCAATTTTATTACGACGTCAATGGCAAAGCTATTAATAAACTAGAAGTGATACCGAGTGTGAAACTATTGAACAGACAGGCTTATATCGATTTAGACAGAACAAATCGCGAGAAAAAAGATAAAATTATCGCTAAAACAAAATTGGTTAAAAAAGGGACAGAGTGGATCGTGGAAAAGGAGAAATTGAATATCGAAAACTTTAAAATACCAAAGCTATCCGAAATCGATTCATCGATGAATTTTGGTGACGATCATTGCGCGCGTATGAAGTCTTTAAGTGTTGCCACAAAACTAAATGGCGGCAAAATGTTATATCCCTGCGACCGATGCGAAAAAATTTGTCAGACCTTAAGCGCTTTAAAACTACATTATCGACGACACGATCCAAACGCCAAGCCGTTTAAGCCTAAAGTGTGGAAGCATAAATTAAAAAATAACGATAAAAATCCAAATAACCGTAACAATATAGTCTGTGACGTGACAAAGAGATATGTCAAACCTAAACCGATAACAAACAAGCATAGATGCGACCCAGAACTGATAAAATTTTATGAAAGCAATATAACGGGTGACAATATCGAGTTCTGGCAGTTTCTTAAAATATACAATCGAATGACTAGAGAAAATATTAAAGATTTTTCGGATTTAAAAAATAGAACTGATTTCGGAATCCAACCAGTTTCAGATGTGACGAGTGGAACTGATAACTTTAATTACAAAATAACTAAAGATGTTGGTAAAAAGAAAAGGAAACCACAATTAAAAGTCCTACGACATATCTTAATAAGCAAGAAAGAGTATAAGAAAAGAAATGAAATTAAAGCAAGATTAAGACAGAGTCTTGTAGTTAAGAGTATAATAAGCTAATAATATATAAGATTAATATATGTTTTTTAAAGTTAATTTCTAGTTTTTTGAGTTTATAGTAAGCTGTTATAATTTTGGCATAATAACTACTACTAATTTTATTTTTAGTTGACCCACAAGAGGCTTTCTTTAGTTTAATCTAAATTATTGAGTAACATTGAAAAATTAAACTCGAGGTGATAATTATCATTATATTCATAAAAATATCTTACAAAATATAACAAATTAGTTGAGTAAATTAAATAATAAAATAAAAAAGTTATGACACTTGATACAACTTGATATTAATACCTCACAAAGGCAAATAGTAGTAAACTGTATAAGATGCGAAAATAGTTCTGTTTGTTAATTTATTAAATAGATTATATAAAACCTGATTTTTTCATTTCAGTTTCCATGTATCTGAAAAAATTAATACCCATAAGTATAAGAATTTGTCATTTGTTAAAAATATGTTGAACAAAAGAGGAAGAGAAGTGTAATGGTACCATCCGCTATCACACACAAGTCTTTTAAAGAGGCAATGTATCAAGAGAGATTTTTTCCTAATAATAATATATGTATGTTCAAACTGTTAGTAAAAAGTTGTAAAACTGGTGGACTAAATCAGTTGGCCAAAAATGTGCATTTTGCAATTGTTTGTTCCATGAAGTTGAGAAATTTTGTAGATATACGCAAAATAAGGTGGTGTGGTCTACAGATGTAAAATAGCGAATAATAATATTTAAAAAAAATCCTCTACTACAGTCAGTCCAGGTTATATTAGAGATATAATTATATTAGATATATATTAATACTAGATTTTGCCTTCAAAACATTTACTTACTATTTCAGCAATATCTATCCAGTCCATTGCTTTAACAATATTATCATTCTTTGATGGTTTTTTATCCCAGTTCCAGTAAGTTATATCACTGAAGCCACCTGCAACCTGCAATTCAACATTAATGGAAAATGTAGCTTTTATATTATTATATATAATTACTAGCCGTTTCGCGCCCGCTTTGCTGGACGAATTAAAATAAATTTTATGTTTCATTATTTTATTTTTTTTCATATCTTTATTATTCTTCTTTTAACTTCCCGCTAAGAAAATTGAAATATTTCGAAAATCGAGTTTTTAACAGATGTTGACGTTTAGAGGTTCTAGGAAGCCTCCCCGAATGTTTCCGCGGTGAAGTCCGTATGGATAAATTTTCATAAAAGTAAAACAGCAATAAAAAAATGAAGGAACGTTGGAATTTAATAAATAAATAGCTATAAACCATCTAGGAAAAATTTCGCATCCAATTGTGGTAGTTTCATGTCGATACGATCAGTGGTTTAGGCGTGATTGAGCCTCAAACGAAGACCATTTTCATTATATATATATAGATACTATGTGTGTATGTGACTGAACTCCGCTTAAATGGCTGGACAAATTTGAATGAATTTTTTTTGGGTGCATTTGGGTGGTGCGCTGGATGGTTTATATTCACAAATCAAAATCAGCTGGGCAGATGGCACTTTCATATTTTGTTTAATATCCTAATCGTTTGAAATATCAGTACACCGTCTGTCGGATCCGCTAGTATTAATAAAAATAATGATTGCTTGTACCACCAACAAATCTATATGCAAATAAATTCGTTTTTTTTATATCACCTGAAATTTTCTCTCGGCATCCTCATTAAGGGGTCTCTTGGCTTCAGTCACAATAATACCTCGATACCCTTCAGGAACTGATATCTTCACTCCATCGAGCGGGTGCCCACGATAAGTAGCAGTTAAGTCTGAAAAAAAAAAAAATATCTTGGAGTGACACAACTTTTAGGGTTAAACGAATAAATTGACTTAAGATTTAGTAAACACTTAAGTGTAACATTAAACACAATCACCTTTTTCGTCGTTTTCAACTACGTATGGTTCAAAATATTTGTCTACATTAGCTGGGCCATCCTCATCAATTTTACAAGGTATATAGTGAACGCGTTGTTCAAATGCTTTTTTATCGTCTATTTCTCTTAAGTTATTTTCTACTTGAATAGACATTATCGGTTTATTTAGTGCAATTATTTAATATCGATAGTTTTTAATATCTCCGTTTAATTACGCGCGTTAGACCCTTTTTTTTTCACAAGGTAAGATGTCAACAGATCAATACAGACTACAGTCAACAGTCAACACCACTCGACAGTCTTGAATCTTGATAACTCTGTCAGTTAATTTCAGACACAGATATATGGGATATCGGGGTAGATGTAAGGGTAAATTTTGTGGATTACTAATGACTCCTTAACCCATGCTCATTCTACAATTTTTTTCTGGAATATAAGAACTCTCCATTTTTCAGCAATGCGACATCCAAAGGACATGCAATCGACTCAAAGATTTTTAGTGGTTTGGATTTTTCTATCACGATTCTATTTTCAAGAATATAATTTTGTCTAGTGTAAAGTCAAAGTCAAATAATTTATAATGGCACTTTTGAACGTAAAAAAAAAAAAACCTATTGACTTTATCTATCTCCTAAAATACTTAACTTTTAATATTTGCAACTGTATTATATTTATATATATTTGTTAAATAAAAACGTTAAATAAATCGAGGCATCATCTAGAGAAAAAAAATTAATGAAGATATTTTTAATATTGTGACAGTTGACTTAACCGTTAAGATTGTTCATGTTATTGTCAAAAATTATAATCAAATCATTTTGTTTCATACATAAATAATGTAAGATTCCGTCGTTGCGGGTATAAGTGTTTACACGTGTTTCGGATATCATTATTTAGTATTTTCTATTTTTTCTCGTAGTTTAATGAATATAAGTTGACTTATCCTATTGGTGGTGGTTAATTAATAACATCAACTAATTACGTAAGTTATTTTTATTTATTTGTTATATTTCTCCCTTTACCTTGTTATATTTTTGTTAGTCTATAATGGAGAAACGCCCTCCAGACCCCCTGATCCTCCGGATAGGGTCTCTTCTCCGGTGGAATCAATGGATTTATCCACCCCACTGTTGCCCCAACCTGGTGTCAAGCGCAGACTTGATACTGTCAATGAATCTTTAGTGGAACCTTCCAAAAAACCAATGACTGATGTCCGGTCATCTGTTGATGACGTCAACCCAGGATTTTACTCTCATCCATCTCTCACTGGCTCTCCCAAGTCATACCTTGTCAATGACAAGGGCCCTTTTTAGTCCATGTTTCTTGCCCTGAATCTGACCCATCCGCCGGTACATCAATCCGTCCAATTAAATTTGGTCACTTCTTGGTAAAAAATAAAGTAAGTAACATTGTTCGTGATGGTGTTAAAAGAGTGGGACGTAACAGAATATCTGTTGAGTTTAAGTCGGGTTTAGATGCTAATAATTTTGTGTCTAATCCCATTATACCTTCCAGCAATTATTCTGTTACGATTCCTAATTACAATGTTTCCCGTATGGGTCTTGTGAGAGGTGTCCCAGCTGATTGGTCGATGCAAGAATTTGTCGAAACCCTGGAAATTCCTGAAGGTATTGGTATAGTCCTCAAGGCCAGACGCCTAAACCGCAAGACAAACTCCGATGGTCAAATTAATTGGATTCCAACACAAACTGTTGTTTTAACCTTTCAGGGACAAACCCTTCCGGAGAGAATATTCTCCTGTCATAGTTCCCTCCGCGTTGAAACGTACCAACTCCCAACAATTCAATGTCTCAACTGTTGTAGATTTGGTCACGTAAAGTCACAATGCCGTTCTAAGCCTAGGTGTTTTCGTTGTACTTTAGCCCATCCTGGTGATGATTGTAATATCCCTGAAATAGAGTCATTATGTTTATTTTGTACTGCCTCGCACTATGCGACCAACAAAGCTTGTCCTGAGCATAATCGACAAAAAAACATAAAGAGTTGTATGTCTCAGGAGAGCATTTCTTATCTCGAAGCATCGGCTCGGTTCAGACCTATCAGTGGCAAAACTTTCGCAGACTCTGTTAAAACAACGCCCTCCCCTTCATTCAATGTATCCCAGCCCATTATTATACCTTCCCAAGTTTCCCGTCAGACAACATCATACAGGAAAACGGTATTTCTCCCTCCTCGCTCTAGGCCAACATCAGGAAAATCCTTTGATAAGGCGGCCCATGAGGCCATTACTTCCAATTTTCCCTCCTCTTTACCCAATGGTTGTGCCGTAAGCTCCCCAACCCTTATCAACAATGAAGTCTCCCCAAATGAAAATCTTCTTGACTGCTTATGGGCAGTCATTTGTAACATGCTATCTAAATATGATGACATCCCCATACCGTCCCACGTTGCCCAAAAAATTAATTTGCTCCACTCATTCGTCACCAAAAATGGCGAATCTAGTAATCCAGTGGAATTGTAACAGTATTCGCAGTAAAAAATCCGAATTAACCTTTCTCATCAATAAATTCGCTCCATCTATTCTAGCCATTTCGGAGACTTGGTTATTGCCGGGTTCCCGCTTTAGGGTTTCTGGGTATCGATGTCTCCGAGATGACAGGGATACGTTACGCTGGCTGTGCCTTTTTGGTCAGCCGATCCCTCACCTTCCACTCATTATCTCTTCCTCATTGTGATGGTATTAATGCTGTTGCTATGAGAGCTTTTAATATCTCGTTTATTTCTGTTTATATTCCCCACCCCCATATCGACCTCATTTCTGATATACGTTCTATTATCCTTTCGGTTCCTCCTCCTGTTGTCATGTTGGGTGATTTCAATGCCCACCATGTTTCTTGGGGTTGTCATTCCTCAGATTCTTTTGGGTCCCTTCTACTAGATTTACTCGATGATATAAACATAAGTGTCTTGAATAATGGTTGTCCTACGAGAAGGAGTCTTCCATCTCAGAATCCCGCTAACGCAGTGGATTTATCACTTTGTTCTCCTGATCTTTTCCCTTTTCTATCCTGGCGTGTTTTTAAGAGCACTTGTGGGAGTGACCACTTCCCCATTTTAATTGATCTCCCAACCAATTTAAGGAGCGTTACTCGCCCTTCCCCTCTTTTAAAATTTAAACTGAATCAGGCCAATTGGTCAGACTTTTCATCTTCTATTGACTCTAAGATAGCTGCGCTCCCCGCAGTTTCTGTTGAAAACTGCCTATCTTCATACAATGATTTTGTCAACTCCCTCACCTCATCTGCCAGTTTACATATTCCACTCAAATCTTCTACACTAAGGAAAATTTCTCCTCCTTGGTGGGATTCCGAATGTACTGAGATGATTCGAAAAAGAAAAACGGCAGAAAGGTCATACAGTCTTTGCATGACCTTGGAAAATTTTTTAGTCTACCAACAAGCTTCTGCAGCTGCTCGCAGACTTCTTAATAATAAGAAACGTCTTGGTTGGCATAAGTTCTGTGAGAGCATGTGCCCTGGTACCCCTTCGTCTGTTGTTTGGAGGCAGATCAGAAGATTCCGTTGTTCCCTCAATTCTTATGATGTCCCTTTTAATGATCCGTCTAGCTGGATTACCTCCTTTGCCGACAAATTGGCTCCTCCATCAGTCCCTTTTTATGATTGTCTTCCTTATAAGTATAATTCTTACATCCCCTCTTCAAACAGTCTAGATTGTCAATTCTCCTTAGAAGAACTTAACAAAGCATTAAATGGTCTCTCTGACTCTTCCCCTGGAGAAGATGGAATCCCTTACTCATTCCTCATAAATTCTTCATTAGGCACTAAGAGGTACTTTCTAGATTTAGTAAACTGTTTTTTCGATCATGGAATTATTCCTGAATCGTGGAACAGACAAATCGTCATTCCGCTTCTAAAACCTGGCAAAGATCCATCAGATTTCTCTTCATACAGACCTATTGCTTTGTCTTCTACCCTTTTAAAAATTATGGAACATTTGATTAAAATTCGTTTAGAATGGTTTTGTGAAAGTAACAATATCTTTGCAAAATCCCAGTTTGGTTTCAGGAAAGGCTTAAGTACGATGGATAGCCTAAGTATAATAACGACCGACATTCGCATTGCTTTTAAAAAGAAACAGTTCCTGGTGGGTGTTTTCTTGGATATCGCATCTGCGTATGACCACGTGCTGGTTCCAGTGCTCAGGCAAAAAATGCTTCAGCTGAGTATTCCTGAGAAGTTGGTACGTTTTGTTTGCAATGCAGTTTCGAATCGTTATATTATTATAAGATCTCAAAATACGGAGCTGTCTCCTAGATCTATTTGGAGGGGCTTACCCCAAGGTTCTGTTTTGAGTCCTCTTCTGTACAACATTTACACCTATGACCTGGAGCTTGTTGTGAATTCCTTCTGTCAGATTCTTCAGTACGCGGACGATGTAGCCTTATACTTTTCATCAAATTCTATTGAAGAGGCATCATCACGCCTAAATTCGGCTTTGGATTATTTGGGTGATTGGTTAAATGATCATGGTCTCTCTATTTCTGTGCCCAAATGTTCGGCAGTCACGTTTACTACAAAATACAAGGTTCCACGGTGTAACATTTCATATAAAGGGTCCTTGGTATCGTGTTGTAAGCAAGTAAAATTTTTAGGCCTTATTTTAGACTCAAAGTTAAACGGTGTTCCTCATTTTAACCATGTGATTAAAAAAAGTGAGAAGGGTGTTAATGTTCTCCGTTCATTATCTGGTGTGAGGTGGGGAGCACACCCCTACTCGCAAAAGCTTTTATACAATGCTGTGGTACGAAGTCATTTTGATTATGGCACCTTCCTTTTAGATCCTGGCAACAAGCAAGCCCTTGATAAAATTTCCAAAATTCAATCGAAATCTTTACGCATCATCCTTGGTGCTATGAAATCCTCTCCCATCAATGCTCTCCAAATAGAATGTGTTGACCCCCCTGTATTTACGTAGACAATTTTTAAGTGACCGCTTCTTCATAAAAGTCCTTCAATACTCTTCACATTCCATCTTGTCCAAATTACGTCGCTTATCTAATCTCACGATGCCATCTAGTACAGGTAATGTTCCATGCCTGTTACACAGTTTTAATAAACTTTCTCGTCTTCCTAATCCTATTGAAAGTTTCCCTAGTAATCCCTTGTTTTTAAATAGTTATGAATCCCTCATTTTTGATCCTAAAATAATTTTAAACTTTGGAATTGAAAAAAAATCCACCCAAGCTTCCACTTGTTTTCTGGAAAAAATTTCAAAAGACTGGCAGGGTTGGTTAACGATGTATACTGATGCTTCCAAGATTCCCAATAATGAGTACATCGGTGCGGCTGTATGGGTTCCTTCATTCAAAACAGTATTGAGCTTTAAACTTCCTCCATTGACCTCCGTTTTTTCAGGTGAAGCTTTTGCAATCCTAGAAGCGGTTTTGTATGCTGAGTCCCACAACCTAAATAAAGTTACAATTTTTTCCGATTCTCGCAGCTGTTTACAGGCAATTCTTTCCAATCCATTCAGGTCTAAAAAAAACATAATACGATTCTAAAAATAAGAGAAGCTTTGTTTAGGTGTAGTAAAAAAGATATTCATATTGTACTTTTGTGGATACCTAGTCATTGTGGTATAGCGGGTAATGAAACTGCTGACTCTTGTGCAAAAGGTGCTATTTTCTGCGGATCTTGTCAGCATACCAACATCTCGGCCCTCGACCTATCAGCTCTTGCGTACTCCCACCTTTTAAAATCCTGGACTATTGATTGGCAATCTTCTAAAGTAAAAACTGGCAGACACTATGCTAATATTCAGTTTTCAATCCCTTCTTCGCCGTGGTTTTTTAAACATAAGTTTTTAAACAAAAAGGTCACGTCTATAATCTGCCGTCTTCGTATAGGGCACGCTTGTACTCCCCTTCATCTAGCCAAAATTAAAATTAAAGACAGTTCTCTCTGTGAGTGTGGTATGGACGAGGGCTCGACAGACCATATATTTTTTAACTGTTCTTTAATTAATGACTCGTTATTTGACCATCTTTCTCCAGATTTCCCTCGTCCATGTAACCTTAACTCCCTACTTTCCCTCCCATCCAGCTCGATCGTCAAAATTTTAGGGAAATTTATTTCTGTTAATAAATTAAAGTTATAAATAAGATTCTCCCCTCCATACCTTGTAATAAAATGTTAACCTCTTGTATATATTATTAGATGTCTGTGTGTGTTGTATTTATTGTGATGTCATTTTTGTTTTGGGTAACTCTGCTTAGATAAAATTCAATGTATCAAAATTATCAAATCTATCCTCACTGTGTGAAGACTTAGAACGTGACATTGGCGGAATTGTGATTTACACAGATGTCGCCATTATAAATAAAGTGAAGTGAAGTAAATAATGTAATAAGTGTGTATTTCTAAAAATATAGGCGTTTGTTATTGATTTCACAAATTTCATCATACTTACAGAATACGTTCCACGACGCTTAGTTTGGAATTCTACTGACCAGTTGAAATAGCCTTTTCCTTACCCTGTGACCTTCAAAGTTCAAAAAGTATATCAGAAAGCTATTCGTTCGTGTTTGTTCAGTTGAAAAACATATTTATTACGTCAGTGTAAATAATTTGGCAGTGTTCTTGTTATTATTCACGTACGGTAGTTGCTGGCGAATGGTCTTGTATTGACCTTGAACTCGCAACAGCTGGTACACATCCTGTAAGTTCTTTTTTAAGATAACTGGATTTTAATATTTCTCTATAACTGTTTATTTAATTTTACTGATATTTACAAACGAAGCAGAAGAAACTAAAAAGCTCGATTATTTTATTTTAAACCCTTTCTCTTTTGTGCAACAATGTGCAATTGTGCAATGTTACATTGTAATTAAATTACAACATAGAGTATTTCATAATATATATTATAATGTCACTAAATTACTATCTACGTAGTTACATAGTTTTGACTTAATATACTGACAGAAATTTATTTTTAAAACATAAATGCTAAATGTATTTTCTATGCCTTTCCATCTTTTTGATTTTTTGGCACAAATATGAAGTTGATTTTTTTCTAAATTACTAAAATCAAAAGACACTATAATAGTAAGTTCCCATATAGTCACTTGAAACATTCATCGGTTTAATTTTATAATTATAAAGGTCCAATAAGAAATTGTATTAATTAAAACTAAAGCTGTATTTATAAATAATTATAAACAATGTTTTATCAGTTATTGACTTATGATTATGCTATCATTATAAAACAATAAAAAATACTGTGATGCATCTTATCTATGATTACAAATGCCGTTTTTATTGTGTTTTGTAATGAAACTTAGAATTTTATCTTTAAAAAAGAATACTGTTTGTCTTTGTTATAATTTGACTAATTTCTTAATGTGTATTAAGTCATAATATTAGCTATCAACAGAAAAAAAGATGAGAGTGATGCAACTCGGTTAAATAGTTGCAAAGACTATATCTTCCTCAATACAGATTAACAATCTTACAATCAATTGAAAAGGCAGTAAAAAATATTAAATTAACATGTGTGTCAAAATTCTAAGTTTAAGTTTATCAAGCTGATGCAACTTAAAGAAAATCTGAAGTATCATGTAACTTTGTATTTTCAATTATTTAAAATTATTACTTATGATAAAATTTTAAATTAAATATTGTTACAAATAAACTACCCATGGTAAGTTTATAGGTGTCGGTATAAACTCGGTAAAATTCTGGCTTAATGATAAAAATGTCATGTGAAACAGTTCAACAATCTTCATTTATTTGTGACTTTAAAATGATTAGTTTTTGTGTCCTTGCCAATTAATGGTACCAAGTAGGTATATTATTCCTTTGGAATAAATTACTTTATAAAAAAAATAATTTCAGACTCAGAAACATGGATTCATTCTTCAGCCTGTTCGACCCCTCAGATGGGCAAAATAAACAAAAAAAGAGACATAAAAATGACCAGGAGAAAAGTAATGATGCTCCTAAAGGTAAACAAAGAAAAATTATAATCCTAATACTTATTTTCTACTTAAAAAGTAGTAGGTGGGTAAAGTCAAATTTGACTGTAATTTTTTTCAACCAAATAATTTTTATATTTATATTTATTCAGGAAGACGTCGCGGTCGCCGCGGGCAGGGTAAACACGAGACATTGCCAGAGGAGTCCTCATTCCTCTGTGAGCCACAACTCAGCACGGAAATTCTTGTCAAGGACTGCAGCTATATTGAAAACTATATTGAAGTTAATAATAAGGACGATGGTGAGAAATGTTGTCCTATTGGCTTCACCGAGTGACTCTCATCCCTTAGGTCTTAATTTCGATCCCCGTATTTACATCAATGGTCTAATGTATGTAATCATTTAACACTTGGAAGGAAATGTTGAAGGATGTTTTTCTACACCACATCCTTCAACATTTCCTTCAAGGCCGTCGTTAGAAGATAAACCCACTTACCTATTAAAAAAAATGTGTGCGTGTACTAGGTGTACACACGTAAGAAGTGAAACTTCTTTATGACCTTATTTTTCGAAAAATGATCTACTATATGCAACTTAACGAAATTGGTTAAATAAAGTTTAACAAACGGCTTTTATTATCATAGACATGAATACAAATACAATTATTTCATTTTACCTAATAAGGTAATAACTACTAATAATCTTAGTAGTTATTACTACTTAGTAGTAATAACTACTAAGATTATTACAGAATTTCATTAATTGTAGTAGAATTATTACTATCATTGTTATCGTTATTATATATTTTTGTTATTAATGGCTTCGAATCTCTTCGGATCAACCGTGGTAGGGACAAGAAAAAGATGGCGCGTAACCGAAAAACATGACGATTTGCTACAAAATTTCTCCCATACGTCGATAAAGAACTTTCATTCCAACGCCGATAAAGAAGTTTGACTTCAAAAAGCAACATGGCGCGTAACGGAAAAATGTGACGCGTAACGAAAAAATGTTACACTAAATTTTTTTCCAACCCCGATAAAGAAGTTTCACTTCAAAAACAAATGATTACGAAACATAAAGAAATCTGAAGCCCAGAACTTTTTTGGTCTGTTAGGTCTGCCACTGGATGATGAGAAAGAAACTTGTTTTTTTTTTATTTTGTTAGGATTAGGAATCGAAAATACCAATTGTCATTGCTAAGTAATTCCGAGTTGATAATTTTATTTTAATATTCTATTCCCGTGCAAAATTATAAAAATGGTTTGAATTCACATTACCAATTACAAATAATATTTTTAAAACTCCAGATTCTAAAGAATCGGACAAAAAGCCGCGTAGGCGCAACTCGAGAAGGAAATCTCGACGGAAAAACAAAATATCGCCTGGAAAAGATCTCTTGCCCGGGATGGCTTGGCACGAGGAAGCTAATTGTAAGGGTTTTTACTATATTAGCGCACTTGTGATCAATGTTCAAAGAAATATGTACATGTTAGTTTTTTCTGAACGGTATTCAGATGTGATATGAAATCGGTTTAGGAAAAATTAATACAAAACTTAGTAATTTTTATAAGACAATGGATGGTTTTTGATACCTATATTATATTTGGATCGTAATCATCGCAACATACTGTGTGTATCACAATTTTTCTCTAGATGAGAATATCTTAAGTTGCACTTACTATAGAATGTGGATGTTTGTTTCCATGGTAACACTGTCAATACGATGCTAAAGAGTCCACGTTTTATAATATTGTCAACGTCAAATTATTGTCAATATTGTTTCTAATCTTACGGTGGCATCTTCACATAGGTGCGGGCGAAAAATCAAACCTGAACAATCAATCAACGAAGTTAAAAACCACAGACGAAAAGCTCGGAAAGATTGTAAATAACCTGAAAAATTTGAAAAAAGACAAGAGAAAAGACGAGTTTGAAAGAGTCTATAATGTAATAGATAAGCTGGAGAAAGTCGGGATCAAAGATAATATGTATTTGAGCGGTGACTTCGATGACGATAAATGGGAGAGTGATTTCTTCTATAGCGATGACGATGAAGAATTCAGGGATGATAGGTACCATTTATTGATTAAACTCATTAATAATATTAATTAAAAAAAATATAGAGAATATATCTAAATTTTTATTCCAGTACCTCGGATGCAGATGACACAGGTGATGAATACTTCGGATGCCTACCCCCAGAGCCAAGGTTTGGTAATGTGGAGTACAAGCTGCAACTGGTGTCTCCTTGTGAGAGAAGGTTTCAGCATTTGGTCACCCAGGTATGTCCCCTTAAAAAATCATTTTTGAAAAGTATTTTTGAAGTGAAACTTCTTATCGGGGTTGGAAAAAAAATTTAGTGTAACATTTTTTCGTTACGCGTCACATTTTTCGGTTACGCGCCATGTTGGTTTTTGAAGTCAAACTTCTTTATCGGCGTTGGAATGAAAGTTCTTTATCGACGTATGGCAGAAATTTTGTAGCAAATCGTCACGTTTTTATTTATTATTTAATATTTATTCTTAATGACACTTAATATTTTAATGACAATTAAATACATTAAATTCCTAACATATATTCCTTTTTCCGTCCCTCTAAGTATCGGAAAGCTAAACTTTTAGATTTGTATAAATATGACACTTATGACACTTAAAGATTAGTTTGCCACTGAAGTTTCACTTCTGACATGTGTACTTTGTACACACACTTTTTTTTTAAATAGCAGAAACTACACTAAAAATCAACCATCCAATCTATATAATATTCAATTCTATATAAATTCTTTTCATCTAGAGAATAATAATGGTTGGTTTAGTTGAAATGGCGCCTTCGGTCGGGTGGTGGGACAGCCGTGTACGTCATAGGGGTGAGGGACTGCGGGGCCCTGAAGGGACTGAGAGCGAACGCCTTGAGGGCCTCTCTGAGGGCGCTGAGAAGGATGGCGAGCGCCATCGGTGCAGTTTTAGTATCGGTGCGAGCGAGACGGGTAGCGCCCAATCGGGCAGTCGCCGAGGTTTATATACGGAAGGTAAGTTTTTGGATGTTGGCATTAAAAATTATTTTCATCTTTGATATTGTGAATTTTGAAAATAATACAAAACAATTTTTACTTATAATTTGCTAATATAAAGTGATTTAAAAGTTTCGAGCGTAACAATACAATGAGTCATGCTTTTTCGTGCGTTCATCGATTTATTAGAAATTGTCACGTCAAAATATATAAAAATTCAATCACATAAGTCTTTTAATTTAATTCTAAACACGTTGTAAAGTGCTAATATTAACTATTTTGTATGTTCAATTGTATTCTAACAATTATGATATTATTTGTTTTAGTTGGCAGATACTCAACAAAGTGTAGAACTGAGGGTAGCCGTGATGGGTGCGAACGAAGCGGGAAAATCTACCCTCATTGGAGTTTTAACTCAGGGTAAGGTGACCTTTATAGGTTGATTAAAACCTCAAGAAAAAAGGCTCGTTCATAAATTTGTAGTGTCCTAGAAAATATAAATAGCGGTTCCAGGACGACTACAGAATCCAAGAATATGTATTTATTTATAAGTAATCTTACAGATACACATATACATATTGTAAAAGAAAATACTTAGACAATATACAAACCCAAAACAGATAACATTTAACGAAATATATGAAACAGAAAAAGAAAATTGAAATTAAACAATTTGCAACTTAATATTTTAAAGAAAAATGACTATTACTCCTGCTATAAAAGTCTTTTCGCTCAAAATATTTCCTGACACTCTCTTTGATAAGGTGGGAAATGGAGGTATAATTCTCGTTACTTCAATTTTGTTCGGTTTGGTTCATAAGAATGTAAATCATCGTGATATTATATATATGTTTCCTTTTAATTTTCCACTAAAAATATAATCATTTATCGTTTTGCGTCTACGTATTTCATATACGCACTCTACGCTTAATATTCTTCGTTTAGACTTTAGAATAATGATTGAAATCGGTCAGGTGAGCTGGACAACGGCCGAGGCAGCGCTCGACTCAACATGTTCCGACATTTGCACGAAGTGAAGAGCGGGAGGACCTCTTCCCTCAGTCACGAGATTCTGGGGTTCGACGCTCAGGTAGTTCTCAATTTTATACAACTTTCAAAATTAAAAATTCAAAAATCATTTATTCACGTAGGTAACACAATGTACACTTGTGATGCGTCATTAAAGAAATACATATTAGTGCTTCTAATTTTACATTTACTGCTTTTTTTTTTTACACAACGTTTGTAAGGAGCTGCAACCATTACACCATGTTCCACATGACATCTTAAGTAATTAATAATAATAACATAAATTAAAAACAAAGACTTGTACCCTATCAGCAGGAGGCATGGTGAAATAGGAGCGCGTGCTCCTATTTCACCTTACATTCTCGTGGGAACAACACGCAAACACATAGTCGAAATAATTAACATCACCGCATACACGAATTAAATAAGTGTATAAAAGCCAGGATAGACGTCTAAGTGTGATGATTCAGGGCAACGTGGTGAACTACGGGTGTTCGGAGCTGATGACGGCCGAGCGCATCGGAGAGAGGAGCGCGAAGCTGGTCTCGTTCTTGGACTTGGCGGGTCACAGCAAGTACCAGCGGACCACCGTGCACGGGCTCACGGGCTACTGTCCGCATTATGCCATGATCGTGGTGGGTGTCGGCTCTTTGTGTATTTGATTGATTTGCGGCATTGCGCCTATTTTAAATGTCTTATATTCTGCAGATCTCGGCCACCGCGGGCATAACGAGCATAACAGAGGAGCACATAGGACTCCTCCTCGCCCTGGATATGCCTTTCTTCGCCGTGATCAGCAAGTGCGAGTTGGCCAATGCCGCCGTGGGGCCGTTGGTGGAGAAGTTGAGGGCTCTTCTGGCGAACGCTAAGAAGGTATACACTCGTTCTTGGAGCAGTGTTGGCCAAGTTGGTTTCAGCGGACGACTCTCATTCGTGATGTGTGCTGTGCACCAATGGCCTTCACACAAAAAGTCGACACGTGTCAGGCACGGGAGGCTGATCACCTACTTGCCTATTAGATTGACAAAAGATCAAGATATGGATACAGAAGTTTATAAATATTTGGTATATCACAATTCTCACACACTTGAAGCCAAAATGAGCCCTTTAGTTTTTCCCAAACTCATAAATTGTAATTTAACATTCTCGTTTCCGATAATGTCCAATATGTCGACTACACTTATATTGAAGTGTCTCTTAGACTTAAGAACCCTTAAATAAGCCAAGTTAGTTTTTTGTAAGCGTTGCAACCCCACTACACATAATTTTATGTTAGTTATAAACGATTAAAGCTAGTTGACTCTGAGCTTCGAGCAAAAAAATTCATGTATCATACATTTGGTTATATCTTATTTTGAGACTCGCGCGCAGAACATGATATATTTTTATTGATTCCGTTTATTATCTGTGAGAAAAAAATATATTGTATTATTACTAAAGCTAGTAATAGCTAATACAAAATATTTTTGAATTTAATGATTTTCAGAAACCTCTATTAATCACTGATGAGAATTTGGCGCGAAACTGTGTCGTGCCCCAGAAGTCTATACTCGACACCATAGACGATACGGACCAGAGACAAGATGAGTGAGTAGCAAATTACATCTGATAGTAGAAAACAGTTGTTTTTATGGACAAGGATTAAAATTGGTATCACAAGTCTCAATCTCGTTTTGAGCGCTGTCAAATGTGTCAAACGTCATAATAAAATCATTATAAGTAAAATATTCTCCTTTATTATCTAGAGAGGAAGTGGAACAAATTCCCGTGTTCCCCGTGAGCTGCGTCCGCGGCGTGGGTTTGAACGCCCTCCACGCGTATCTGCTGGCCTTGAGACCGCCCGCGGAGGACGCTCAGCCCAGTTCTGTAGATACGGTGAATTTATATAAATTAAAGTAAAATAGTCGTATTTTAAAGAAAACACTTTTCTAACGGATTGAAGCTATGAATTATTATAAACTTATAATTATTTTTCTATATCCACAGCTTCAATCCGGTAAAAAAGTGTTTCCTTTAAATGTGTAAAAGTTATGTTAGTAAAAGACAATACTAATTTATTTAAAACATCCTTTTCAGTTTGTTTTTATAGAACAGGAGGCAAACGGGCAGGTGGTTCACCTGATGTTAAGTGATACCGTCGCCCATGGACACTTGAAGAACCCTAAGTCGAATCGGTTCGGAAATACTTCAGCGGGCAACTGATTCCATATAGATAAAATATATGTGGAACGGCGGATGTCGGAATTGATTTGATGAGCGTAATTTCGTCTTCTGACTCGACGTCCGATGATGAAATGTGTGAATTTGTCTTTTCATAAATATTTGTGATTACTAAAACATGACAATTCTGAGGGAAAATGTTAATTGAGTAGATGTGATTATTTGCAGGAGAGTTGCGAGTTCCAAATAGACGAGATCTTTCACGTGGGGGAGTCGAGCGGACCCGTGGTGGGGGGGCTCGTGGCCAGGGGGCGGCTTCTGGAAGGGGACGACCTCATCATTGGTAATCTTCTTTTAGCTTTCTTCTTACGCTCCTTATTTTTACACATATAAGTCTTTCGTTATCGAATATACAATATATATTTCTATCAGAATTGGTGATATTTTTATATGGGATGGAATTTAAAAGCGTTTAAACCAAATAGATGATGTAAATGAAGTGTCTATACCAGTCTTTCCCAACGTGGGGCCCACGCTCCACAGCGGGGGCAATATTATATTCTCGATGGGAACAATTCTAAAATTTTGTTTTGTTTTGAAAATTTACTTACTGGGCAAAAATTCCTAAAACCTATTATTTAAGTTTCTTAAGAAAACAATTCAATTTTTAACTGTACTTTATAATATTGTCTTCATTTGTGGTATTACGAACCCAATAAGTCCCGGAAGCAGTCAACTAAAGTTCAAGATAACACAGGTCCATTAGACACGGGTGAATTCGTCGAAATCTCGGTGAAGACGATATTCCGGAACCGCGTTCCTTGCGGTTCGGCCAGAGCGGGTCAATCCGCGTCGCTGGGCCTCAGCCGGGATCCTCCCAACCTTCGACCCGGGATGGTCCTTTTGACTCGGCCCGGGCAATACCGGACGGGGCCGAGGCCGGTGTGGGGGTGCACGGAGAATTGTACGAAGACGGTGAGAGGTTTCTTATATTAGAGACAAAAATTCAATAATTTTTAGGGTGGAAATATTCGACAGTGTCTCGGGGCGCAGTGGAGAGCTGGAGCACTGAGGCACGCCGGCCCGTTATAACAATTAGTTATGTAAAACATTCAATTAATGTAATTTTATCAATTTATTTTCTGAAATGGATTACTTGGCTTGCGATAAAATATATCGTGTAAATTTCAAAATTATGTTCTATATACATTTTCTTGAATGAATTCAAAGTGTCAAAAATTGGCTATGTTTGGATTTTTTTCTATCGAGCGAAGTTTCAAAATGGATACATAAACTACTTAATTCCACCATCTATTTTAACAAAAAATGGAAAGAAACAATGTTCTTTTTTGGAGTTTGGCGACCAGATCAGTCCTTAGACCTTAATTATAAAAAGCAAATTAGGACGGAATATGTAACCAAGAGAATTTTAGTATAATAAACCGTTGCCATGGTAATAAACTAGCTTTATCCACCCTAGTTATGACAATGTAGACAGAATGATGGCAGTGAACTGATTTGTTTATTTATTATGTTATATAATGCTATATCTACAGTCGTAGGAATAATACAAAAATTATTTAAAAAAAAAAATTATTGATACCAAATCATGCGTTTTATATTACAGACGCCTCAAATAATACCAAAAACTCAGAACCAAGAGAAAAATAGTAAAAACGTGAAGAGAAAAAACAATTTCCTTCAAGAAGTGACAAATTTACAAAAGATTTTGACAAAAACGCTGCCGTTCGACAAAAACGTCAACGAATTGGACAAAAGCGGCATCGACACGGTGGAGAGCGTCGACGAGCTGTTCGGTGAGGATTTCGACAAGTCGACGGGCGAGAGAGAGGAGAGCGGCAAATGCGCCTGCGCAGGTCGAGTCTGGCTGGAAGACCCCAACGACCCGAGGGGCTGTTTGTACTTTCAGGTCGGTATACATTTGTCGTTATGAAACTGTTCGTGTTGATTACCAGCTCTTGACTTCGGGAACTTGCAGGCGACGGTGCTCCTGATCCGCCACTCGACGGCCATTTACCCGGGATTCCAATGCTCGGTGCACGTCGGGAATGTTCGGCAGACGGCTATTATCGAGGTATTTCTCTTCTTTATGACGTCATCTATGTGTTCCTTACTAGCGTAGTATGTAGTTCGTCATCATCTTAATGACGAGCGAGGGGGCCGATGGCTGGCCATGGGTCATACTCGTAGACGGGTGCTACTTGTCGAACTTGAATTCGTGTAAGGTGGTGTTAGTTGTTTCAACTATGTTGTTCCCACGAGAATGTAAGTGCTGAAAAAGGAAAAATCTTTGTTTTTAATTTATTTTATTATTATTTATTACTTAAGATGCCATGTTGAACATGGTATAATGGTTGCAACTCTTTACAAACGTAAAACAAAAAACTTGGCGATTAAAAAGAGTGGCGGAGAGTTTATTGCCAGTTCTTCTCTTCCGTTCTACGCCCTTGATTTGAGAACTGGCAGGAAACGTAAAATTAGAAGCATTTAATGTATATTTCTTCTTTTGACGTTCATAAGTGTACATTGTGTTACCTACATGAATAAATGATTTTTAAAAAAAAACAAAGTTTAGATTTTCAGTACATGAAGTATGTTTGTCCAGGGCATCTTGGCCCCGAACAGTGTGGTCAGGGCTGGAGAGACAGCTTCCGTGGTGTTCCGCTTCGCCCGATGCCCCGAGTACCTGCTCACGGGACGGAGGCTGCTCTTCACTGCGGGGCTTGGGACCAGGTCGGTCGCCCTACATTACGGTTCACAGAGACACTTTTCTCGTGTTTCGATATAAAAAACAATTTTATCTTTCAGTTAGTTTACTTTGAAAATATGTTATAATTAATTACATTTTTTGTTTGTTTTCAGAGCAATTGGCCGGATCACACAAACCTTTCCGTACATACCTTGAGCGATCTAGTGTTGTTTTAGGGCAAATCTACTAATGATTGGGTTTCAACCCATAGATGGTACATATTTGTACCAAACTTGATCCGATTGGGGTCAAATTTAACCAGATTGGACATCTATTAACAAACTTACATTCTTTTTACATTTTATATCACAATTTAGCAATTAATTTAATGCACACAAATTATATTTATTTACAAAGAAATTTAGCAAAAACTATATTAATTACACAATATTATTATATTAAAACACTAAATATAAGATTTCCCTATTTCAATAATCTAAAACATCACTCAACACTACATCTAGTTTCAAGAGTGATTGCGTCTATTTGACATATTTGATATTGCTCAAGTGTGACTTGGGATTTATTTGATAATAAGAAAAATTCTTAAGGAACTATATTTTAATTGGTTTTGCCTAGTCTTAACATTGTTTAAAAGACCATCAACTTGTAATTATGTACAATTACCCTAGTAAGGACAAATTTCCGCCACTTTTTCACTTTTCAGCAGAAATGTGACCGTTTGGTCTTTTTTTGGAATCGAATTTTTTTACTTGTAAATTTTTGACAGCTTGTGTAGATGGCATTGCTGTTATTTGAAATGTCAAACCATGGCATTGACATCTATCAAACTCGCGATTTAGTAAATATATTTATAAATAAACTCTAATAAAAAATGTTCCCAAAATGAAGCAATAAAAAATCTAATATTTTGAAATGTGTTGAATTTGTAGTGTTTGTTACGCTTATTCCCTCAAACTGCTACTCGATTGTAGATAAGAATGGTGAATGATGATAAGACTAACATATATATATTATATCGTTCAATTCAATGTTTAGTTGTAAGAAATACATTTTTAGTATTATGACTGCAGTGAATTAAGTTGAATCACTGCTTAAGAAGTTCTCTATTAGGAATTGGTTCCTATTTATTTTAGTCTTAAAGACTTTGATAATCTATTTATGGTTGAATTAAATTCTCTTTTATTATGTTTTTGATTTCAGTGACGTATGTCCAGTTAGTTTGGTTTTGCTTAGGTGAAAAAAATTACGGAAAATCGGGATTTGGAGTTGAAATAATGACGAAAAACAGTCGTTTATAAGTTATTACGATTGTTATATATGTTTTTCTGGTCATATTTAAACATGACCAGAAAATTAATTAATCCGATTAATAACAAATTATTTCTTTCAACGAATTGTGTAGTACATCAAACTTAGCTGTAATGTTTATAATATCGTGACAAATCCTTTAGACGTTGTGAAAAGGCACTCATATTGTATTATTAATAGAAATATAGATTGCTTGTAATAAAAATACACCAAAAATATGCACATTTTGAATAAATAAAATTTGGAATTAATTTTTTTTTCATTTTGCACATATTTGTTGCGGTCTACTTCCCGCGACTTTGTCTTAGTTTTTATTAATACCCTATAAAATTCAAGCTTTCATTCTACACCTCTTCTCTATCTTATTTTAGTCTCTTTATTCATAAATAATAAAATAGCCCACAATGAATTCACAACAAACCGTAAATCAAAATTGGATTTTTATTCTGAAGGTTGAAGTGAATGGTTATAGGTCCTCTGGGTCGGCAGTATATATGGGGGTACCACAGGGTTCAATTCTTGGCCCTTTCCTCTTTCTTGTTTATATAAATGATCTACCTTTCGTGGTAGAGAAAAAACATCAGATAGTAGTTTGTTAAACGTCAGATAGCAGATGTTAGTTCTGCAGCTTACGCGGTTAAAAAGATTCGCTCACTAACTGATGTCGATACAGCTAGACTTGTTTATTTTAGTTACTTTCACAGCGACTTATGGCTTATTATAATGGGGTCATGCTGCTGATGTCGAAACTATTTTCATCCTGCAGAAGAGGGTTATTGGTGCAATCTATAAATTAAACTGTAGGGAATCTCTGAGAGATAAATTCAAGGAAATTAATATATGTACTTACCTTTCCCTCGCAATATATTTCTGAAAATATTATGTATGTATACAAAAATAGTGATAAGTTTACTAGAATAGAACATATGCATAATGTTAATTCTCGGAACAAACGCAGGCTACAATTTCCGCGTACTAGACTATCTAAAGTAAGTTATTCTTTTTTGAGAAAAAGGACACTTTTCTTTAATAAAATCCCAGATGCTCTTTTATCTCTGCCTTTTAATAAATTTAAGAGATGTATTAAAGAAAAGCTGTGAAAAAAGGCTTTCTATAATGTTAACGATTATCTAGTTTATAAAAGGGCCTGGGACTATTGCTTGAAAGGCTGCTTCTAATTAGTTTGCGGTATTTGTTTTAAAATAAGTGTTGTATGCCATAGTCATTTTGTATGATGATTTGCTATTTTAAAAGAGTACGAGAGTTTTTAATGCCGGCTTTTTCTCTCGACCTACACCCTCTGTCTTCTTTGCCGATGAGTAGGGATGCCTTCCGATACAATTTAATGACGTGAAATAAGTGATACCTACCTGTTATGTTATATTCCAAAATAAACATATTTTATTTTATTACGATATATTTACATACTTTTTTATTCCTCGATAGCACTCAGTTGAGTGCTGTTTTAGATGCGTGACCCAGACCTTTAATCTTTGTATAGTATTTTTAATTATATTAATAATTGTTTTCCTAGAAAACGGTTACAGCCTAGAAGATATTGTAATTATCGTAAACATTGCTATCCTGAATGGTACCCAGTGGCGTAACAATAGGGTGGCAGGTAGTGTTGCCCAAAATCGGTCTTGGTCTTGTTCTTGCATTTTCGCAAGACCGCCTTATTGTAGCAATACCAAGACAAAGCCTGCAAGACAATACTTAAGCCTGCAAGACTCTTGCGTCTTGCAGTTAAGACAAACTGAGATTTGGGCGTTATTAAGTAGGTATTTGGTTTCAATTCCGAGTTTGAGAGACGTTCCCCAGTATCAAAACCGTTGGTATCGTCATAACACTAAACGTGCCGCTCGTCTGAAAGAACCCTGATAGGTATTGTATTGTTTAGGTAGGTAAGTACTTATTATATTTCAACAATTTATTAAGTAGGTAGCGTGTTAATACTCACAAATATGTTCCCATCATCCCATGTGATATAATTTACCTAGAATAACTTTCTAGCAAAGTTCATACCTTGTTCATTAACCTATAATAATATATTATGCTTGTTTATGTCTTATGAGCAGATATAACGTTAGTACTCGTAGGTTGGTATGTGCTTAAATTTATAGCCAACAAAATGATATAAATATTATGTAGGTAGCTACTTATGTTTCAAAGTTTATATTATACTGCTCAAAACAATTACGGGAACAAAACTTTAAAGTAGAACTAAACTTTTTACTTAAGGTTTTAATTATTACTGGCCACTAGATAGAGAGATGTTAAGGCATTGTCGAAGAAAATAAAAAACAAAAGAGCATCGGCGTTTTGGTTAGTAGTCCTATAATAAAGTGGCAGTGTGTCTAGAAACACCTAAAAGCAAAGTGACGTCTTTGAATTTTCATTACTTTCTAATCACAGAAAACACATTTTAAGTAGTTTTTTTCAATCTTTTGAGTATTAATAGAAATTGAAGTGAGCCTTTTGAGTATTGTTATTCATTGAAGCGAGTGAGTTTAGGTCATAATGCCAGATCTGACTGAATTGCATGTCTCCCGAGCTATCGCTTTGCTTGAAGTGGGCCGAACTATGCGTTATGTAGGAAATGATCTAGGAGTAGCCCCTTCTGTTATCTACAGACTTTGGAAGCGATACCGTGAGACGGGAGAATACTCACGAAGGCGTGGTCAAGGTCGAAAGAGAAAAACTACACGTTTGCAAGATCGCTACATCGTCAACTGTGCTTTACGTAACCGCACCACAACTGCAAGAGATCTACAAAATACACTAAGGACGGCTACTGGTGTAGAAATTTCCGACCGGTAAGAAATAGGTTGTTGGAAGCCAATTTGAGATCACGCCGACCAGTTCGGGCTGTGCGTCTAACAATTCAACATAGACAAGCTCGCCGACAGTTCGCGCAAAATCACGCTTATTGGCAACTTCGACATTGGAGGCCAGTGCTTTTTACTGACGAATCACGATTCCGTCTAACACGTTGCGATGGTCGTCTCCGTGTTTACAGACGCCCAGGCGAGCGATACAGTGCAGCAGCAGTCCAGGAATATGACAAATTTGGATGTGGCTCTGTGATGGTTTGGGGCGGAGTTAGTTTGGACTTTCTTTTAATGCAAGATAATGCCAGGCCGCATACTGCAGCCATCACGTCAGATTACTTACGACAGCAGGAAATCCGTGTAATGGAGTGGCCTTCCATGAGCCCTGACCTAAATCCAATTGAACACATTTGGGACTTGCTTGACAGGCGCATCCGGAAGCGTCCGATTGCATCTCAAAAACTGCAGCAGCTCACTGAAGCGTTGATTGAAGAATGGGAGCGAATTCCACAAGAAGATATTCGGAGGATCATACGAAGCATGCCGCGTCGTTGTCAAGCCGTGATTAGGGCTCATGGAGGCCACACACGTTACTGAAAGTCACTAAAGACGAATATTCAAACGATATAAGAATATTTCTTTGATGGACCTTTTTCATCACCAATTAGTTTTTCGTCTACAATGCACATTTTAATTTTTTTTTAATAAAAAAAATACAAATTGAATTTTTTTATTAATTGTAGTAATTAACAAATTAACAAGGTAAAAAATAGCGTATAAGTTAATTTAAATCTAATTTTAGTTTAAGCAATAGAAAGGAGAAAAATCTTGTTCCGCTAATTGTTTTGAGCAGTATATTTTACATTGAAAGGTTTTCAAAATTAACAAATAAAAAGATTTTAAAATTGATGTTTGCGGCTTTTCCTAAGGCTAAAATCTTTAATTAAAGCACAATAATCTAATGAATAAGCTACTTCTCGATGGAATTAATAGCAAGGACTGAAAGCCGATCTGGTGTCATCGAATTATTCAAATATGTTTTAATAATTTTTA